GGTGCGTGTAACAGGACCACAACCAAGGGAGATGAACCTACTCCCACGTCCTTCTTAAAAACCATTATTATATATGCATGTGCACAAAGCTGTTCATGTTTTTCACTATATACCTTAACAAAAATAATAATGATAACAAATAAATACATCGATATTTCTTTTTGTTTTTATATCAATTGAGCAGGCGATTCGTTTGGTTTATATTTTACAGGGTTACTTACTACCGCAAAAAAATTGTGGAGTAGGGATAAAAATCAATCCCAAATATGTATGTACAGTATTAACTAAATTGGATGTGTGTGTGTGTTCTTCAACAAACAAGAAAGAGTATAAGAGAGTTATGTTTTGTTCCACATTGCAAAGATTCAACAAACACCACTTATGGTAAAATGTGTGGAATTATAAAGAAGATGCCACTACCTTTTGTTTACTTTTTATTGGGGAAAAAAGTGTCACCTTTTCCCTTTGAAGTGCTCACTTTTGAGTTTCGACTTTATTTTAAAGTTTTCACTTTGGACAGACTCCATTTAAACAGGATTCATATTTTTCTTATTTTAAATTACAGAATATGTAACATTGGAGAAAGAATCGCCGGTAAAATATTTGATTTACATTTTCTCTCCCGTTGCACACAACCATATTAAAACTTTAAAAAAGGACCACTCAAATAAGATTCTTGCTCTTATTAAATGCCACAAGACCACATCATCCCCTTCAATTCACGTATGTAGAGAATACATAAATTATTTATCAGCGGCTTTAGATTATTTTGATTTTAAAATTAATTTTAATCAGTTTTTTATTTTTTTCCATTTCATACTCAATAATTGTTTTCTAAATTAAAATATTAACTTATCATAATCTTAAATTTTTATTCTTGTTATGAAAATATTTTTTTTAAGAAAATGTTGGTGGGCACAGGCATTGTCCCCACCACGTGTCTAGCTTAATATTTTAAAATTTTATGTAAATGATTATTGACACAACATTAAAATTATGTATGTAGGAGTCAATTTTTTTTTTTAGAAGATAGAGAACAACAAAACTGCAGTTTAGAGATGTTAACCAGTAAAAATTATGAGTTCTATAAATCGGTATAGAAATAAGATATATAAACTTGACATTATATATATGGGCTTGTTTGATTTTATTTTAAAAATAAAAAATAAAAAACCTGTTTGGACGTGTGTATTTTAAATTCAAATGTTTTTGAAATCGTTCTCTTTTTTATTTTTAAGAATAATATTAATAGAAACATCTTATAACCATTTTTTTATCTTGTTTTCATCAAAGCACAAAACGTCTAACTATTCAAAACTACTATCAACTGTGGATAATCATTATCATAAGCCACCACTATTATTCTCATTATAAGTCAATTTTTTAACTCTAAAGTAGTTTTCAAACTAGCATAATCAAGTATGTTTTCTTTTTATTTTGTTCTCAAAAACTATTTTTAAAACTAAATTTTTTTTAAAAAAATGAGAAGACAATCAAACATGGCCGTGTAATTGGTATGATATCAAAGCAAAGAGGATGGAATCAGTCAAAGACTGAAAGATGAATGAAAAAAAGAGAAAGAAAAGGACGTGTGAGTAAACGCACATATGTGAGGAGAAGAAGCCGAAATTGGATCCATGCAGATAGATAATGCTGATTATAACATAACTTGCACGCTTCCAACTTGTTGTAATTTGCTAGCCTAAAAAGTGTGACTACGTGCCAACACTTCAACATTCAAAAAACGAATAATTGGTCGGTCAAAGCAAGCATTCATCCCGAGAATATTTATCCATTGTAGTTACATCCATTCGATTGCACAACAAAATAATTTAGATGAGATCATGTCATACGTCGGCATTCAAAGCAAGGATCACGATTTGAAGTCTTGTGTATGTTTTAGGGTTTGAGAGATGAGTGATGTCCAGCTTGATGGAAAGAAAGAAAGAAAGAGAAGAAAGGCATATGTAGTTTGTGTGCTGCAGAATATGAAGGATGTATACCACATGGCATTGGGACAAGTACATTAATATTCCAATGCACAGGGATGCCAAAGATGAATGCCAAGGGCTGTAAATTTTAATTCTATTCAAATAAAGTATTCCTCAATTGATAGCGATCGAGACTAGATTAAACTAGTCAAACAATTGTGAACAATAACCTCTTCTAGTAGTAGCGACACTCTGTTTTAGAAGGCATCCCGAGCTTGATCTGACATTGACATAGTTGTGTATGTGTATTTAATTTGAGTGCATGTGTATATGTATATGTATATATATATATAATAGCTAAGCAACACACTCCTTTATAATTATTATAAATGCTGCTTTAATTTATATATATGTGTGGTTATCCTCATGCTGTTCACCCTTTTACGTAACCACGATAAGGATAAGGTCTACTTCCCATCTTTTAGATTCCTTCATAATTTACAATTATAAATATTGTCTATTTGTATTTGATCCCCAATAAAAAAAGCAGCTTTGCATCTCATCAATTATTTCGCTTGTCCATAAATTTCATCCCTCCCTTTTTTATGACATCGTCTGGTTCTTGAAAAACTTCGACATTATCATCTCCCATCCACATATGTGATCATTTTGATCAACGGTGGCCTCACATGCTTATGCTATTAGGGAAATGTCTTTGTAATTTTTATTTAAGATAAAAAGACAAAAATACTCACAAAATAACCAATCAAATGCACCCAATAGCCTAAAGAAGAAAATGATATAAATACCTATGATATTATATGAGTGGATACAGAAATAACCAAATAGTTAATTTTGCCCTAATGTCGTTAGTATTTAGTGTTAAATGCTGGTTGTGTATGTCTTGTGTCAGCTATTGTTAAGATGGATTAAAAAAGGATAAAAATACTCACAAAGTTGTCAGTCAAAAATATCCAGTAGCCTAAAGTAAAAAAGGGACAAAAATAATCATAACATTACTAGAGTTGGTATAAAAGTGACAAATCCCTTAAATGTTCACAATTTAGTTGATATTTAAGTAGAAGTTGATTATTTTTTTATTAATGTAGATAAAAAGTATTCTTAAGTGAATTTCTATGGAGGTTGATCAATTATCATATAAGTGCCTATAATGTTATTTTAATAGGTGCAATAATGATCAATCCGTCAAAATTCCAACAAGTGATTTCTTTCTATCACCATGTATCCCACCATCTTCCTTCCTCTCTCTCTACTCATTTTTCTTGTTTACAAAATTTAAGATTTAATACAATGAGATAGGTTGTACACAATTGAATATTGAGATTAAACACATCTCATACGTCGTCATACCTTAAAATTATTATCACAATCTTAAGTAATTTTAAAATTTTAAAGTAGCTGCATATTCTCATAACCCAGATTTAAAATTTTAAAATAAATTGATTTAATACTATCAATTAGTAAAACCAAGCGCTCCCTGTTACTCCCAAGCTAAGGGCCAACATGGAAGAATTCAGATTTTTTTTCATGGTGGGAATGGATTGTTTTTGTCATTCAGTAAATTTGATGGCCCAATTAAATCCTCGAATATGCTGCAGCATGAGATCGAGGCACTTGACACGGTGTATCGTTCATGCTTTTGTGTCATGTGTCATTGATCTAGGCTCCCAATGACTGGAGACCAACAATGTCAGAGAGAATTTGCCCGGGCTGGAAGCGTAATCAAATATTCAATAATTTTCCTCAAGGTCAAATTTTTTTAATATAATATCCAGTTATAAATTAACTTGGAACCCTGTCAACATATATTAAAAAAATCAATTTTTATAGTTTAGTAATTTGTTAATTAAGTTATTTGATAAAAAATAATTATTTTGCAAACAAAGAACACGTGCATTCATAAAACATTAATTTTTAAAGATAGCCATTTAAATTGACAATTTTAACTCCAAAATGAACATTAAGATAAAACTATATATGAAAAGTAGACGATTTAGGCATTTAATCTTATATACTTTATAAACTTTCATTCAATAAAATAAAGACAAGTAAATTTTAATGTATTAACAATATTCATAATAATAATTTATTATATAATATATAATTTTTTTATATATATCTTGATTTAATTAATAACAAGTATCTTAAATATATAAGACTAATCATATAAATCTGTCCATATATATATATATATATATATTTGTCTTGATGCGTAGTATTTTTTTATACAAGGGTTTGAACCTTTGATATATATTATATAACCATAATACCCTTCCCTTCTATTACTAATTAATTGAGCCAGCTTTATATGCTTAATGTATAATAGTTTCATAAAAAAATTGCATTTGAGAATACTTGTCCATGGCGAGACAAAACCGGATACACTTGTGATGATATTTATTGACACACGTTGAGATCCTTCATTTCATCCCCCTTTTTTTTCCATGCATGTCCTTGGCCTTTCCTCGTTTAACTTCTCCATTTTTCCCCCTCCTTCTCTATCTTGCCATATAATTTTCCACAATAAACAATACAAGCAGAAAAGTGCTTCATGCCCATTGGCGGAAACCAAAACCTCTCCAACAACTCCATCCACATTTGCAGCTAGCTCAATTTCACGCAATTCCTGGCTTCATATTTTTTTACTTTCTAGTCCCTATTAACGCCCAAATATTGCACATCCTGGTCGTGCCCTTACCATATCAAATTTAAGCTTTATTTTTTTAGTTGGCAGTCAAGCTTCTTTCGATCGTCTCTTCTCTCGAGTGTATATATCATTCGAATTCGTAGACTCTATTCTCCCTCGACTTTCCGTGTGACGTGTCATGTATGTGTCCACATATTACACACCCACACATACTCTGTGCCGGAAAAAAGAAGCAGAATATTTGTACAAAAGGAAAATATATATTAATATTAGTTTTCTTTTTTTTACCAACATACATCAATATTAGTTTGAGGCACATCTAGCTGGCGTACGAGAGATATTTTGTGGCTGTTGATGCGGTCGGGGTCTTGCTGTAAAATGATCACGAGCAATACATAAAATACAGCATAAAGATTGAAACCTAACATTGAAAACACAATTAGCATAAATGCATGTAACCACAGCATGATTCATGTGGCTGATTGCCAACCTGCCCACGAATTAATTACACATCCTAACTACTAAATTCCTGGGACTCAATAAGCCCCATCCATTCAATGTCTTAGCCGGAAATCACGACCAAAATTGCATTTTCACCCCCCACTTTCTACTTTTGGAATCTCAAAGCCAACCCAAGCCGTTAGCTAGCTCCTAGAATCCCCAAAGTATTTACGCCAGTTTGTCCCCTTTTTGTCTTTTCGGATCTCATTGCCTGAACCCGAACCCCGTTGTCTGATTCGGGTACCTGAACCCATACGGGTCGGTCAATGAGTTATCGAACCCCTGATGATAAAACCCGGAATTACTCAATCCGCTCTGGACCTCCTCTTCCGGCACAGTCAGCCGCGGCATCGACGGGACGTGCTGCACGTCGCTGATTGAACTATAATTCACCACCCTTTGAGATTGAGATGGGGTCTGCGTTTGATTCCCGGAAATGAACTCCGCCACCGAGTTCAGAACTGCCGGGTTGGCCCACTCCACGAAATTATTACCGCCATTCAGATTGTGAAGATTCAGCTTCTCCTCCTGCGGCCACGTCTTCAGAGAGTTGACACGTGGCAGCTCGAAGCACCGGTCGTCGATTTCTGGCAACGATTCCAGCACGTCGTCCAAGTGGGACGACGATGACGACGACGACCCGTTACTGTATTCGTATTCTCTGCTCGGAACCATAGGCGCAGTCTTCTGGGCGCTCGAATTCTTCTTATATATCCGACATAGAACCCAATCATCGAGCTTTGGGAAGAGAATTGGAAAAAAAAAAAAAACAGTATTTTAATAATCGAATAGAGAGTTAAGCGCTGAAGCTTTAAGAGAGACGGAAAACAGAGGATGTTAAAATTGTACCCTGGTGCTTCCGCTCTTTCGGGAGGAATCGAGGAGGCGGTACTCGTGCATGATCCAATTGGTTTTGGTGCCTTTGGGTGCTTTTCCAACATAGAAAACGAGAGCTTTCTTTATTCCAACCTTTCGACCAGCGGTGGTGATGATTTTGTCGGTCCCAGTGGCTTTCCAGTACCCAGACCCGGCAACCCTGTTGGGTCGGGAGCCGTTCGGGTACTTCCGATCCCTCGGGCTAAAGAAGTACCATTCTTTCTCACCAAAAATGGCTTTGCCTGTACATTTTTACAAGAAAAAAAAAAGATCTCTTAGTAAGGTTTAAAAAAAATGTCTGCTTCGGTGGGTGGTCCAATTATACCAACTACGAAAAGTTAAGGGATCAGGTGAATTACTTGGAAGAACCCAGGGGTCAAATTTGTACAGGTCAATATCGCCGATGATTTGAAGAGAGAAATGGTGGCCGGCCACCTTCCGGCAGAGATACTGAACCAGAAGCTCCTCGTCGGTCGGGAAAAACCGGAAACCCGGAGGTAGACTCAATTGAGCTAGAGGGTCTGTCTCGGGCACGCCCATGCTAGCTTGTTGTGATTGTACAGGAGAAAAACAGCGCGGACACTGAGGACGAGGAAGGAGAGGGATCTGAGGCTCGAGGTTTTCTTGAAATGAATTCTCTTTCTTTTCTTTTCGCTGCAACGGATGGGGTCGTTATTTATAGGAGCACACAGACAGAGATAAGTACGGTGATCTTTGTCTTACGGTAGGCAAGTGGGTCCCACCTGAGTTAATAACCTCTTAGAATGTGCCAAGTGCCCATGGAAGCATTATAAAAGTTCGGCGTTCGATCTTATCTGATTCAGGTACGGCCTCGGCAGATGCAATGTATTTTAAACCCCTCCCAAGTCCGACCAGTGCCCCTTATTATTATTATTTTTTTCTCTTTCTTTTCACTCCACTTTAATTTTCATCATTCATATTATTTCATCATCCTTCAAGTCTTCTTACAAAAATACATATATCAAATTTAAAATAAAAATATCATATCGTTATTTTGCTGGATATTGCAGAAAGGTTTTTTACGGAACGGAAGAAAATTAAATTAAAAATAACCATCATCGACACTAACAAAATAAGATTAATTGCAATAATGAGTGAATGAAATCTGAAGAAAATGGAGGCCCATGGAATATTCCAAAACTTGGGACTTTCGGAGAAGGAATAATAGAGTTATGCTGGGAATCCGGATCTTTTCTCTGCACTTATTCTTTTCAATTAATGAAAACTAACCAGAAAAAAGTATTAAAAAAAACTGAAATTACCCACAATTTCATGATCCCTATACAAGATTTATCACTTTTTTTAGAATACAGACACCATTAATTTTGTCATAAAAAACAGGCGGAACTCATTTGGGGGGAGGGGGGTGGATAGAGCCCAGTAGAGAGCGCGCATTAAAAAATAGTTAAATGCTGCCGGAGCATTTGTCACGCGTGGGCATAGAATAGAAATAGAAGCGTGGACCCAACAAAAAAAACAACAAAGGGAAGGAGAGGGAGGGAGGGAGGGGCACGTGAGGGCACGTGCCGGTCCATGTGAGAGAGAGTGAGAGTTAGGCTTTGGAATTTTGTGAGAAAATAGGAAGAGAAAAGGGACGGGAATGGAAAAGGTGGTGCGGTGGAGGCTGGATTGGGCGACACGTGGTGCGGGGTTTTCTTTTCAGAGGCGATTAGGTGTTTCTTTCACTCTTCAACCTCCACGCCGAGGCTTACAAGCAAATGTATTATTGGTTGTATTAACTTGCCATTGGCTCTCCCGTAGTTTTCGCACAAAAGATAGGCGGTGACGTGGTCGGTCAAGGTCAGCTTTTTATAGTGTGCTCTCCTGCTCTCGACGCTTCTCCCCGATTGATTACGTTCTCTAGTTTTCTCAACGCGCGTGGCCCCATTCGTTAACTTAATTTAAAACTCATCCATCAAGTAGCCCACACAACTCCACGTTGTTCTTAGGATGTCAAGTCCAAGCTGATTTAACTTCATCACATCAAAAACAATTGGGCTGAAAAAGAAGAATGTGCGTGAAAAAAAAAATCATAAACCCATAATTTCAAAATTTTAAGTTAAAATATAATATAAGACTCACTTATATGATTTATCATGGACAAAATTATAAATAAGGACTTTTAATATTACAATTAACTAATCAAAATCAATGAATTATAAAATTAATTTTTAGGACTATGGTCCTTTTTTATAGCATTAAAAATAATACTTTGACTAAAATGTTCATGTCTTAAATGTTAATTTAAAAATTTGTTGATATTGAAATCACTTTAATTTGGTTGGATTAAATTGAAGGAGGTTATGCAATTACTTTATTTGAGTTGGAAATGCATTTTGTATCTATTACTCCCAAACTTACTATTGACTAATTTAAAATTTATTAGTGTTGAAATCACTTCAATCAAGATAAAATTTAGTTGAAAAGAGTTATGGAATTATTTTATTTGAGTTGAAAATATTTTTACTTCTAAACTCACATACTCGGTTATTAGACAAGGACATTTTAGTCAAATTATTATTTTAAAAACTACAAAAAGGATTATGGTTATAAAATTAAATTTCATGATTTTTATGGTGTTGATTGATTATTTTGATATTACGAAGCATTGCTCCTGGTGGATTAGAAAAAAATCTAATGTGACTTCAAGGTATGAGAGGGATTGATGAGAATAAAAAAATAAAATAAAAGCTTATACGCTGAAAAGGAAACTTACTTGTGCAGATTCACACGTGTATGGTGTAGGATTTTGACAGGTGTATACGCTGATGTCTTTGTGATTTTTATATTGGGTTACGTTGACAAATAGTGTGGAAATATTTAAGCAGAGAGGCAGTGTGGTCAATACTTCATGGGGTGTTGCACATTCATTTAGAGCTATGAAGCTTGAGAAATTGGGTTTATACGCCACGTGCAGATTTGGATGGTGCGGCTCGATGTTCGTGTGAAACAACATTGAAGTTTAATTTCCTGATTTTTCAAAATGCATCCCATAAATTCAGGTCACCTACTTTTATTCATTTTTTTCCTCGCAGCAGGTAATAGAAATTTGACCTTTTGGTTATGATTGTGCATTATTAGTCTACGTGTTGTACGGACTTTTGATTATAATTAATTTATATGTTGCGATGCTGGACTAATTTAATTAATTAACCAAATTAAACAAACAAGCTAAGGCTAAGGCCAAGGCTTAATTTTGCAAGTTGCAACGGTCAAAAGGTTGCTTCCAGGTGTTAAAAATCGATTTTTCTTTCCCTTTTTTTCTTTTCCAGCCGTGTGTTTATCTTGAATCTTCATTTGAATCATATGTCTTCATTTCTTCCCCTGTGTCTCTTCTCATATGCTTCCTTCACCTTGACTTGAACGCACATGTTGAAATTTCCAGTGCTCCAAACGGATGACTGTTTACGATTTTTCACACTTTCCAAGCATATATGAAACTTCCTTCCAAATTCAACATTGATTTTGTGTCAGAGAAATTCTCATACAAGATTATAGATGTGTTTTATTTGTTCGTGGTTCTTAAAACGCATGCTAGAATCATATTTCATTATTCATGCATGCAACACTCGTGACACTTGAACAAAGAAATTCAGAGATGAGATGGTCACGGTCGAAGTTTGATCGGCCAGCTTCCCAATACTGACCCGGCAAATGAAGGAGGTACATGGCCAAATCCAGAGAAATAAAAGCATGCGCAATTATTAAGTTTCAAAAAGAGACCCGCTTTTTTTTTGGGTGTTTTTGGCCGGAATCAAAAGGAGACTTTGCAACACAGATGGGGTTTCGTTCACATTAATTAATATAAAACACACAAGCACGGGTAAATATCGTTATCCAGTAAATAAGGCCATAAATTTGAATCTGCGCATATAATCTAATAGGAAATTGGTTACGTTGTGTGAAATGATACTCGTTAATGATCAAATATTTAATTGGAGACGCGTGTTCGCTGACGAGGTGCGTGCGTGCTTGGTTTTAAGGAAAACTGTCCCAGAGGTTGGATATACTCTCCATGGATTAGGGATATTATCGCTCATGTGTTAAATATAAAATTATACTCTCTCCTGTTAAAATATAATCATTTTCTCTTAACTAATATTAGTTTAAAATATATTTTTCTGTTAAAAAATATGAAGCATTTTTAATTGAATCTCATCTTCTAATAAAGTAGTTATTTATTTTTAAATTAATCCTATCTTTTCATATTTACCTCTATTTAATAGGTATGTTATCCTAAAATGAATATAAAGTGATTTATTTAATAAAGGAATTTTAAAAAAATAATTACATCTTAAAAGAATAAAAATATATTATATTTATTAACCTAAATCCTCATGCAAAGTTTTTTCTTACTCATGATATGAGGATGATAATTTTATTGGTATGCAAATTTTTTTTAAAAACTGTTTATATTTTAAATTGGAGAGAGTATATACTTCATGCTTTTTACTCCTCTCAGCCCTTATCATGAAACAACTTTAATTATCTCGTCGGAACAAATGAGACATGTTTATAAGTAATTAATTTTGTCTCAAATAAAATAAGCTTCTAATTTAATACCTATTTAAATGAAAAATTTTTAAATTTATATTATGTTCTCTCTTATAGTTAATTAGTAAATTTAAATAGGGATAATATTAAAAAAAGTAATTAATATATACTCATCAATTGTCTTATATATAAGCACACATTTAAAAGAATCCTTCTAGACGCTAACGTATCCTGTTATAAGGACCGGATGCAGCACACACACACACTTATATTTTGCATTTGGAATACCTCCTCTGTGTCAATTCTATTGTTGTTTTGCATTTCCGATCTTGTTTCAAAACTATTACTTTCTCCTTGTATTTTTTGAAAGGTTGAATGTTAAAAAATATAAAATATTTTTAATCTTTTAAAGTATAATTATTGCTATTTTTTTAAAGTGCCCTTATTAAATAAATTATTTTATATTTATTTTAGGGCGAAACACCCTATTAAATAGGGGCAGATATAAAAAAATAAAGTTAGTTTAAAAATAAGTAATTACTTTATTAAGATGTGAAATTCGATTAAAAATACCTTACATGTTTTAATAGAGGGAGTATTATTTTATATTATGACATTTGTTTTTTTTTCCCCAATTATACCTCTCATTCGATTGCTTTCAAGTAACAACCACATGTCTCATTTTTATTTAGATTATTGCACTTGGCAAGGGATATTTTAGTCCAACATGAAGAGTAAAATTTTCATCAATTAATAATTTATATATTAATTCAATAGATACCTTGAATAGCATAATGTTGGTCATGAAAATGGTACTATTTATTTAAGACTTGTTTTGTTGGAAGGTTTTCCCTCCCTTTCCCTTACCAAACAAGGGTAGGGGCAGCCCCTTCCCTTGTCCTATCCAAACAATGTTTCTCTCCCCTTATTTAGTAAGGTGAAGGGGAGGAATTTTTTTTTTTAAATTTATCTTCCCCCCTCCAATCAAATGCTTCCTTAAAATCTTAACTCAAGGTGATATGTATTTACTAGTTCATATTATATATAAGTTATCTCTATTCATCTTATTAGAAATAAGAAAAAAATGATTAATTCATTAATTTTGATTGAAAATAAAATATTTTTTCTTAAGAGCACAGAGAAACACTAAATAACTTCAAGTCTACTCCAAGTAAATTGTATTTGGGGTAAAATTTAAAAAAAAATTAATTAATAACTCACTAAATGACTTAATTATTAATCACTTATACATAGGATTATTAATTTCTTCTAAAAGACGTCATATTATACAGGGGAATGGAGGGTGTACATGTATAATTGTAATTAATTTCCTATTGTTATACGGCATCTTAGTTCCAACATTTCTGCGTCGGAATTGACTTTGTCACTTTGTGATTTAAAGTCAGTGTTGACAATCCTTATCACAAAACATTTAAGCAACATCTTGTAATATTCAATAAAAACCTCTAATTTTTAATGAAAAAGATTGTACAGTGTAGACTGTAGAGGTTAAAGTTGCGTTATTTTTTTTTTCATAGTTTATGAATGAATTTCAGTATTTATCCAAAAAAAAAAGTGAAAAGGAGATCGTCTAATATTCTGATTTTGGGCGAATCAATCATTATCCAAAAATAAAAGAGTTGTGTTTTCGGAGAGAAAACATATTTGTTTTACTTTATTTCCATGACTTATAAAAATGATCTGCAAAAGTTAAAGTATAAAAATGATAATTATTATTTCTAAATTCTTAAACATATGATACTTAAAAGTTTTTTTAAAATATAATCAACACATTTTACGTGCGTTTTCAGGTTATTCTGAAAGGGAAGGGCCTCCTATACTCACTATTTACAGTGGGAGGACTACGCTCTGTTCTTACTTTTTAAGGCTTACAGTACAAGTTACGCCGAACGTGCTTCACAATTTTGGCTCATTGTTGCTTCAAGTGAACATCTCAAATTCCTCTGTTTTAAATGCGGTTATCAACTCTAATTATAAATACACAGTAGTTTCAACCAGACTTGAATCCAAACAGGCTCACAAACAATTCTTCCTCTGTTATGTCAGATATCATTGTTGAATGGGAACAATGGCATACTATATTACCAATCCAATGTCTTTCTTATCTGTAAATAATCAACCACTTGACTAGCTAGTTCTGTGTAAACCCGATCTCGAAAATTGACTTTGAAATTGAAAATTAAGGTGCACGAGTCATTTGACCAACACAGCCGACAGGTTAAAATTCAAGTCAACCTTGTATCTAAATGTAATAATGATCAATAACAGTACTTTGGCCCCAGCTAAAAAAGTAAGGGTATGTGGTATAGTGTGAATAACCCCAAGTTTTCAGCCAAGACATTATACTTTTAGCTTAAGTTCAACCGCCATATTTGATATGGAGTTTTCAAAACACGATGATCTTCCCATGTGCCCCACTGACATGCCGGCTTCCAATGAAGTGGTTCTGTTTCATTGTCTTGGTCAAATCTGATGAAACACAGGGAAATTTTGTCTGGTATCGTTAAAACTTCCAATAAGATAGATATAACTCAGTTCCACATTGCTGATATAATGAACACAGTCTGCTCATCTGCCGTAAGTTGAAATTGATACACAAAAATTATATACAGATGTCAAAAAGTGTAAACACCTGTTTTTTCCGTTTTGAGTTTTTCGGTTCAATGTGAATCATACTATAAAATCACATCATGAGCTCAACATCATGGACTCAGAGTAGGAGACTTTCGACTTGGTTTATTTATATTATATTGGCCCATCCATCTGGGCCTTCTAGCTTATACTTACTCTGACATTTGGAACAAAGCCCTTTACCAAGAAAACTTGAATTTCACTATAAAAAAAAATAGAAAAAGAAGCAAAATTAAAGCTTGTTCATATTGAAAACCTGAAACTAATTCATTAGCCAACATACTATTAGTACGTTTTGCACATACCTATAATTTAAGGGCTACAATAGAACCAACACGAAATGAGATATCATAATTGAAGAGTCATATAAGCTAGGCGAGTTTCTTGGCCACCCCAACCCTCATTAGTGCTGAATAAGCTATGAGTCTATAAACTATCAGCATTATCACCAGAGCCAAAACGGCAACCACTTGGTCCTCCAAATGCACCCCCATTTGCTTTATGGAAGGAAATTCTGCAACTGAACACTGCCCCTCCGAACAAGGGTATGTGTCCTTACTCTCATACTGAGACCCCAGAAACAATTGGTATGTGTAGTAGCCAATGGACAAGTACTTGATCCAAGCTATAAAGCTTGGGACATGTTGGACAAAGTATCCACCAGCTAGCATGAAACTTAGCATAATCACAGAGCCAAGTGTACTTGCAGAGCTTTCATCCATCACAACCGCACCGAGGGCAAGGCCTAAGCCTTGTGAGACTAGGACATCGAGTAAGAGGCTGAAGAGTGTATATAAGAAGTTCAGGACTTGTGGTTTGAGGCCTGCCATCCAGTAGGATATAACGAGAAAAACTGTGGGAAGGACAAGTTCCATGGGCAGGTCAGCTACCATCCTTGAGAGGAAGTAAGAGGAAAGTCTGTACATTCCAGAGGATCTTTCTTTATCAAGCATAGTCCTTTCTTGTGGGAATGTGAAGATGGCTTGATACATTGGAATGTAACTCCAGAAAACAGCTATGAAGAATAGGAGACCTATCTACATGTCAGGGAACAACTAAATTTTAGTTACTTGGAAATTATCTCTGTGATCACAAAAACTGAAACCATCACTAAGCAAAAATTTAAAATAGCCAATATGCATTTTGAAAAGTTTCTTTATGTTTAATATAATGCCTGTGAAGCTTCTTAAAGGAGATTAGTGAATAACCCGACTTTTAAAATTCTTTTTTCTTCTTGTTTTATTGGTTGTATTAAACAATTAGTAGTGAGCCATTCTTGTTTTAATTAAAATATTGAAGTCTTAAGTTTCGAAGAAATCAGGGTGAAGAAGAAACCAGTGGTTCAGCTAAATTAAATCATTAACTCTATATAATATATAACCACATGCCATATAATTTGGAAAACTATTAGTACTTGTTCGATTCTTCTCTCTTTTTCATAGGCAAGTACAGGGCAGATTAGGTTCAATTTTGTCTTTTAAATTGAGGAAACAATTAGTGAAGGCTTACTTGATCCTGAAAGTGCGAAATGTCGGACTTATACCATAGTAGACCTGAAATAATGGCAGCCATAACGATTTGAGTAACTTTGAGGCTAGAGAATGACTCATATTTTCTCTCCTTCACTCCCCGTTTGAGCAACACACTGAATTGCTGAAACCAACTTGCAGACCATTTATCCAAATCTGTGTCTTGAAATCTACTCTCACTCATGCCAGAATTACTTGCCGCACGAACCATGTCCTTCACTTGTGCTTCAAGGTTATGCTTGTATGCTAACACCAACGTCTGCTTAAGTGAGGCATGATCTTCATCAGATTCATCAGTATAAATACCTGCAAAATCCTCCAAGCTTAAGTGTTTATTCTTCTAAATGCTTGCCTACACAGTAAAGAATGTAGTTGGACATCTTGGATATGTTTTTCTATTAACAGTTGCAGAACTTAACAATATAATGCTCCTAATTCATTGGGCATAACAAATGAACAAGAGAAGACATACCATTTGCAAGATCCAAAAGGAAATCAGAAGGGTTCATGCCCACAGTAGGGGCATATCCAAGACTCAGAAAATAGTTCATGACATCAGAACCGTTTCCAAAGAACAAAGGGCTCCCTTCAGACAACAACAAAACCTTACAGAACATATAATACAATCTACTTGAAGGTTGGTGTATGGTCATAACCACAGTCCTTCCAGCATTAGCCAGCTCCCACAAAGTGGACACAATCTCTGAGCTGTGGTTGAGTCAAGTCCAGAAGTTGGCTCGTCCAAAAATAGCAAGCTAGGGTTTACCAACATCTCTTGCCCAATACTGACCCTCTTCCTCTCTCCTCCTGAAACTCCTCTTACCAAAGACCCTCCTATCATGCTATCCTTACACCTGGTTAACCCTAGTTGGGATATCATGGTTTCTGCCTGTAAGATTTTCTCTTGTTTGGTGAGGTTGTTTGGTAGCCTGAGAAGGGCTGTGAAGACTAAGGTTTCAGTGACAGTCAAGTGTTGGTAGAGAATGTCATCTTGGGTGACGAATCCGATTTTTCGCTTCGTTGTGTTTGAAAAAGGTTGGTTGTTGTAAGTTATAGTTCCTTGGAGATTGGCGTTGCTTCTTAGCCTGCCTCCTAACGCATTTAGGAGCGTCGTTTTGCCGCTTCCTGATGGTCCCAGCATTGCTAGCATTTCGCCTGGTTCCACTATGCCCGACACTCCTTTTAGTATCATTTTCTCTTCTGATTTTGCGTTCGTGTTGAATAATCCACCTTTCTTGGTCCTAATCTTGCACAACACATCCTCAAACTGTACGCACAGAACGTTTAGAACAAAATTCTGATCATAATTATGCTCAAATGTGACTTTGGAAATATCATATATGTATCATTGATTCTGGCTTATAAAAAGAAGACGGGAAAATAAGGCTTTGATATCAGTTTGATTATACTTCAATCAAGTGAAAAAACGGTCTGTGTCCGAAAATTTTAAAAAAGGCATTTATGCAAATCATGAACACGGGTTGAATTCAATTACTGAAATTAAATTTTAACTCCCTGCAAGAATCATATATTAACCCACACTTCTCATAATCAATATGGCTCATCAGTCATGCCTTTATTCCATGCACTTCAAAATTAATTACAGTCAGAAGCTTAAGAAATTATAACCTTCATGTTTACATTAAAACAACAACTTGAGATTACTATTGCTGACGTTCAGAGGTTGACAAGAATTAAGAAACTTTCAGTGAGCATCCACAAAACATGAAGGCAGCTAGCTAGAAAGAGAACGGAATATCATATAAGTTGTGGTATATTTTACCGAAACCAAGAGAAGAAAAAATTAAAACCCATATTACTAATAACATGCTATACCCTGAGAGTAAGAGGAAGATTGTTCCCCTTCTGAAAGCTATGAGGTGCTTTGGATTTAGATTGAGCCTCCTTGTCAGCCATCTCCTGCTCCATGCTCTTGCTTTGCTTATTCTTCTAAATCACACACTCTTAACTTGATCTTTCGATTTTGAGCTTACCTCTTCAATTCATCATTTTGTCCCTTTTATAAAAGAAAGCATAGGCTTGAAATGGTAACAAGGATCAAAGCTAGCTGATCTCACTGTCTACGAGTTTATGGTGCTTGGTACTATAAATTCTTGTGGTAACATTGTTATCTTGGAAACGTGATCAGATGGGGTTGTACATAAATGTATATATGATGCTAACTTTAATACAGAAATGTGTCTTACAGTACTATTCCATTTATGTTGATGAATGAAAACTCTCTTGTGTTCACTTGGCTTTAATTCTTATTCTGTATTTCTGAATGTACGTTCAATATGCTCCATTTGTTTTGGTAATCAAGAAAAAGATGCTTCTGTATATGGCATTTTGATTCGTCTATTATCATTTGATCACGAGCTTCTTTCTTTCTTTCCTTTTTTTTTTTTCCAAATTATGGCTCTGCATCCATTTAATTAATTAAATATAATAATATTCTTTAAAAATTAACGGCCCAAAAAGTTAGTGTAAAATGGATTAAATTTATTGAAGCACATTCTCTTCATAGATATGGTATGCGCGTGAAGATTATTAATTATATATCTGATTTAAAACAGACACTTGAGTGATAATTGATTTAAAATGATTGGTATTCATGTTATAAAGCAATATTCCATTTTTTGAACTTTGCTAATTAGATAATGGGTACTGGCTAAACTGAAAAATCTCATTTTATTTTACGTTTACTTTGATTGGACAGTCTTTATTTTAATAGAAACTGATCGATTAAAGCTGGTGGGCCAAAATCAAGAGGCAATTAAACTTGTTTAAATCTCTTTTTTGGTTTTGTTGACAGCTTAGTAAAAAAAAAAATGGCTGTTTTTTTTTTTTGTTCGTATTGAAAATCATCACGCTAGCTCCATCTCTCTCTCTCTCTCTCACGCACACACCCACATCGCATCAAATTAAAATCTCCATTGAAGAAGGAACTTGATCTTGATGCATTGATTATAATTTTTAATTATGTAGTTATCTCTTTTTTATTGTTCATAAATATTTTTTATTGAAAATAATTTTATTTGAGGCACAATTAAATACTAAATGTAAGTACCTTTTTTAATAAGAATTTAAACTTAAATTTGTCACATTGTGAGAAATCATAATTACGTATCTACCTAGTTATGCATTGAGAAGAAATTCCTCCATCGTCTCTCGTGACTTACAGTTCTTAATTAAGTTGAAATTGAGCTTTCCTTTTAGGTCCTGAAATTTGAGCTTTTTCTTCATCAAATTAATTAAAATCTGATGAATTGGAGTAATTAAATGCAGAGTGGCCTTTTTTCCGTACTTGGATCAACAGCAGGGGAACATTACCATCAATATGCTGCTTCATTTTTGTCATCTATTCATACCTTCCTATATATGCTTTCCACTTATTCTATATATCGTCAATATATCCGAATATTGTGCCACTGCTTTTATTGCTGCTGCTGCTGCTGAATGTTATTACTATCTGCCTGATGATTTCCAAAGAATATTTAATATTGATATGTCAATTATTATCTTCATTAGCTCTTAAAATTATTGTTGGAAGTATTAAGATATATTCATCAGTTTAAACCCTGATCTATATAAAGCATCATCACTCGATGTATAAATGTGTTATAATTAGAGAGTTTTGTTCAGTTGTTTTTATAATTTCACTCCCATGACCTCATCTTCAAGTGTCACTTAGCATGGGTATGAGTAAAACTTTTCCGAACATATGCAATTTGCTTCTATTTAGCTCCAAAAAAGGGAGAAAAAAAAAGAAAGAAAAGTTCTCTTGATTCCAAAGACTTGGATAGAAGTAGTAGTTATACAAGACATAATTAAATTGCAAAATAACTTAGAAAGACTAATTAGTAGAGGCATATCCAATATGAAGTCCCATTCAAGTTTGTCATAAGCCTATTCTAGGTCAACTTTCACAGCTATAAAACCTTTTGTATCGCGTTTAGTCTTTATTGAGTGGATCACTTCTTAGGCAATGATAATATTATCGTTGCTTTGTCTGCCTGCTATGAAACTGCACTGGTAGTGGCCCACAAGTTTGCTCATAACTCTCTTTAGTCTTTTGCTAATCACCTTTGACACAATTTTATAGTTTATATTATATAGAGAGATAGGTCTAAAATCTTTCATTTATTCAAGTTTCTCCAATTTAAGGATTAAAGTCAAGAGGGTGTTATTCATATTAGTGATTTGGCTTGGGTCTTTAAAAATTCCTTCCACTATGCTGCCAACTGAATCACCTACAACTTGCTAATATTCTTGAAAGAAAAATGCCTGGATGCCATCCGAACTCAGAGCTTTAAAGGCCCTATCTCAAAAATTGCTTCCTTAATTTCTTCTTTATTAACATCTGACGTCAAAAAGAGGCACTCAACCTTATCCAAGTAGGGAAAAGTATGCCTGGACCTAGCAAGTTCCAGAGCAGTTGCTTTGCTAGTAAAGAGATTCTGATAATAATCCGTAGCCATATGCTTTATTTTTTATTGATCAAAGATCTAATCATCACCTTGATTTTTCAGACAGTCAATACAATTTTTACGTCTCTTGATTGTAGTAGAAGCATGAAAGAATTTGCTATTTCTATCCCCCTATTTAAGCCAATTACATCTTGATTTTTGATACCAAAACAATTTTTCTTGGGCTAACACTTTATTATACTCTTTTTACGTCCCTTCTTTCATGAGCTCTTTTAATGCGATTAATGCATTTAAGAAGGGATTTTTTCTTTGCTGGAATACTCCTAACTTTTTTCTTTCTTGACAACATCGATGAACCCCTCCTCAAGAACCCATGCAGCTTGGCATTGGAAGGGTGGTCTAGGGCAGCACGGGTTGTTCTCATTTCTAGTTCTAACAAAAAGTAACCAATGATCAGAGTATAATTTGCTCAAATGGTGAACCTTAATAAAGGGAAATGCTGAGTTCTAATGATCATTTGTGAAGGCCCAATCAATTCGTTTCTTAATGGAATTTCTTTCCTAAGTATAGCATTCACCCACATAATCCATCTCAATAAGGCTAGATCTTTGAATGCACTCATAATTGTTTCATGTATGGCACATTATGAGACGAACCCTTCATTTTATTTGTCACAGAAAGATAAGCGTTGAAATCCCTTATTACTAGCCAAGGTTCCTGTTGATTATTGCTTAAATTGATCAGCTCAGCCCATAGGTTTTTTTCTTAGTGTGGCACACATTTCAGCAAAAACACAAGTAAACTAACATATTTTAGGCCTATTTTTGATAGCTACAGCAACATGGATCAGTTAGGTAGTCGAAGTAACATAGTAGATAGATATATCACCCTCCTTCCACAGTAGCCAAATTCACCCTGTATAGCCAGTAGATTCAACGTGGATCCAATTGTTAAAACCCAATTTCCTAACTGTAGCATCAACTTTATGGCCACTTACTCTTGTTTCACAAAGGACCAAAATATTAACATCTTTCCCCTAACCAGATTATTGACTCTATGGTAAAAAATTTTGAGGTTGTGCCTCTACAATTCTAGGCTATAATATTCATAAAAATAAAGGATTTAGAATGAAAATCAATGAGACCTGTTACTTCACAAAAATGTTCTTGTTCAATCCTTTGTCTTCAATAAAAGCATCTTCTTTAGTACTATTATTAGTCTCAAACCAGAGTTTGCCATTATGGTTCTGCACCTCTTGATGAAATATTGTCTCAGCTTGTGTTAGATCTAAGAGATTTGCATGAACAAAGTAATCAGTGTCTGGTGGGGCTTTTGTTGTTGGTTCATGATAGTTTGAGATTACTTGAGTAAATGGCACAGGTAACACTTCACCTTAGACTTTCGAAACTATGGGCCCCGGGATTTACTTCATTTTGGCCTGCCAAATTTATAGTAATGTGTTTTTCAAAAACCAAGGGCCTAATCTGTGTCATAAACCCCATCACAATATTATAGGCTCTAGATAGATTATTCCTCTTCGTCGGGGGGAAATGACTTTTGATCTTGTTATTGCATTTCTCTTCAGTCCTATATTCTTCTTTCCCCTTTAAGGGGTTTTTTCTGTGTTGATGTTCTATTTTGTCTAAATACCACATTTTGTTGAGCATCTTTAAACCCAAAACTAAAATAGATTAGGCTTTCTTTTCATTCGTCAAGCCTTTTATCAAGCTCCCCTTTATCTCGTCCCCTCTGATTACCACTTTTGCCTTTCTCAAATTTGTTGCCAATCTCATTTACATGCTTTTTCTTCATGTTACCTTGGACATTCATGCTGTTAGACTAGGTATCTTTTTAGTGCTAAGTTGTTACAAGAGCTTTGCCTTTATATTTGTTCTTCTTTTCCACTAAAAGGTCATTTTCAAGCATATCAGCTAACACATCAAATCATGTTTTTGGGCTCCAGGATGTTCTTTTTGTTGTATAGGCTTCGTCCCTTTTTGAGTAAATCTCTTGTCTGTTTCCCCATAATTGGTTTTTGCCTAAAGATTCTCTTGGGAAGCATTTACCCACTATATAGTTCTTCTATGAAACTCCAGGAACGCTGCACAAAGGTTATTTCTAATCAAAATTATCCTTTGTCATCATTTGAGTTTGCTTTAGGGAGGAGATATTTTTCGTCGAAGTTCTGCAAGTATCTTTAAGAAGTGGGCATTTTTCCTATCTATGGCCAAGTTTTCCACATTTGAAACAAATAACATCCAAACCCTTAAATTGAACAGAATAAACCTTTTTTAGATGACCAGCTGAGACTTTATATGCTTATTTAGCTTAATTTCCACACTAACTCTAGCGTAGCGACCATATTCAATTATGTTATTGTTAAGTTGGTCCTGAGCTAATGTATTTAAATCTACCTTCAAGGCTTTCCCAATCTGATTTCCTAACTCAAAAATAAATTCTTCAGAGTAACAGTGCAACAGTAAAGGCGGTGTCCTAACCCAGACAGCAAGTTTTCTCACCTTATTATAGTAAGGATTGAAATTAGGACTCTACCTTTGGATAGCTAGGTAGTGTCCCTGAATCATCCAAAGACCATCAAAAAGTAACCTTCAGCATAATTCTTTATCCTCAGACCTGAAAACAAAATAGTTATTATCCAAGTCTATGAGTTCCTAGTTCTGCGACTTGAGCATCTAGAAAATCCTATCCTTCATCTTGTTGAGATTAACATTCATTCCCATAATGGTAAGGACAAGTGCACCTTTCCAAGGTAAGCAAAGTTGTCTTAGCCAATCATTAGGGAGGCTAATATTGGCAATGATTCAACTATCTTTTTCTATTCTTCAATTAGGACTGGAGCTGTATCTTCTTCTTCTTTCGACCACTCCATTATTTGCTCCTTGAAGTCTTATTCAAATTTATTTTCTTCATGTCCTATCAGTTTGTCCTTGTATGAAATTGAAGTTTCCACACCACCTTTCATTCCTTAGCTCGATTATGTTTGGTCATTTTTTCCATGTCCATGTTCAACTTCTTGTATCTTTTTATCAGGTTTTTTCTATAATTTGCTCCTCCATGACTGTATCATTGCTCATCTTCTTTATATTTCTTGCTACCATGTCCTCCTCTTCCTTAGATAAACCTTGACTTCTATCTGTGGTTGATGGTGCAGAAGTGAACGTCTTACTCGGGTGCACATCCTTGCTCTCAAAAACTTTCTCACTCATCTCTATCTTATAAACTAAGTATATTACTCTCATATAATTCTGAAATCACAACATTGCCTCTCATATAAAATGCGTCAAGATGATGGATCTCTCCATATAATAATAATGATTATGATAACGATAATACGTTTTGTTAGCACTTTTCTCTCTTATATTTTACCTTTCATGTTGTTTTTTTTTTCTGCTTTTGTGTTTTCTTTTTCACTAGGAAATCAAGACTTTTACTACAACAAAAGTGAGGAATATCACTTTTGTTGTAAAAGGAAAAAAAAAAATAAAACAAAACATTTTTTTCCATTCCAAAAGAGAACGACTGGATTTCCCAGATGAGAGAATATCACGAAATTGAAAATTGCATAATAAAAACTGTTAGCGTTTAAAAGAATGAAAAATAGAAAAAGGTTAGTTTGATGTAGAAATATGAGAAAATAATTATAGAGTTCTATATGAGACTCTTAATTATTCAAAGGTCCTATGAAATGAAAAAGATAGATCGGGAGAATAGTGATCAAGGACCATTAACTGAAATTTATATTAGTCAAGGATCAATTATTGTCAAGACTTAAATGGATACTTATCAATTCATGTTAGTCTTTTATTAACAAGTATCCATTTAAGTTTTAACAATAACTTGTTCTAAGTTAACAGCAAGTATCCATCAAGTTTTGATAATAATTAATCCTTGATTGGCATAAATTTTCATTAGTGGTATTTTCTCGAATAATCCTTCTCTCACAAAACACCATCATCAACCCTACCATCTTTTCCCTCAATTCCTCTACCAGAATCCTTAAATTCAATCTTCTACTTTGTTAGTGAAAAAAAAATCTTCTACTACCCTGTATAAAAGATCCCTCTTGACCCAAGCCTCATGTCTCTTTCAAAATCTTGACCTTGTACCAGTGTTTTGAAACATAGACTAGACCAAACGGTCTGACTAGTCTAACTGCCCCCTGTTGATCAAAATAGCCTGGTCTAACTAATTGAGCCAATCTAGCATTTGAGCGTAATTAACTCGGCCGATTTCAAGAGAACCATATTTAACTTAAAAATTGGAGTGGGTCAACCCTAGTTTTAAAGCTAAAAAAAAAAGAAAATTTAAGTTAAGTCACTCAAATTTGTATTTTCTCTTTTCTCATCTTTGATCTCTCCTCCACAACTCATGCACAATCTCTAACCTTTTCTCCAATCTTTGCTTTTAGCTCTAGCGATCCAACATTTAGCGTTGAGATCAAAAGCTTGTAAGTTGTAACATGACAACATGCCTCGAGCTCCAACATGTTACTTCGTGATTGCGACCTTATGCTAATATGCCTCCGCCTCCAGCTCTAGCTGTCCAAGTGTCTAGCTTTTAGCATTAAGATCCCAAGCACTATTGACAAATTAATATTTTATTTATATATTTATGTATATAATTGTTATTTTTATTTAATTTTTATGTCACTAGTTTAACTACTAATCTAACTAGTTGAACCATGAAAATTGTGACTTGTTTGTTCTTTCCGGTTCGACATTTGCTCCAAGTTTCAAAACATTGCCTTTTATCAATTATAGCAATGAATCCTTAATTTGAGTCTCACAACCATAAGTGAGGTCCAAATTTACCATGTTTGTACCAATCATATGGGTGACGCAAACTTGGATCATCCTTTTTCATGAATATGACAAATCGATCATACCCAAGACTAGCTTGTTGGAGTTCATCTTCAGAGAAGTTATCATGATAGTTCCCATTTTGATTTTTCAAGTGGTAGAAAAAGGACTAAGCATATTTTTAGCTCTCTACCTGGGTTCGCACCTTAATTGATGAAGGAAATTAGGTTTGCCTCAAATCTTACTTGTTGCCTTAAGCATGCTCATCATCTGCGAGTTCATCTCTATGTTGTCTTAGTGTTGTCTCTTCTGTTCTTTTACTCTCTGCTCTCTCACCTTACTTATTCCTTTATTCTCGATTTCCTTTTAGCGTTTTCCTTCTCTTGTGTACTCTTTTGCTTGCTCAATCTTGATGTTCCTCATTTACCATCTATTTAGTTGTTCCTTTCGCGTTTATAACCAATTAAGTTCAAATTGTTTTTCGCACAATCTAGGTCATCTTTTCCTATGTTTTAGATGGTTGAGTTGCATAAAAAATCATTAAAAAGAGTGAATTCTAAATGTTGGGTTTCGGTCTACAAGTTATCAATGTGATATCTATGAATGATAATGCAATAAGCGTGTGTCTAATTTTATTTACATCTAGAGACGGAAAAATGGGTAGGCCTAGGCCCTTTCTACAAGTTAGCAACTATGATATCTATGAAGGGTAATGAGGTAACTATGTGTCTAATTTTATTTACATATAAAGATGAAAAAATGGGCGAGCTTGGCCCTAAAGGGTCTAGGCCCTAAAATTTAGTTTTTTAAATTTTAAATAAATCTTAAAGCTTGACCCTTATTAAAAGGGCTTAGGGTGGGCCCAGAAGCCTCATTTCAAAAAAAAAAAAAAAATCAATACTACAATTTAATTTTGTTTTTTAGAAAATAATTTAATTCAGCATCATCAGAATATTTAACATAATAATTTAACTTTAAAATCCAACATAAATTAAATCAAGGTTTCACATCATCTAAAAAATAAATAAAAAATTTTAAGGTCTAAATATATGTTAGTTAATCATCATAATTCAAAACAAAATTTATAAAACAAAATATATAATGCATATTGATATAATTCTTACAGAATAAGATGAAGAATAGAATTTTTAAATCAAATTGAAATCTTAAAAGTAAGCATCAAATTAAAATTTTGGACATCTGTGGCCTAAAAAAATGTCTATGTCAGAAGAGGAATTACTTGAGAGTGAGAGAGCTAAAAAGACAAAGCAATAGAATGCTCAAAGGGAGACATTAATTTGAGAGACGTTGAGTCAAGAGACGAGAGGGAGAAGCGAATCGAGAGACGGAGAGGTCAAAGGGCAAGTAGAGTGAAAAGAGGAAGAGATGACACGAGACAACTAAAAGAAAAGAGAGGGTAAGAAGAAAAGGTTGAGTTGATAGACGAAAAGAGTTAGAGAATTTAAAATGGTTAAATACTTAGTTTTTATTTTAAATTTTCCAAACAATGTGTTCTAATGTAGAAGAAAAAAAAATAAAATAGGGCTTGAAGGGTTGTTGAGGCCCTAACCCTTTTTTCGGGGCTTATTAAGACCCGGTCTATAAGCTTGGTTATCCTATTATTATTTTTTTGTTGAAGTTCAAATCTTTAGTTAAACAGGACTGAATTTGGAGGTTTTTATTCTCAACTCTATTTACAGCAAAGGATCTTGGATGTTGGAACCTCAAAATTACTTCTATATTTGATGGGATTTTTAGTAATTAAATGCTTTTGAGTGACCATGCAGCTCAATTATTTGGGTTTTTTGTCACCGTGGTTTGTGATGCCGTTTTCATGGAAACGACGCAACGTAGCAGAAGAAAGGCAATGACTCACGACGGGTCAGCCAGGTACAGGTGCTGGGGGGAAAGCATGAGGCAATTTAGTTTTGGTTTGTAAAAGGCCACAAAATAATTAAACTAAATTAATTGAATTTCGAGAGATCAAATTAAATATTTAAAAATAAAAAGTACAACAATTACATTGCCACTCATGACCAAAAAAAAAATTAAAATATACTTTAACTTTATATAATATTTTAATTTAATTTTTTAATTTTAACATTTTTAATTTTAAATGATTAGTTTTTGTGTTAATTATTATTTTTTAAAAAAATAAATTTAATATATTAACATTTAAAATAATTTATTAATATTTAAAAATTTAATGTAAAAATTAATTAAGATAAACTGAACGATGATAAAATTAAAAAATTAAAAAATATTTTATATAATTAGGAGATCAAAATAAAATATTATGTAAAATTAAAAAATTAAATATATATTTTAATAAATAAAAAAAACATGACCCAAAAAACAATGGCCTCGTTACTAACTTATTTCTTTCCCGCTAATTATAACCGCCGACCTCTAATAAATTGTTGGGGTCTTCTTCCAGGGTGTAGTTGGATTCTTCAATCACGCGATGGAAAATTAAGCATAATATTAATATTTTGAGTATTCTGCCGACAGGCGACCCCTTTCAATCCCCCCGCCCCCTTCCGGGGACCATCTCCGATTCTGACCACAATAATTAACAACGATGGTGTGTGGTTTTGGCCACCGATAATAACTGACACAAATAACATATCTTGCCTTCTAACTACCATTGTTTGCATTGATTGCTTTCTCGTTTGTTCTTATTCTCAGGTTCAGTCCATGCGAGTCACGCATTTCTATGTTTTAATTTTCCTGTGTTTATATGATCAGGATGATGAAAGTGCTGCGCACGAAACTCTGCCTAGTTCTCTCACTGCTTTGCTCTCTTCATTTTCTGGTCCTGGGTTCCAATGGCGGTGAGGATTCAGTCCGCAGGTCTCAGTTCCCAGAAGGCTTCCTCTTTGGAACAAGCACTTCCTCTTACCAGGCACTCTTTTTCTTCTTCTCTCTGCCTTCAAATGTCTCTCTCTCGATTCTTTTCTTGTTACCGAAATTCATTTATTTTTCTGTCATTTACCAAGATTGAAGGAGCATATCTGGAAGATGGGAAGGGGCTCACCAATTGGGATGTTTTCAGTCATATGCCAGGTAAAATCGTTGATCTTCATTTTCCGTCAACCTGTTTATTAGAACATAAAAGAAAGAAGTCCGACGTTTAAAGATCAGAAGATTGATCATAAATATATTAGTTTAAAAAGAATCTAATTAAATGGCTTAAATTATTTTGGTAGAGCATGCTATCTTAAGCATACTTAAATAAGAAATCTAACACTGTTTGGTGATGTTTTTGCAAATTCAAGCACAGATTTATAATCAAAACAGAATAATCACTCTTTCATTTGATGAATCCTCAGGAAACGTCAAACATAACGATAATGGGGACGTAGCGGATGATCATTATCACCGCTATTTGGTAATGATGATCTAAATCCGTTTACTCTTTCGGTTTACTGTTGTCTATTGTCCAAATTTAGTTCCTCACTCTTTGAAACACTTTTTTCTGGACAGGAGGACATTGAGTTGATGTCTTCACTAGGGGTGAATGCATATCGGTTTTCCATTTCATGGGCGAGGATTCTTCCCAGTAAGATCCTCATTATTAGTAGTTAATATAGTTGATGTTATACTTATCTTCCTAATTGATAATTCTATGCTCAGTTTGATCTTTATGAGCTGTTACAGGAGGAATGTGCGGCGAAGTTAATGCAAAAGGGATTATGTTCTACAACAAGATTATAGACAATCTACTTCTTAGAGGTGCTGTAATAACTGTGTCAGATATGATCGGACATTTTCAATTATAAATGGACAATTTTCTTTTGTAGTGTAATGTCTAGCATTTTGTTTATCGGAAAGTTGATGTCATTTTCACGGAAATATTTTTCCCTTGGTATACATCTTGTTATTAGATGTATCTGATTCTGGGCTGGGCATTTGTGCAAAATCCAGGGATAGAGCCATTTGTGACAATACATCATCATGACATGCCACAAGAACTGGAAGAAAAATATGGTGGTTGGCTCAGTCCTCTAATAAAGTGAAATCTCAATCCCCAGGTTTATTCATAAAAATGTAGTCTAAAATAGATCAATTTGGTAGAATGACATAAATATTTGTTATACTCAAAATTTAAAATCTGCATTAAAATACTCTCATTTAATCTGAATATATAAATATTTACCATATCTGAATATGCAGAAATAAATACAGAAATAAAAAGTGGCTTTTGTTTTCTAGTTTGCAATGTATAATGTTAAAGATTTTTCTAGTTTGTCGCATCTTCTATGGATTGCCACTGGGAATGAAGAATTCCCATGTTTCAAACGCGCATAAGCTAACAGAGAACAGTGACAATTTTAAGAATTGCATTTGTCATATGTGCAGGAGAGATTTTGTCATTTTGCCAAGATCTGTTTCGAGAGCTTTGGGGATAGGGTGAAGTACTGGACCACAATCAATGAGCCAAACCTGTTTATAGAAATGGCCTATGTAAGGGGAACATATCCCCCAGCTCATTGTTCACCTCCTTTTGGAAACTGTTCTGTGGGAAATTCTGATGCTGAGCCTCTCGCGGCCATGCACAATGCTTTGCTGTCACACGCTATGACCGTTCACTTATACCGCAATCACTTTCAGGTAATGACAAAAGAACCTCAATGGAAGGCTTGTTTTTCTCCTTTTCTAGGGGGAAGGATGAAAGAGCTAGATGGGTGATTAATGGGTTGAAACTGATGCTGATTTATTCAGGCTAAGCAAGGTGGAACTATTGGGATTGTTGCAAATACCTTCATGTATGAACCTCTTAGAGACAAAGAATGTGATAGACTAGCTGTGAATAGAGCCTTGGCTTTTGTAATTGCCTGGTAAGTAGTAACAATTTGGTCTATACCTGTTTATTTAGTCTTCAAACATTAGTTAGTGCACAAAAAACTAACACCCTTATTATGTGTTATTTCTGCAACTTGTGGCTACATGACTAAAAGATAACATGTACCGGGTTTGTCAATTCTAAACATTTGTTGATAGATTCTCTAATTTCTTAGTCACTATAGCTAAATAGGCTTCCTGTTTAGCAACCAAATTGCTAGTTTAGTGAAAATTCTTTTCTCGGTCAAGAATTGAACTAATCTGGTTAGAGGAAAAAAATTTAAGACTTCTGTTCATGTCAATCACACGTGTACTGTGCTTATTTTTCCCCTTGTTACTCTGGGAACAAACAGGGTGTTCGATCCCCTAGTGTTTGGTGACTACCCTATTGAGATGCGCAACATTCTTGGAAGCCAGCTGCCAAGGTTCTCTTCTGAGGAAAAGAGTCTCATGAAAGGAAGCTTGGACTTCATCGGCATTAATCACTACTCAACTCTCTATGTAAAAGATTGCTCCTCCTTTGCTTGTTCCCGTGGAGGGGACCATGCAATACGAGGCTTTTTGGAAACTACCGGTTTCAGAGATGGCATTCCAATTGGTGATTTGGTATGAACTTCTGCTGTGCTATCGCTAATATCTGTGTTATATTTGTCGCTCAAGTGTTTGATAAAGTGTAGATTGGATTAAAGATAGTATTTGTTTGAAACAGACAGGAATGCCAAGGTTCTTTGTGGTTCCAAGAGGCATGGAGAAGATTGTAGACTACATAAAGACAAGATACCATAATATGCCCATGTTCATTACTGAAAATGGTGAATGAAGCTCCATTAAAGAGAACAGAATTGATGCTAGAGAAGGTTCTCTATTATGTTCATTTGTAGATGATGCTGTGTACTAACAATAGACTTGTCTGCGCAAAAATGTTTCAGGATATTCTACACCGCCAAAACAGGGTGCTGCATTGCATGATTTTCTACAAGATTTTGACCGAGTGAAGTTCCACAAAGCCTATCTTGCCGCTTTGCTTAGAGCCATAAGGTAAGTTATGAGGGGGCAAAGTGTACTTTTCTCATGCGCCTAATCTTAGCCCTCCATTTGATCCACCGGATAAAAACATTTCATTAATCGAAACGTCATTGAAATTAAGCATAGAGGGGTAGCACCAAAAGCACGTTAGAGTTTAGACACCCCTCTCCCGTTATGAGGCCACTATGAGATGGGATTTTCTTGGTCTCATTCTGGGGAAACTTTAATGTGCTGACAAAAATAGAACAAGCAGTTATGACTAGATATATTATCATAGGTGAGTGTCCCTAGAAAAATATGTCGACATTTCGAGAATCACATTGTTGAAGGATGACTGTTGTGTGTGCGCAGGAAAGGTGCAGATGTAAGAGGATATTTCATATGGTCATTGATGGACAACTTCGAATGGGTGGATGGCTATGGAACAAGATTTGGGCTGTACCATGTGGACCGACAGACGCTTGAGCGAATCCCCAAGTTTTCTGTCAAATGGTTTTCAAGTTTCCTCAATTTCACTACCCTCACCCTCACTTTGGAAAATGGACTTCAGCGAGCAGTATCTTGAGGAACAAATATGATGATTACTGGCTGTGAATGTCGTTGATTAATTGTGAATGTATTTCAAGATCACGAATTCCATTTTATCCTGTGGAATTCGTGATATGCCTCTATTTTAGCATATTATGACTGCGCTGTACTATCAGTCAAATGAATGAAATAGCATTTTTATTTATGTAAAATCATCCGTGCTCCTGACTAATCTATATTTAAGCTTTTAAATGGGAGTATCTTTCCCTATATATATATATATATATATTCCAATTCACAATGTTTAAATTCGCGTCCTCGTAATATATTTTAACCGCATTTTACAGCGGTCAAAGGGCCCTTCCAACAGTTTCCAGGGCTTTGAAGAACTGCCCAAATTTATGTACATCATTCCAATTTCTCTGATAAAGAAGCTACTATATGCACCATATGTTTTATGTTATAGAGAAGTCAGTCGTGATTTTTCTGCAGATTAATTCTGAAAAAAATTAGCACTATGTCTGCATCAGTAGTTGAAATGGGAGGGTGGCTTCCAGAAATTGCAGACTAATTAGCTTCCCAGCATTTAATTGTTTTCATCCCTATGGATGAACGTGACAGCCATTCTGCCACTCAATACTTCTAAACCAATTAAAGAAAGGAAAGTGACTGAAACTTCTGTCACTCTCACCAGGGAAGGGTTTTAACGGTGGGGAGGGATTGAAACGAAAGGAAAAGTTTTAATATTACTTTATTTAATTTAAAAAAAAAAAAAAGGAAATATATATATATATAATTTTATCTTTACATTATTAAATTTTTTTAATAAAATATAATTATAAATATTTTTAACCCGTAATTGTAAATATATAGAGTTATTTTTATTATTAAATATATTATTAAAAATCTGTCATTATTAAATTTGTTTTAAAAAATAAAGAGTAGTAATTAAAAAATGATAAATTAATTATTGTATAATAAAATTATAGCCCATTCTCTCAATCTCCAAACCCTCTCCTCTAAATTGGGAGGATTGAGAGGGAATTTAGTAAAATTTTTCATATTCTCACTAATATGCTTTTCATGATAAGTTTAAGAAATATAGATATATTTTTTTAGCATCTCAATGCTAATAAAATAAAGATAAAATTATTTAAATATAATTATTTTTTCTTCCCTCCCTTTCTGAACCAAACAAGATAACATTAAATCCCTCCCCTCCTCTCAAACCAAACATACCCTAAATTGTGGGTGGGGGCCCATTTTTTTAAAAATAAATGTATATTTAATTTTAAAAAATTAATTTTATTAATTAAAATATATTATTATATTATAATTATTAGAAGCATAATCACATAAATATTTCAAAAAAAATTTAAAAAATACAAGATACCATATATCTAATATATTAGTTTTAAGAACAATTTAAATATAATATATAAAATGCTTATAATTATGTTTTCATCTGTCATTACGTATTGATGTTTTTAAAAATCAGGATAGGAAATAATAAAGTTTTATGAAAAAAATTGATAAACCAAAAAATTCATTAAAAAATTAAATGTTCCTTTTATTGAAATATTTTCCCTCCAATCTTATTTATAAATCACTATTAACATTTGTACCATAACTCAGAAAAACTTAAACTTCATTAACCTTGTTTAAAATTTGATAAGTTTCTAACTTTATTCTCATTAAATATACATGATTAAAAATAAAATACCTATAATTTAATAACATTCCAATATTTAATAAAGATAAAAGGATAAAAATAAATAAAATAATTATTGAAGAGCTCTATAAATACAATCAGAATAAATATTTTCTCTTACCTTATAAGTAGAATTAAAATAGTACAAATAAAAAAACATACATATATTATATTATCTATATATAATACCTATAAGTATATTTGTATAAATAATTAACTGGGATGCAATTATGTGACTTTATTTTAACCAAGAATTTTTTTTTTTTTTTTTTCTTTTTCCTGAGGGGTTTGCATTTGCACACTACCGTATATTTGTGGCGTTGAGGCGTTGGGTTGGGGTGGGGGTGGGTCCGCGCCTGACTCTCTCAGTCTCAAAGACTGGTGGTTGGCAGTTACGACTTATGAGTAAGAAGACAAAAAGACTCCTAATATAAGAATACAGATCAGGCTAGTGTAGAGAGAGAGAGGGAGAGAGGTATGGGTTTTGGGGCAGAGATAGTGATGGCAATGGCAGGTTTGTGGGGAGTTTTTCTGAGGCCAATAATGTTGAGATTTGCAACAGATATTGCAGAATGGATGAGATCCAGTATTCGCCGGATTCTCAGGGGAGGAAGCCCAATTTTAGTTCTCTCTTCCTTTCAGCCTTACTCCTCTTCTTTATACTAATCACTGTTATCCATTAGAAGCTTTGCGCTTTGGCTTGTTTGCTCGCATGACAGCTTCAGAGAATGAACAAGGTGCTTCAACTACATATAGCTTTCTCTGTAATTTTATTTTATTACTTGTCATTTCACATTTCTTCCTCCTCCTTTTCTTTGGTAAATGAAACGGGGAGTCATAAAAGCAGCTTCCTCTATGTTTTACAGAGATCTCGATTTGCTATGTATGGCTTGTGTTCTTGTGAAAAGGAAAACGCAAGTAACAAGCAGCTTCCTTTCTGTATATCTAATGGAGATGAAGTTGAGAACCTGAGCTTTTTGATGATGCGCTCAATATAGAAACTGGTAGGGCTATGCTTTTTTGAGGTAGATAATGCTGCAAAAAATGGCTGCTTAGATCAATAAAGTGGAAGCTCACTCACCTGGCTGACCAATAATTCCTGGAGCCATGTGTTTATATCTCTAGATGATAAAACAATATGTGGCATAGAATCATTACCTTTTGTTTCCTCGCTTTTTGACATTTGGATGGCTCGATTTTAAACTTAATTCTAAATTGAAATCACAATTTAAAACATAAGTTAACTCTTTATAATCACATACTACATTAGTTTACTTAGTTAATCTCATTTAATCAGGTAATTAGAGGTTAAACTTTTACGATGATAGAGATTAGGGTTATTTGTGCTATTTCTCTCAAGAATTTAATTTCAATTTAGCCTTAGTAGGATTGAAAGGGACTGAATTAATATTTCAAAAATTTAGAGGCCTGACAATGAATAAGTTTGGTAAAAAGGATTATAGTGAAATTTTCCCTTGTGAATAGGTCCCATACAAAAAATTTATATACAAATTCATTCCGTAAGATTCAGAAACTACAACTAAGTTTTTTAGAGTAACTTGAGATTGAAGTGCAAAGACAATACTACTCCTACTAATTTAGATTTCACTTATAATTACAATTTCATAATTTAGTAACAATTCATGATTCATAAGTCAAATTTTTTGTTTAACATTTGATATAACATAAAATTTTCATGGAATTAATTTTGCCTACTTAAGGTTATAATTACAAAGTGAATTACTAATTCTACATTCCAATTAGACCCATTAAACTTAACTAACATTACTAAAATAGCAAATAACTATATATAAAAGAAAATAAAAGCTATCAATAGGTCCTAATAGAAGGAATATAGTCATTTAAGTATGATGGTTTATATTTAAGTTTGTGTGGATGTAGGAAACATATGTGGAAGAGCTGCCAACAATGCTTGAATTTAATATACTAAGATAGCCACATAAAAAAAATAAATAAATAAAGGTTTGCTAAAAAGCAAAAAAAGAAAATAAAATTTCATTCTATGTTCCCTTGTGTTATGCATCTCATTTTCTCGTTCAAAGTGTCGATGAAGTTACTGAGCAAACAAGCAAAACCCACTTGCCACATTGATTCCTATCCGGAGCAAGAACTTGTGAGTCACTAGACAGTTTTTCCTTTCTCATATGTTCAACTGATGCTTCTTTCTTCTGTGAATGGCTCATGAAGATTGAAGATGGTAAGGATTTGACTAACTACTATGCTTTCAGTCATAAACCAGTCATTGGCAATCTTCATTGCAAACTGCTTTCAGTGTTTAATGTAATATTCTTTAACGAGTCAATATCTTTTACATCTCAGCACCACCAATTTTCACCTGTCAGTTTGCTAGAGAAACTAATAACAAACACTTGGTATTTTACCTTAATCTAGTTTTAGACTTGTTAGGTTAGTTTCCTATGTATCCGTTTCGGAATGCCCGCAGTCTAAAATCTTTACCGATGAATATGAACCATTATTACGTGAAAAATCTTCAAGAAATACCAGAAATGATGATTGTGGTGACATTGCAGATGATATTAATAGCAAGTATGCACAGTTCAACAATATGCCACATGTCCATCACACTAATCACACACTTGAAGTGTCAATGTATAATTTAAAGTGTCGTGTTATATCAAACACGTTTCTCTTTTGAAGTGTCTCTGAAGGCAACATTAATCTTCTGACAGTAAAATATAAAAACAGTTATTTTTACACTCTTAAGATCTATTTCTGCAGATAGTTTAATTTATCTTGAGAAAAGCATATTTTGAAGTATCTTACCTAATTATGGAAAAAAAGGAAGCCAGCATCAGTACTGTTGAACTCTTCATGTCCGAGACTGTTATTCCCGTGTCTGTTCTCTTGGTGGAAATCGGCCAAGATGAGGCTTTCTGGATGCAACTGGGTTAAGAAATAGCATGCTATCTAATGGGTGATTTGACATCTTAATTATTATAATCTTTATGTTATTTCGGATTAAATGTTTGATAACAGATCATCAGCCTGACATTTGATACAACCTGCTTTGTTTTAAACAGACAGGGAAGCCTAAGTTCTTTGTTGTTCCAAGGGGCATGGAGGAGATAGTAGGCTACACCAAGAGTCTTGGTTGGGAGAGGGAAGGGGAAGATCAAAGTTGCTGTCTTGCTGAGTGCCTGAGCTGAGACGCAGGTGGGAGGATGGAGAATGTAGGGTCTGACGACTAGGCTTAAGGAGGAAATGAGTTTGCTCAATCGGTGTTCACTTCCTTTGTTCCTTAATGGCTTGATCAGACTTACCAAAAAAAAAAAAAAATAAAAAATACCTTCGACCAGGGGCCAAACGGGCAGGGTAGCTTACCTTGCCTGTTGCCTGCCTTGCCCGTATAATAGCCCCGCTGAACATGCCCAAAACATGTCAGGCTGCATTGTTTAGGCCAGACTGAGCAACATTTTACTGGGCTCGAGAGGGCACACAGGGCATCCAGGCTTTATGAACACTCTTAATTAAGACAAGATACCATAACATGCCCATGCATAATACTAGAAATGGTATTTGAACAAGCTTCAAATAAAACAGTTCATCTTGATCGCGCCTAGAGTTTAGGATTTAGAATGCCTATTTGCAATTGTGTTTCTTCACCATCTGGATGATCAGATACAAGACTTGAATAGAATTTAGCCTAAAAAATCTTGACTTGCAGCTTTGCTCAGAGCCATAATCTGAGCGATGAGCACTAGAATCTTTGGTTTCTGCAATGAGCTTAACTAATCTTCTTCATATGTTTTTCAATTTGTCACTTTTTACATGGTTCATGATGTTTAATGTTTTGAGAGGATACTATTGGAAAAATGACACTTTAGATCCTCATAAGGAGAATAATTAGGGAATAATTACAAGTAATGAGGAACTGCTTTCAACTGAACTCTTTATGACTTCCAACTCAGTTATTTCTCAATTAATGTCCTCAATTGTAATTATTTTTCTGCAAGGTCTCAAAGTGGTATTTTGTTTCCCTTAATTTGAAAGGGTTGAACCTGCGATCAGCACTACAAAGGGTGAGCTGAGCCCACAAGAGTTTCAACTTCTTTTCCCAATTAAGGAGTTTCAACTAGTTTCTAATAGGAGAATACTTTTGGATAATAAAAAAAATCCATTAATGACCAATTTCATATGGTGATGTTACTGTTAGTATTAAATGTGGGCATGTTTCCAAGTAAAGATTCAAACATTGGTTTGCTATATTGTGTAAAGGATAATTTTAAATGGGCCGATGATGGGTATGACCCCAAGATTTGACGCTGACTATGTGGATCGGTACAATCCCCAAGCCTTCTATTCATCAATAGCTCGCCAGTTTCCTGAGCAAAACTGGGTACACCCTTATCAGTATATTATATTGCAAGCTCATGCAGTTAATGACGGGACTAGCTAGTGAAAAATGGCAACATGGAAAAATACAACCAGAAGTGAGAATGAAGGATGAGAAGGTTTGATTTACAACTGTATTGAGAAGCTTCGTTGAATAGGTCAAAATAGATGAATATGAAAAATCAAAACCAAAAAAAAAAGGAGAAAATTTAAGCTTGAATTATTGATTTTGCATTTTCATCTAAAAAATGGAATATGTTAAGGATATATAATGAGGCTTCTGCAGGTATAGCCCATGTTATAGAATCAAATCAAGCAAATAATTTAATATTTATTATATTTTGCATTATAGTCAATTTATTATATTTGTCAATGATATATTGTTTTATATCAAAATAAACTCATTGTAAATTTTTAAATTTTTAATGATAAACTGCTTGTATATCAATAATAAATTTTTTATATATTAATATGAATCAGCCATACTCTCAAAGTTTAAAAATTTAGTCTATATTTTTTGGATATAAGATTTTTTTTGGTCAGTGGGCCAATTTATTCATATATAATCATGCAACGGATGAAAATGTAAAATGAGGAGCATCAAGTTTTTATTTCTCCAATTTTTCTCATGCTAAGTTATATGTGTGATCGTGCCTTTATAGAAAACGCTCAACGTGGTCGGCCAATATCTCCATTATCACTTGAGGAATTCAAAATTGAGCAGTCCAAATTCCAAATCCCCATCTAGTCAAACCAGACATTAATTCTTTTCCTCAAAACTGAACTTTTTAGGGGAAAAAATAAATGAATTAATCAATAAAAATATTAAAAAATATAAATGTTTAATAATTTTAATCTAATGAATGTATATACAGCACAATCGCCTTACTATTTTTTTATTAAAAAAAAATCTGTAGGTTGACAATTTCAAGTATTATCGTTGCACATGCAGACAAATTAATGACTTGTCAACAATATTCTCACGCGGAGACAGTTCGTTAGGAATTAAGACTCAGGAGAATCAAGAAAACATAAGGTCATACAACTAATAAAGTCTCAAAATTGAAACGACATTCTAGATCTTGTTGGAGAGAGTCAATTGGCAGAATTTCCCGGCGTACAAGGTACAGAGACGCACGTGGTTTTTCGAGCGTTGTTGCATCGTTATATTCTCTACTAAGAGTATATATATAATCTCTCAACTAAAATTTTCATCAGTGTATTGTCTTATTTATTCAAAATATTTTTTATTTTAAGTGTTATAAATTCATTGAAATTTCGATAACTGTAATATCTAGGTGCTTTACATGCAAGATATATTCTTGTAAATTCAAGATTTATTTTATATTGTCAGAGCCTATCATGGAACAATATCTTTGTCTCATAACAAGAGTGCGATGGAGCCAAAAATTGATGCCTGATACTATACACATTGGTTGACGGGGATAATCTATGTGGCTGTTATATCGGTTTTTAGACTTTAGACGCGAATAATTAATAAAAAAAATAAAGCAATAATAACAGCTTTTTGTGCTTCACCATGTTAACGTTCAGTTTTCAAATGGCTTTTTTTTTTTTTTTAGCAGAACATACATGGACTTGGAAAACCAGACCATGAAGTCCTTTAGCTTTAGACCGTGAGAGTTGCTTTAGCATGTGTTTGGATGAAAAAATTCATAACTGAAGTTAAAGACAATTGAGATTAGCAAATTGATATTAGGAAAAGAAGTATGTAATTTTAATGTAATTTATATTTGGATATCCTTTCTTCAGTAATCAATTGAACGAACTTAAATTTATTTGGATAATTTGATTCAAAAGTTAATTAGGATATATGAAACAAAAATATATAATTTTTTGTGTATATTTTTGTGACTAATTTGATATTTTTAGAAAAAAAATTAAACTAAAAAATAATAAATTTTTTGAAAAGTTTGTTACAAATATTAAAAATACTGATAAATCAAAAATATTATTTTTAAAAAAAGGTAGAATTAAATTATAAAATTTAAAATATTAAATTATGAAAAGCTGAATTTTTTTAAAAAATTAGTTTGGCAAGGTGAAATTTATTTAAATGATATAATTCAAAAGCTAGTTTAGATTTGTATGAGAAAAAAGGATATTAATTTTATATATATTGTGACTAATTTAATATTTTTAAATAAAAATAAAAAACTTTAAATTATAATTTTTTAAGAATAGCCCTTAAAAATAAAAAATAAATTGATAAATTCAAAATCTTAAATTTTAGAAAGGTAGAATAAGTTGTAAATTATAAAATATTAAATTCTAAAAAATTTAAAATAAATTGATGAATCATAAAATTTTATATTTTAATTTTTTTAAAGAAATTGGTTGCAATTGTATGTATGTGCTATATAAAGACTGAGAAATGGGTATTGGGTTACTAGTTTAGAATTTATCAATTTAATGGCTTTGGTCCCTGATGAATCTAGTCGTATCAAGCCTTTATCTTTTGGCAAAAAAAATGAAAAACAAAAAGAAGAGAAAAAAATAAATAGATGGACTCAAGGAATTCATGACTTTTCCCCTTCCTCCTCTCTCTAATCAATCCATCAAAAAACAAACAAATCTGATGAGAAAATAAGCAAATCTTGCATCTGGCAGAGGTTAAAGAAGGTAAGAGCAACAAGAGGGTAATAAAAAGTCAAAGAAGAAGCAGAGGTCGAAGAGCTTCTCTGGTCTTGCAGGCATGCACAAGAAATATCAGGCACGACGCAACGGCTAAAAGAGAAGGATGCAACGTCTTGCTGAAGAATGAAGAAATAGCTGAGTCACAAGTGGTTGAGCAGGTGGGATAAAGGAGAGAGAAAGTTTCATCCAAAGCTTATTCTATCAGTACATTAAACTCAAAGCTCAATGTCCCGACTTCAGTTGGAATGGACATTTAGTCCTCAACGCTATCTTAATATTTTTTCACCCAAACAAGTTTTTTAGCATCCTAATAAGCTTTTGACATCCCAACTGAGGTTTTGGGTGCCAAACCTCAATTGGAATATTTATCCAAACATGCACTTAGTATGCTTCAGAAGCAATGAGGTTAAGTATATGATTATATTAAGCTTCAAACTAAGATTCTTCAAACGACCTAATTATATGATTAGTTTGGCACAATGGAATGGAAAGCGTTGCTAATTAAAGGGATCCAACAATAGTGTCCAACGCTTTGTACAATTCCATACTTAAAGTTGTACATTGGAGTGGAAATAAGTTAGGTTAGACTTTAGCCAAATACTTTTAAAACTGTATTGTAAGTTAAAGGTCTGAGCTTGGCTTAAAATTTAAAAAAAAAATTTTTTATGACTCAGGCCTGAATCTACTTAAAATCTATTTAAATGTAAGCATTTTAAATATGCTTACATATTAGTTTTAAATGCCTCAGATATGCTTTTAGAAGTATTAATGTTTATAGTTATATAACATGATTTATGAATTTCAATATATAAAAATTAAAATAACTTATCAACTACAAAATAATAATAAAGTAATAACATTAAAATTAATATATAAATTCAATCTAATTGAAAACATAATTAAAAATAAAAAATAATAGATTGATTAAAAATTAAATGGTGAAATAATGTGCATATAATATATTACATAATAATATATATGTAAATAAGCAGACTTGTTATGCTTGTAAGTGATGCCTTGTAAAAACAGGCATGATCTATTTAGTTAAGTAAGCATAATCAAATGTTTGAACCTAATTTAGACCTATTTAATAAATAGATTAGGTTGCATTGAAATAAGCCAGGACATAAGCCATTGTCTATTTCCACCTTTAGCTATACACTTTAGTTTAGAATAAAAACGCTATAAAAGCCTAAGCCATTGTGGCATAGTGGCATTGGCACCCTCTGATAGGGAGCTTTGTGTGCTCAATCCCCGTTGGGAAAAAAAGTATTGGATATGTGTGTTCTACCTATGAATAAGAGTGTAAATATGGTCGGATGGGTGTGGATATAATGGCATTGTCCCTTGCCCCCCCCCCTCCCCCAACACACACACACACACACAAAAAAAAGAGCTACAAAGTCATGAATGACCTTGTCGTGCTTGTGTTATTTAATCAAGAGCCCCTCATAGGGGACTAGTTAATTAGTTTTTTGGTTTCATAGTTTTCCCAAAAGAAATCCTTTCAACAGAGATATCCATGAATCTTGCCCATTAGGTCACTCAAAGCAAAGGTTTGAGCAAATTTTTTAGGGAGAATTATGTTGAAGTCTCATATAAAAAAATTAATTATTGCAAGATCTATCAACGACTAAAATAAGGCCATTGACAATTGATTGTGTTGTCATTGACATTAGTTTAGTTATCAATAGTCTTGTAGTAATTAATTTTCTTGTGTGAGACATGTATGTAATTTATTTTATCTACATTCTTTTTTCTTTTTTAATTTCCATTCTGTACCAAATATTATTGATCAAATAATTAAAATATTGTATCTCCATTTCCAATCATACCAAACATAGGTTCTTAATACTTCACATCTCCAATATTGCATAAGAAATCTTTTCACTAAACCAAACATTGCCAGTGCAGGATGAATGACATATTAAAGAGATAAAGTAAGGAGGATATATAGTTTGAAGACTCTCCATCTCAAACCTAATGGTCTCATAATTTATTTTAATTAATAAAAACTTGTAAAAAATTATTTCCAAACTAAATGAAAAATGGTGTGGTAAGTTGCTTTCCAATGAGGGTAAACAAAAAAAGTTACAGGTGATATAGTTGTTAGATGTTGAATAAAGAGAGATTTAATTATTAGCAATGGGTATTTTTTTTATTTAAAAAATATTAGACAATGGGTTAAAATCGTTGCTATTTTATTCTGGGTAGTGATTTTTACTAATCGTCATCTAATACTTGTTCCTTAAAGTAAAAGTTAGCAATGACGATAGGAAAGTCAACTTTTATTGATGACTCTTTTATGTATGCCTGTTACAAAACAAATTGTTGTCATAGACCAAAAATACTATGGTGATATTTCTAAAGATAAGGTGGTCATGTACATGTGATGATTCTAAGGACGAATTATCTGACTTTTAAATCCTAAGGATAACAAAGAGAATTTGTTATCTTTCTGAAAATATTATTGTTCACTGGCAATCACAGATTGTTTTCCTTATTTACCTTCAGCTCCCAGAAGAGGGGAAAAAAAGCTAAAGTTCATTATTACCATAAGTCACACAAACACACACACACACACACACACACACACACACACACTAAACTCTCTTATCTCTCTCATTCTCTCCGAGCAGGGGCACGACCAGTCTCCTGCTGGGCCGGTGACGGCTTCCTCGTCGGAGTGAAGCCCGTGAATAGGAAGACTCAAAAGAGGGTCCCAATGACGTGACATTCACTACTTCTGTTGGCTTTAAATTAAAAGATTAAAAAAAAAAAACAAGTTAACCTGTTTCCACATCGTTTGTCTGATCTCTTCGATAATTTTGAGGTAGCTTTGTACTTTAACCTTTATATATATATATATATATATTTATTTAATATTAATGTTATACACACACACAAGAGACAATTTTAAGAGGCTGGCTAGCTAGGATCAAGTGTGTAACCTATATATATGCATTGACATGGAACGCTTGATTGATTTGAAGCTCGCGATCTCAACAACAACAACGACATAAGAAGCCAGTGAGAAACTACCAGATAGACCATTTTAATTCACAATGGATATATAAGAATTATACAAACAACAGAGCAAACTGTTAAAATTTATTAAGGAATATCTGAAATGGTATCCGCTAAACATGTATTGTGAACATATTTTATTATTTATTAGTGGAATTAAATCAAGCTATAAATGAATCACAATTAAAACATTAGATAGGCAAGCTTTTCTTGAGCATAAGGATCCAGCAGTATGCAAAAAGAAGTTAGTTTTTCTTGAGCATATATCTATGTTGTATATATCAAAGAGCAATGGGCAAGTTTTGGTTCGCCTCCATTATCATCTGCTCTTCATTCTCAACCTCGATCATACTGTTGATGATGATTTCAGAAGCACCACTCACGATATCTGACAAGCTCCTGCAAAAAAAGCACGAACCCTAATTAATGTCTTACTTACTTAAGTTAACATGAAGGTCAAGCACGACATACCCTTTAGAGGAGTTGTAATTGAGTCCGACGATGTACTTGGCCTCATTAAGAGCCCACCTGAACCGCCGGAGCTCCTCACCGGATAACTTGCCGTCGTTGGGAACTTTGAGCTGAGAGGGCTTGACGTCGCAGAAGATAGGGATCACTTTCTTGCGACACTCCATGAGGAGGGCGAGCTCGTGAAGGCAAAACTTGGACTCACAGTAACGGGGAGAGAAGATAGCAACACCGACCTTACACTCCAGAATTGCACCATTAATTTTCTCAAACAGCTTGTCTCCTGGTTTCATGGTCTTGGTGTCTAGAAAAGGATTGAAGCCAACCCTACTTAGGTGGTCGTACAGCAGAGTGGACACTGTCTTCTTAGTGTCTGTGCTTCTGTGGTTTAGGAACACATCGCACGGCTTCATCACTCTCTTTGCCATCTTCATGATTGAGTATGAACGATGCATGCTTCTTTCTTTTTTTCGGGAAATGACAGTAAAATTGTTACCTTCTGTTTTTCTTGATGTCTTAAGGTTTTGCGTGTATGTCATGTGAGGGAGAGTTGTGAAATGGCTAGCTTATTTATATATAGAGGGTGATTTGACATGACGTTTCTGAATTTCCCATTAATTTCCTTTATTTTGGACGACCATTTGTTGGTGGTTTGTTCAAGGGTAATTCTAGTCTGTGAATTGAATAGAAAGCCAGGAAAACCCTATGAAAGTATTGAAAGTATAATATTTTAATAGTTATATGCAACGATATGTGAATCTCGATCGATCTCTGAAGCGAAAACAATACAGTTTTTGACTCCCTCCAGGCTACATGCTTTAGGGAAAAGCTACGCACCCTTCAAAGACGTTAAATTATTTGTCTTTCTCTCAATGTGAATATGATACACATGCCCATACATGGAGTTGCTTTTGAATCGTTAAACGTTATTAAAGATGAATATAATATTACTGAGTCAATTAGGCATGCACACCCCTGCATACAATCTCATTTTCTGTATACAGTTTCCAGGGTCAAATTCAAGAAACCTGTATAAATATAACAGAAATAAAGCAAGTCTTGTGCTGTTTAATGATTATTTAATTTATTGATTTATTTATTCACTTGCAATCAATCAGAATCGGCTTAAAACTTGTTGAATAGTTTCACTGTGCGTGGAAAGCAATTCATATTTGCCTTGTGAGTTTGAACAGTCTGTCATCTTAGATACGGAGGTGCAAAAACAAGAAAAAGTTTTCAACTAGTCAAACGTATAAATATATCGATCAATGCTGTTGATCAATGTCTCTGTGAGGACACGCACGTAGCTGTCAAAGTTAAAGACAATTAGCCAAGGGCCACAAAGGGCCCTTTCCTTTGACTGTTTGAATTTATAATTTCTAGTCAGCTCAAAAAGTTTCCTTGTAGTGTAGTGCTCATAGAATTCTACAGGGAGAATTTTAGTTAGCCCCTATAACTTAATTTCAGTCAAACTCTCTAAAATTCTGAAATTTCATTATACATATAAGGGGCTGAAATTAAATTAAAGAGTTGACTAAATAATTTTATTGTCCCTGATAATATGAACAACTAATGTATTGAAAATAAACAAGTGACGTATAAAAAATGAACAATTGACATAAGTAGAATTTATAACTTTCATTAACAATATAATACCACTATAAAAATAAACAAATGTAACTAGGCACATGAACAACTCATGTAAAAAAAATAAATAAGTAATATATAGAAAATAAACAATCGACATAGGTTGAATAAAAATTGCAAATTTATAATAGTATTATGTTATTAATAAGAATTACAAATTTCACTCATGTCAGTTGTTTATTTTTTTTTTTCATACGAGTTGTTTATGCATTTAGTTTCATCAAGGACAATAAAGTCATTTTGGTCAGCTATTTAATTTCATTTCAATCTCTTGTATGTGCAATGAAATTTCAGAATTTTAAGATTTTTTGACTAAAATTAAATTGGGTCAAGGGGTCTTGCTGAAATTTTCTCAATTCTGTATATCAAAACAAATTTATATGAACGAATAACATATTTAATCGTGTGTTTTGGTTTTTTTTTTTTTTTGGGCTAGCTTTGATCGAATATTATAATGTAACTTTATTATGTAGGCATATAGGAGGGAAAGGCACACGGAAGTTCATTTGTTTATCGTATGTGATTGAACTGTCAATGTAGGATCCTTGACGCTATGATTCCTGGAAAAGCATATTCGATTGAATTAATTACTAATTATGCGTTAGTACTTAGTAATGTCACTTTCATCTCTCCCTGATCATGTATTCCGTGTATATTAATTGAAACTTAACATTCAAGAGAATATTCTTAGAGTTATATGTTAAGATTAAATTAATAAAAGTAAATAAATTATAACTGGAATATTGATGTACGTATATTCATGGAAAGTCACTTGGACAAAAGGCAAGGTAGGCAAAATGGTGGTTAAGGTATATGAGTTGGGGTGTCTTAAAAAATAGTACTCTTGTCCGTTCTATTGCATCTGGAGAATGGGTTTCGTGATGATTCTTTTTATGAGATGCCAGCGGATTGAACATTTATCACTCTCGTCATCTCAAATTATAAAATATTTTAAAAATTATTTAATGTTTTAAAATATAAGACATTTTTATAAAAATAAAGTTTTATTAATAATATATTTTTAATATTATCCTTTTCATATATTTTTTCTTTTCAATATTCTTTCATCAATAGAGTATTAAATAAAAGATATTTTTAAAAATTTATATATTTTTTTTAAAAAGTAAGGTTGTAAAGTATATTTAATAAATTTTATTAATATATAAAATTTTATTTAAATGAGTATAATTTTCTTTATACTCATATTTAATGTTGATATATAAAAGTCTGGGATAATATGGGCAAAGTAGGAGTTTTTTGATGAAGGACAATTGTTAATTAGAATATCCATACTATCGTGAGTTGAGTGGGCCCAAGAGGCATTAAATTAGCGAGGGCCTCCTCCTCTATCACATTCGATGAAGAGCAACGTGTCTGCAATTCGGATTCAATTTCCGGGAAGAAAAATGTACATGATAACGTCAATAACACTGTCCGTAAGTAAAAGCTTGCCTGGACTCAAAGTCTAGACTATAACTAAACCCATTAGAGCAAAGATTGTTTAACACAAATATCAATTAGAGTGGCGTATCTTGGAAAGCAACTGAGTTTTTACGTTACCCCAAACCCTAGAAATGGCATTGGAAGTGACTTTGACACAAATATTAACTAAACCCACCATGATGGAAGCGCATAAGAAATAAGGTTCCCCCTTTTTTTTTTTAATGGAAAATGACACGGCCTTAAGGTTTCTCAAAACTCAGCAACCTGGATGAACTCAGGCAAGTTTTCAGTTTAGTTGCAACATTGCAATTGTTTGGTTGGATCCTTGAGACCTCACCATTGCAATTCTTCTGTTGGCAGTAGCTAGTAAAATCTAGTCTGAGTCATATCTTAGGACACTGTCCTTAAGAGCTATTCCGTCACACCGAGTTAATTGGACGGCAGTTCCTCAGAATTAAATAGACTCTTCTTACTAAAAGTAGGGACACAGAACAACAGAAACTCACAGAATATACTCAGGTAACTGCACAACTAGTATGATAGAAGAAAAGAGAAAAGCCGAGAAAACTAAGGTTCTCTCTGAACTTGTGACAAGCATTGTCTTTTATAGACAAATCTCATAATGCTGAGCAATAAAATCACCTTAATCACAATTAAAAAAACGGTTTCAAATAATAATGTTGTTTAAATTATATGTTATAAAATAATAAATAGACTTAAATAATAATTAATATTATAAATTTATAATAATTTTTTTTGAAATACTAAAAAATATTTATAATATCCAACATCTTCTACCATCTGGATCATAAAATTGTACTATTATTCTAATTTTCCCTGCATTCAAAATACTCTCATATTTAAAATAAAATATTTTCTATGGAAGGTTGCCTCGAATAGTCTCCAAACCAACCACATGCAAACAACTAGGAATACTCTCCATCAATATATTTTTCCATTTGGTTGTAACTTTTCTGACTCTTTAATTTATATTTTACGTGACTATGTGGAAGCTAAAGAAGTTTGAAAAAAAAAAACTAGTTAATCATGCAAAACTTAACACCTTCTTCTCTTTTAATGTATAGGATTAAATAATCTAAAATGCAGAATTGAAGCAGGTAGCTTAAAAACAAAAAGAACGCCTTGGTAGAGATTTTTTACACAAGCTTGCTGGAATATTTAAAAAGTTAGATGCAAAAAGTTGTACTCAAAAGATGAGATCTCGGACAGTGATATTGCTTTCTCCAACATTGAATAAATAAACAATGATTTGAAACTTCTATCCAAAATCACCCACTTGGGCAAAAGAAACTCTACAAATAATGATAAACGAAGCTCACCTAAATTCAAACGGGTTAGACTCAATACTGACAACTCTATTAACATTAATGGTGTTGCAGCTTACGAAAACATCATCAAAGATGATAAGGAAAATTGGAGTAAAGGATTTTTCAAATACCTTGAATATCAACCTAACACAACAGCAAAACTTATGAGCACCTTTAAGGGTCTAAACCTTTGTTGGAAAGTAAAATTATCAAGAGTTAATATCCACTCTGATTTGATGGAGGCATTGTCACTCCATAACATCACCCTTTATCTAACACTATCAAGAATATTAGAGAACTTACTATGAAAAATTAGATGGTCATCTTTAATCATATTTGTAGAGAAGCAAATAGATATGTTGATCTCTTAACCCGCCGATCACTACATGATAATTTTGATATTATGATTTTTGATGTTCCCTCATGATTTTGATGTTCCCTCATGGTTTTAAATATAATCAAATCTTAATTTGTCGTGTCCTTGTAATAAAAAAAAATACTCTCATATTCTAATATATCATGTACTGCATGGGTAAAATTGCTATAGATTATACATTATTCATAAACTATTACCATGCACTTGAGGGATATAAGTGTAATGACCCTAAATTTAAACTAGAAAAAAATATTCTTAATATTTTAATAAGTTTTATAGCAATTAAAAAGAGGTAGTTTATAAGAGATTATGCTAGAAATTTTTACAAGGATCTAGAGTCTAAATTTTCTAAGTTGAAGTTTGGTTTTAAATTATAGAAAAATATTGTGTCCGTTCTTATAATTTTCTCGTGCCTTTTATTGTAATTTTCTTGTGCTTTTTGGTAATTTTTCCCATTTCTTCATTTGCTCTGAATCAGCTCGTTTATGTGGATAAAAAACACAGCATCTCGATCCTTCTTTCTCACCGCCATTCTACACTTCCTTAGAGCCTCACATAGTCGGTTCCTTTCTCTAACTCTTGTCTACATCTTACTTCATTGTCGGCTGAGAATTTTCGTGTGGCTGTTGCTTCATTTGCTGTCATCGTCATCACTGTCGACCTCATCGTTCTCGTGCCAGCACAGTGGAGCTGAGTTACTGATTCTCTTCCCTCTTATCGTTGCTGTTCGGTGTTATTGGAGGTGCGTGATGCTCTATTTCTTACCTTGCTGTTCGGTCTATGCACTCACAGCTATTTTCTTCCTCCTCTCTGTTTTTTTTTTTTTTTCGTTTGCCACGGTGAGGGAAGAGGTTAAGGTTTCTGTTGTGTTTCTCTGTCAAGGGTTGTTGGTGATGAGGGGGAAACATAATTTGTTATTTTCATCTCCATCATCGGATCATCCATGCACGAAGGAAGCTTAATATTTTCTTCTTCTTTTGCTCTATGAAATCTGATCGGTTTCCTTCTCTTGGGCTGTTTGGGTTGTAGTTTTTCTCTCTTTCATGCTGTGATGCTGTCCGTGAGTAATATATGTGAGTGGCATATATTACTACGTGTTGGCTAAGATTATATGTTGATTCTCTTTTCTTCCGTGAATGTAGAATTCTAGTATATTATGCTATTTACTCTTCTTTCTTTAGGGACCGAAAACGTGCTCTGCTTCCCTATAGTATTTTCTTAAGGTGGTAGAAATAATTGGGTGATGTGGATTAGATATCATTTTAGTATACGTTGAGCTAGAACTTTACAAAGGAAATTAGAAGATGGAAATTATTAATTTTACTTGGGTGCTTGCTCCATGATTTGGATGGCTGCATGTCCTCTTGGTAATTGTAAATATATACTTGAAAGATTTATAGGTAAAAATGAGGTTGCTAAAGTTATAATAAAATCTAGAGAAAATTTAAATATTCATAATAACAAGAAGATTGTTGGGTTACGTGGTAGATTAATCTTGGAGCACCATTGGAATGAGCAAGGAGTTGTGGGAGTTGGACTGTAAAATTTTAAAAACTCAGGTGAGTGGGTAGTATTTTGAATCAATTTTAGAAAATCCTTTTATTTAAATTTTATTATTATTCTTTTATAAATTATACAAATATTATTGTTAATTCTATTTTTCTAACATTTGTTTTATTAAGGCAAGTATGTTGATTTTTTGATAATTTATATTATTGACAAGCAACATTTGAAACAGATATATGATAAACAATATTATTTCTCAAAAATAGTTGAATTACTTAATTTTATGTAGATATAAAGATTCATATGCAATAATTCATGTATGGAGGAAATGATAATAATTTGGACATTGAAAAATGATAGTTGAATAGTGATTGAAAGTGGAACTTTTAAAATTATTTTTCTTGCTCCATACATGCTTGATTTTATTAAGGGGGACTGAATTCAGAACGCTGGATGCTAACGGTAGTCCCGTTAGCCCTTGGCGCGCCATGGTACACCTAGTTAGTAGGGTGCATTGGAGATGCTAGCCCCATGTGCTGGCCAACACACATGGAATGGAGGATGTAGTTTCGTGGATATTATCCATGCCTGTTATTCGTGAGCTTTATGCTTACGTCTATTTTTCGTGGCTTCTTGCCACGCCGGATATGTTACTTACTCTCGTGGACTATGTGTTCACGTCTGTTATTCGTTCTGATAAAGCTTATGGTTTTTATACTAATTTCTTTAAAGGCATTTTTTATTGCACCATTACTCAAAATTTTATATATATTATAAACTTTTGTTTATAAACTTGTCTGGTTCTAATATTGTTGGTGGTTCCACGATTATACCATTAAGCAAACTCGTTATTTATTGTTAATTAAGGCAAGTGTTTCATTATTTCTTGATTTGTTTAAATTAAATTGGTAGTTATTATTTTCACATTTTTATTTATTTATTTATTTATAATTTATAAACTTGACTGGAACGCTACTCACTAAAATTTATTTGGTCTCAGATATTATAGCTGACCCTGCGCCTCTAACTGACCATTGAGGGCTATTCTTGCTTTTTGGATAAAGGAAATATATTGTGATTACTCTTTTTGGTAAAATCTTATATTGTATTTTGTAAATTATAAGTTAGTGCTCCACGTACCATATAGCTGAATCCTAGTTTTATTTTGTTATTGTGAAAATTTCTAGAATGGAGCTAGTCTCCTTGCTAATTTGATTGACAGGTTGTGTAGTTGTTGTGAAAATTTCGGGAGGTCCAAATTATAGGGGAGATTATGTCAAAATTTTCTACAAAAACTTTAAAAACTTAAACTTTACTATTATATGTAATTTGCATATATCGGCAATTTAATTAAATTTTTAGATAATCAAGATTTATGGAATGTGAGTTCATGTCATATTCCAAGCTGATCATACCCTTAATATTGGGATGTGACAATAAGCACTATAGGGGTTCAAATCTACACGGCGCGCACGAGGTCATGGCAATTCACAAGCAAAATTGTCAACAAAGGTCATGAAACTTCTCTCCCAAACCAAACATCCTAATTAATGATCCCTCATTGATTAACAAGCGCTCTTTATCTGCAGAACAAAATCTTCCTGTCCAGAAAATTAAATGCAGTAAACAGGGGCAATGTTACATAGAAACTATAAAAATATAATTCCTCATAATGACATCTTTGAAAGTGAATTCCTAGTTATATATGGTTATTTTAGTCTTGTTTTGAGAGTTTCACTGATGCAGTATTACATAAAAACCTTTGATAATAACGTTACAGAGCTTTTCTAACTGTATAAATAAACTTCTGATATTCTTTTTTCTTTTATGTTACAATCAGAAACACCTTTGAATTTCCTCCGCTAACTTTGAGATTGCATTCTTCTCCTTTTTCTTGGAATTTTATGGTAAGTTAAGGAGAAATATCATCAACCGGAACAAGAAGCAGCCACCTTGTATCTTCTGAAAATCTTACAGAAGTCACAAAGTCCCAGAAACATTCAATTAGTTTCTTTTTCTTCATTGAAGGGTTTCTTTCATTGTTGTTTCTCTGCTAGTTGGCATGGAAGAGGATCTTGTGATTATTTCTGCACTGAAATTGAACCTTATTGCTGAAGAAACTGAAGCAGAGGGACGAAGGAGCGGTGTAGTGGCTCTGCTTGAAGTTTCATTTGCCATGGGCGATGGGGAAGCTGCGGAAGCACCTACTGGCTGCAATTCTATTCCAGTACCAGTGGCAAGGTCAGTGGTAATTTGAGGGACATCCATCAAGCGATCATCTTCCTCAACAGGCAACACCGTACTTGCATCAGTATGTATTGTGGAATCATCGGTGAACATACCATGCCTTCTCTTTTTTCTAGCCGCCTTCCCCCATCCATGAATTGTCTCCCTTATCCTCTGTGGAATTAGTGCAGCCTTATAGTTTGTTCCCATCTGAAACAAACAAGGGAAAGATGTTACCACTCATCTAATCAGCCTTCTCAACCAAAGCGGAGGGAAAGAATCAGTGGCCGACCTAAGCATAGTTGAGGGTGGGCAAGTGCCCCCACTCAACTTGGGAAAATTTACAAGAGGTGAATGTTTTAAAAATTTGCCCTCATTACCCTAATAATTTTGAACCCACTAAACCCAAACTAAAATATATTTGAGTTCAAAAAAATTTCAAGTCTTTTCCGTTTCACTTTAGTTCAAAATGTTTTAAATTTTGAGTACATTATATTTAAATTTAGATTATTTTTATAAAAATATCATTTTAATTTTCCCTTTCCTAATATTATTTACAAAACTAAATATTTATTTTATAAATATTAAATTATTTTTAAATTTTATTTAATTATGCTCCCATTAGCTCAAGGTCCTGCTCCGCCACTGGAAAGAATCATCATTATTCCCATAGAAATGCAGTGAACTCGTTTTCTTACTAGTTGTTTGGTCACTCTTGCAAGGAGCAGGGGGGGCCATTTCTTTCGCTAGTTGACAACTATTAGAGACTGTTCATTAGCCTTTGCTATAAAGCTTCGGCTCGAGTTGACACAGTCAGCGGTATCAGAAAAATGCTTTGATCATTTGCATTGCACATGATATTACCTGTGTAACAAGTGCGTAAAGTGGCAAGGTGCTATAGCTGCAGAGGAACTGTCCGGCAAACCTATGAAATTGCGTAAAAGAAAAGAAAAGGAAGCATGTAACTGATTTAACATCATCTAATGTTAAAAGTATCATTGTGACAAAGTAAATTTCTGCATACCCCAATGTTAGCCTTAAATACACAAGGAGATGATTCCTAATAAAGCAGGAATTGTACCCAAATTGCCACTGCAGTTAAAGAAGACCTTTCAATCAACTGAAGGAAGAGAACAGGAAAAATGTATATATGTTTTTTTCTCTGCATTTCTTGTTGTCTTCATCATGTTCCCTCGAGTGTTTTAACACATCTAAGAGAAGCCACCTTTATCTAAGTACATGAACAGCCTTTGTTTTTATTCATTCATTTATTTATTATGGTCTGCTATCTTGTTCCTATAAGTGTTTTACCAGTATCAAGTTCAGCTAAAAGAAATTAGATACTGGCTCAAGTGTATGTGGGAAAAAGGAGATACTCCTATCACTCCTTAATCTCATACTTCAAGGTAAAACCTAAATCACAATATGGATAAAAAGTTATACCCAGAACCAAAAGAATGAAGCCAATTCAAATGCATTCTGCAAAGAAGGAAATAAAAAAGGCGTATATCAGAAGTTGATAAATGATAACAAACTTCAGTAAAAAAATAATTGAAAATGCAGATGAACCATTACTGACTTGGAAGAGAATAAAGTGGATCAAGGACAGCAGAAGTTCAGGCTTGTTAAACCAGAAAAGTTCATCACGAGGCCTCAACTTAGCTCCAGGTAAGAAACCAGTAATTCCTGAGTTCTCCAGTGCCAAGGTTGCAATGACATGCTGGAGTTTTGTTCCCACCAAAAGAACCAGCTGTGCGTGAATATGAACACATGATGGAATTAACTTGTCATGACTACCACAACTTTTATGTGTACAATATTTCTGACATGTTGAGGTTTTAGATGATCCGGATCCAAACACTCTTTTCTTATGCACTGTCTAACACTTTTTGAGAGCCACGCCATCAAACATATGTGAATGAATTGGAAAGAAGATGAAATGGGCACTTACGAATAAGAAAAAGAAAGAAGGGAAATGACAGGTCTAACTTACAGTAATAGGAATGATAGCTATCCAGAAATAGAGATTAGATCCTGTCAGAGACCAAAGAACACTAAATATAAGAATTATCCAAAATTGTATGATCTGACTAAAATGATTCGAGGAATTCTAAAACACAAAAACAGCGGAGGGGAAGCTTTAATTAAAGAGAAAGATCCATAAAGAGGGATACTTTTATCTTTTATGAACAACATACCATACCTTTAATGTTGAAGAGCATGAAAGCAACAACAAATCCCCATAGTGGGCCACTGCAAGAGATTTTTCATATAGAAATGTTAACAATGTCTTCTATATAAGAATCAAAGTTCAAGAAAAGCATTATAAGTGTGTAGAGAATCAAAGATAAACTCCATCGATAAAGTGATTTCTAACTATAACTGTTGATCATAAAAGATAAACAACTTTTTATTAAAAAAAAAAAAAAGACAAACAATTTTTCAAAGCAAAACATGAAAATGAATAGATTCTATTCAAGTTCAATGATGCATGAGAGAAATTGAGACCATGCACAAAGTTAAAAAAAGCGTACAAAATGCTGGATGAACAGAAATCAATTGCTAGAAGTTTTGGTCACGGACCTGCAAAAAGTAATAATGGATGAATATTAACAATTACTAACCTCACACCAACTATTTTTTGGAATTCCTCTTCCATTGATCGGATCATATAGCTGTGAAAATCATATTTGAATGAGAGATTGTGATTCTGCCATGAAGAAATGAAGCATACTGAGTAAACATTCACATTCATGAACATATCGTGTATAATAGCACATTTTAGTGCCCCTTTAGAACATAGAATAAGAGGAGCTATCAACTTCTAATTTGTTTCTTCAAGGTTTTTCAAAAGGATAGATGCCTGTAGGTCTTAATTGGCTAATGTATCTAATCACATTGTGAGATAAGTGCTTACACATCATATTAGCAATATAATTTGTTAAAAACATGGCAAAGTGATTCACCTGAAAATACACAAGATAAAACCATATGTAATAGTTTTTAATCTAAATCACTAGATAGTCACCGTGATGAAGCCTTTGCGGAGAGTAAGATAGTCAGCACGAAGAACAGAACGCCCAAATTGTCGGAAGAAACATGTCTGCAATGAGATTAAACTTGAAGCTAGGCGGATTTCCAACTTTAATGATTAAATAATTCAAAATAGAACCTAGATTTCTTACATCAAACATTTTGAAACGATTAGATTGTTGAGACGAAACTAGAACTAAGGAATCATATACAGACTCAAAACACAGAGAATATAAGGTTAAAAAAAATGGATTCTGGCAAAGAAAGCTTTCAAAAACAATTGACAGGTGTAAGAGACTCTTTTATCCAGTAACTAAGAATCATTAGAACCTAGTATACTTTGAGCGACCATATAACAAAGCAGAATTCAGTAGACAGTAATTACCACCCAGATGAGAATATTGTTTCTGGTCAATGGATTTGACGAATGAACTTTGATAAAGGTTGATTGCCTTCGCAGTGTCATCTCTCTTGTGATTTCTGTTGCAACACAGGAAAAAAGGTATACTCTTGAAAATAGTTTCATTAATACCAAAGAACAATTAACCGTTCATCCTTGACTGGTTTTTATTTTGGATGTGCAAAATGTTTGTCTTGTAGATCTATCAAAATTCAACAGATACAGAGTCTCTTTTTCGATCCAAGGAAGACGGAATGTCATAAACATCAAAACAGAGAAAACAGCACAGAGGCTCTAAAAAACTATGGAACTAACTTTAGGATCAACGAAAATCAGTTTCGTACTGTAAATTTGCACCCCTACATGGCATAATGAGTAAAATCCTAGGTGTTACGTAAGCACAGTATCAGTTGATCATTTTATAATAATTCATCAAGAGAAAGAAGAGAAGTGCATAGGAGGCATGATTATATAGTTCATAAACATAAAAATAAATAAATAATAAAGTAAATCAGGGGAGAGAAGGAGCTTGATAAACAAATATTGGGTTTACCAGATAAGGCATCATGCCGATCAACATGGGCAACATCTTCCCACACTCTCCAACTGTGAATCTGGTCAAATTATTACATTGTTACTTACTTTGCTAAACAAAGATCCAAAATAATAGCAACTCGGAGTTAGGATGCTGGATATGCATCTCTATTCCTACATGGAAAACTAAGCATCCAGATTGGTTGCCAGGACGGAAACAGTTAGACAAGATGGTGCATTTGAGTAATCAATAGTTTCCAATTTGTAATGAACATTGTTGAGGATGTATTGCAAATTTTGGTACTTGAACATGAAGCAATGGTGTAAATGAATATGGTATGATAGTTACAACATGCATGAGTAATAGATAATTAGTTCTCCCTCTTGTATGATAATTATGTGCTCATTTCTTATATTTGAAATTCATATTTATGATCTCCATTATATACCAGAAGTAATTGTTTTTTTTCTTTCAATGCATAACCTATCTAATATATGCTTTCAGATATCATATATGCTCATCTTAGAGAATTCTTTTGCTGCAAGAAATTTAATTGTTCAATATGCACAACATGGTCACTCTCTTCAACTTGATTTATTATTGGTTAGCCAGAAGGTGTTCATCAAAAGCTTGAAAGGTTTATATATAAGATGACAAATGCACATGGTAGTTATTTCTAGACAATGACAGCAGAGTGAAAATAGAGGTTGCTGCGTTTAGAATGACTCAAAACTTTAGCATATGGCATTGCTGTTATATTGAGGAAAAGCCGATTAGAGATGGCAGGCCAAAGCATATTGAAATAGAAATTTAATATTTATCCTATATTTTACAAGAATGATAAATGTCCAGCAATCAGGTCTTAGCTGCTTACAAGTAACAATTTCTCACCTTTACAATTGCCAACAACATTGTTAGGCAACTGTAAGATACATGTGTTACTGCCATGACAAAAATGAATCTGTGCAACTGCTCTAGACCTTCATACGAAACAAATGGCTCATAACCCTGCGTGACATGTATTCCATATTGCCCTATATTAATCTAGAGCAATAATAGCTGATTATAACCAAATTCAAACTCTAAAACATTCAAGGGGAAATGGTCATGCCTCTTTGCAGGAGTTCTGATTAACACCATTCAGCATCCTCCGAAGTAAGTGTGAGAAAGTAGAAGACATCAATAATTGACGTTCTTGGGAGCCATTATTTTCAATTTCTTCATCAATCTCAGATCTAGTGCATGGAGCAAAGGCACTATTGTACAACTTTGATGGAATGCATATATTAGCAATTATGCTAGAGGTTGCTGTTAATAGAAGTGATATAAATCCAAGAAGCATCAACTCTGAAGATTGAAATACAAAATGGTGTGCAGAATTAGCAGTGTAGAAAAGCCTGGAGTCAATAACATCTTGAGAAGAAGAAAAAAATCTTGTTCATGTCTGAAAGGATTTCCAGCAGAACTTAAAGGATGGTACCTTCTTTCATCTTCTCCAAAGCTGCAAGCAAGGGTTTTCTATTAGTTTTCCGCAGCCACTGCAACCACATAAAAATTCAAACCAAAACCTTCCAATAGGGGGCATTAATAGCACAGTCAGAGAGAATTCTGTTAGAAAATGAATCAATTGGGACGACTTCTGATTTTGCTATATTCATCCAAGGTCAAATGATCAAGTCTAAGGAGCCTGGTTTTCCTTCCAAAAATTTTCAAAGTAGCAACTACTTTATATTTATTATTCATTCTGCCCTATATCCCATCCTCATTTTTCCTTTGGGACCATAACAACAAAGAATGACAAAGTAAAACTGAATGTCGAATATTACAGTTCATTTATGCAATCTATAAAGTTAATTGTACCTGCAGTTTTGCTTTGGCGTTCAAGCAACCCCAACTCACAGGTCTTCTTGAACCAGATGCATACATATAGCCATAATGAATGCTTTTCAGCATATGGTGAAATGCGATAGCAACACAACGATTATTTCTCTTTTTCCCCACTATTCCTTTGTTTTCTTTTTGGTTCTTAACAGTCAACTTTGACAATACCAAAGAAGATATCTTTCTTAAGCCAAAAAATCAAGCTTAAGGTTCTCATAAGTGGGCGTTATGGTGTGACTACATGACAGCAATCTCTCAGCTTAAAAGACAGTATTTCAGAAGAAACTTGCAACTCAATGGTGAAATACAAATATAACAATACCAACTTATTATTTTCCATGCACATGTCAAGTATGGTTATGATATTGTTAGGACCTGAGAATATCCTAGCACACAAAGATCCTCCACATATAACAATGTAGGTTGGAGACGGAATGTTTTAGAGAACTTTATCATGTCTAGCTTTCGGTACGTGGTGCACATTCTAAGTATGCAGCAGCAAGCACAAAATTAAACAACGAATTGAAATCTTTATAGAGCATTAGTTTCTAAACTTGATCAACATTACGGACTCTTGTTTCTTAGACCTGGTGTAATTGAAAAGTGAGAGCAGCTGGGTAGTTGGGGAACAAAAAGAAACAGAATAGTATCTTGAACTTCGGATGCCATTTTGAAACACCCATACAGCTATATTCAGATATATCAGTTGTATGAATGAAATTTCTCGCAGCAATCAAACAAATTTCAGAAAAAGTCATCTTCCTTACTTCCTCTAACCTCCCTCCACTAAATTTCAGATACAAGTATATCAAGCAACTAGAGCTTAATTTTGCTAATGCATTATAACTTCAGCAAGCTTCCCAGTTCTGGTCACACAAATTGCAATTTATTGCTACATTTTGGATACACATCCAAACCCACCAAAACTCAGTAAAGATGGTAGTATTACTCACATTGCTTAACCGGTGGATGGAGCGCTCCACGAGTAAAGAAACAGCAACAAAGATCATCAATACAGTAGCAACAGACCATGTTGGAGTCAAGGCCAATGATCGTGTTCGTTCCCCGTTTTCTGTCATTTTGAACTATAGCCACGGACCAAAACTTCAATGGATTAAATTATTGGTCTCAATGAAGACCAGCGTTCAGAGTATTGAAGAAGAAGAAGAACAACTCGTGACGGTGTACCATCAACCTTTCACCTAGAATGATCCTGAGTCTATGAATAGAAAATCTTGATGGTGGTATCATCCGTGAACAAATAAAAGAATGGAAGAAGTGCCTAATTTACATAGTAAAATACAACAAAGTGACGGACGGGGTCCGCAGGGAACCTTCTGGAATTTCCAATATCTTCGCCGATTACCCTTTTCAAAACTTCTACTCCATTCAAACCCGGTGTTTTCTCACTGCACGTTGGTCTGAGATAGGAGAATATACCAAGAAAGATTATCCCTGAAGGGAAGGGAAAAAAGAAGTTCCTTCACAACTCCTTCTCAAATGTCAGATGGAGCAAAAGGAAATTGCTTGCTTGTTTTCTCTAAAGAAAAGGAGGTTTTTTTCCCCCTCTTCCGGAAAGCTTTACACAAACGTCTATCTATCTATCTATCTATCTATCTTCTTCTTCTTCTTCTGCCCTTGTAGGATCTAAGTAAAGCTCTTTGGCCAAACCCAGAAATGATTCAGTTCACATTTCTCAAAATAAGATCATATTGGATCTCCTCCATCGAAAGAGCAGACCAGAATCACGCACTCTCAAATCCAATTTCAAAAGTCTCGGCTTTTTCCCATATCCCCCACAGTTAGTCAAGAGCCTCCACCTCCAGCACTATCAGCAATTACAATAAGAGTAGAAGTTGTATTAATGTATTGCAAATAAAGCCAAGCGAACAGATCTCTCTGTACCACGACTTCAGAGTTCAGTGCCCGAAACCAAAACATAAAATACAGTTCATCAGTCACACATGTTCATTTATAATCCCCAAACTCCCACTTAGCTGCAGGTGGTAAAATACGTCATTTCCAGCTGCATTATGCAATATCTTTTCCGTCTATTTCTTTCTCTGAGCCAGAGAGATGCGTGCCAACTTGCATATTTCTAGCAATCTAGCCATCTAAAACAATTACACTAAAATCGAATAAAGAACTGGGTTGAGAAACAAGAACGAATCTTCCTTCATGCAGCTAACACGTGCTTCTCTATTACTTCCCCATCTTTATCCAGCTTGCATAGCTGCATTGTCAACTGTCTTTCTGTTTTACAGCTTTTTCGATTTCGTTTATTAATTAGACTGGTTTCCCTGGCGTTAAAATTACATGGATTATCCCATCCTTAACTTATAAACAGTATTATTTATTATAAATTTTAAATACAATCCATTCAAAAAAAAAATATAGATACACTAAAATTTAGATAAAATTAGTCCAAGTCCCAAAAATGTTGCCACTTTAAGGAAACAAATTTTCTATTTCGCTAGATTAACTAACTACGCAGTTGGTTAAAGATGTTTGTCTACTTTTTTGTTGAAAAAAAAAAAACATTAAAACCGGCGTAATGCATGTCCTTCTAGTTATAACTACCCCTCTTTGTAAAGTACCAGGTTGGTCCAAGTTCTTTTTGCAATTGCATAGTACATGAAGGTTCTGGGAAGAATAAACATTTCTTTGCTTCTTTCTAAGAAAAAATTATGCTCAATTTTTGCTTCTCTATCAGATCCAATCAATGGCATATTTCAGTACAATCGGAAAGAATTAAATTTAGCGGGAAATGAATAACTGCCATCAGGTCACATGATGGTCCTTTACAAAGATCAAGACAAAAATGTTAATTCACATGGTGGTTCTTTGTAAGTAAAGATCTCCCTCTGGAGTCTGAAGGAGGTTAAATCATACATGTGCGACTTTTCAACTTGTACAGCAAAGCCGGAAGGAGATAATGACCGGTAGCTGCATAACGCCGAAATCGAAGAGATATGAGATGATACCTCCATTAGTTCACATGCGAAGTGTTCATAGGGTGATGCATCTAGATTTTTAATCTTGATGATCCATATTTAAAAAATTAAATTAATATTTTTTAAATAAAAATTATAAAAAAGATTTAATAAATCTTATCATGACTAATTTAATCTATATTTAATCAGGAGGGTTCAATTTAATATTAAATTTTTTATATTTTTATATACTGATTATCCAGATGTATTTTGTATAGTCTAAATTTAAAATTTTTAACTTATAATTTTTTTAAAAAATTATTGTTAAAAGACTATATATTTTATTTTTTTAATATTGTATTCACCAAAATAAAAAATTATTTTTTAATATTGTATTCACCAAAATAAAAATAAAAACTTTAAATCTAGACCTTGTAGATAAAAATTTAATATTAAATCTGGAATATCCAGAATACATGTAGATAGTCAATTTTAAAAAAATATAATATTAAATTAGATTACCTAAATTAGATTAGTACTATCCAAATTAATTATGAATATATTTAATAAAAAAATTATAATTTCTTATTTTAATAAATTTAAATTTAAATTTAAACTTACAAAATCTGCTTAGATTTCTTTTGACTAATGAGCACCAAAGATAAATCCATAGTGAATGGGGCAAATGTACCCCCTCACTTGGAAAATATTATAAATATGATATGTAAATTTTGCAACTACACACCCCTTACTCTTGATATTTTACACCTTCTAAATTATATAAAAATATTTGGGTTTAAAAATTCATTACATATAAAATAATTTAATGATTTACATACGATATAAAGAGCATTTTTACATAAGAGATCATATTAACTTATTCAATATAATTTTTAAGAAAAAATGATAATCAATATTATATTTATGTTACCATAATTTTTGTTCTATATTATAATTATTATTTTTAAAAAATACTAATTTTTATCAAATTATCCCACACCCCTGGCACCCCTGGCTAGGAGCAATGAGATAAACAAGCTCGTCCATTCTCTCAACACACACATTTGGGTGTCATGACGTGCAAATAGAGAGATTCATCGCTCAAAATTCCTCCTTTCATGTAAAATATGTAGTGAGAAAGAAAGGGGAAGTTGAAAGATTCAGTCTTTTTGGCGGACAGAATATAAAATATGAAAATTTTAAAATACACACACACGTGTCAATAAAAATATGCGAGAAGAGAGCCAGTTCTTAGAAGGGGGTTTCATGGGCGACCAGATTCTATAAAGACGTATAAGAGCAAGTACTTGTCGTTTTTGGGGTACTCAAGTGGACAAAATCTTTTTATCTTATTTCCTTTATGGATATTTTAAGATACGAACACTGTCATGAACTCGATAGGCCAGGCTGCTCAAATTTTCTACGCTTTTCCTTCTCTGTTCCTCAAATAATTGGGCCCTCCTCATTTTTAGGGTTGCTTGTGCTGTGATTGTGACGCTCTACAATATCGCCTGCAGCGGTTTTTATTTATTAATTTTTGCCTATTTTATGAGGCCATAAATCTATTAGATAACACCAGTAGAGCTGTAAATGGAACTTTGGGTCACACCAGCTACAAGGGACTGGCTTAGATCATTCCCAACATGACATTAAAAGAAATGTTAGGTGCAGCTTTTAGTAGGCAGGGTCCCAAATTAATTAGGGACGGCGACAAGACCAGTATTGATGGCTTGAGGTCAGGGACTCATCACATAAATTCCATAAAATCTCCTCGCTTATATTTTCATACATTTAAAAAAACATGATACAATGATTAAACATTCATTATAAAAAGGCCTAAGAAATTATTTGTAAATAAATGGTACTAAATAATTTTAAAAAAAATTATTGAAATACAATAAAACCAACCATGTTATATAGTAGTAAATATTATAGTTTAAAAGAATTACAAAAACATAAAATTAAAATAATAAATGTGAAAATGTTAAGAAAAATGTAGGCATACATAAAGATACAATTCATAACAAAATATTCAAGAAAAAGTGAATATAACATTTATTGAGAAAAAAATTATAAAAAATCACTTGAAATAATTTAAACATGTACAAAAAACTGCGTGAAACATTAGTGAGAAGAGTGAAACAAAAAATACAACCTATAAAGAGTAGAAAAAGATTAAAGAAAGCATTTACAAAAATTAATAAACAAGCCTCTCAATTAACAACATTCTCAAAAGCTCAGTTTGTAATAAAACATAATAATGTATAATCATATAACCAATCTCACCTAACGGACAAGGCTTGTTATAAAAATTTTGATATTGAGGCTGGTTTAGTATAAAAGGATAAATTGATCTATATATTGATCTTCCTCTGAAAGCATAAACATCATATAACATAATATTCAATTTTTTCACACACTAATCACACCAAAATCAATTTGAGACCATTATTTTATGTTTCAGAAAATGAAGACTAGGATTAACTATCATCTTACATCTACTTAACTCTCACTGCCCTAACTAGCAGCAAACACAATCTCAGCTCAAGAGGTAAGAAATAGGAAATCTCAAAACCCTATGTTAATTTACTTCGTTCTTGATATACCAGGAATGAAGCTTCATTTATATGACCAAAACTGAGCTCGCACCTCAGAATGCCTCGTGCAAATGCGATGTAATTGAAAGGCATATGCAAGAGGCAGACGCACCACCCAAGTTTAATTGCCTCGGACGATTTAAGAATGCACTCTGTCAACTCTTGACAAAAAGGTGGGCCAAAAACACCGACGAAAGATATGCAGATTTTATGATTCGCCAGTAAGAACCTACTCATCAGCATTCAATCCCAGCTGAACTGGACTTTGCTCAGACGAGTCACTATTAGGAGTTGAAATCTCTTCATGTGTGTTGTCCAGAGTGTTGGGAAGTTGTTCCGCAGTCTCTTCCTCCAACTCGTTCTCGCTAAATAAATCCCTCTGAACAGGTACACTTCTTTTCTGCTGAGATGAAAGAATATTTGCTATGGCTTCAAAAGCTGCAGATGCCTGATTGCTGTTGACGCCAGCATCAACATCTACGCCATTAACATTGGGTTTCTCCTCAGATGAGTCATCCGTCCGTGGTGGGGAAACGAAAAAGGGTATCCTGCCCCTCTGCCAGTCATGAAGGACCATCTTAGCTGCAGTCATCAGGTCAGGTTCACCACCCTGGAAACATCCATGATGACAGGTCACATTAAATCAGTATTCTTAAAGCAAAGCTTCAAGAAGAAACAGGTTTTGGGAAAACCGAAACATGAACCACATCAACAACCCACTTCCATAATTAAGACATCATTTCAAGTAAATTTTTACCAACCTCTCACCTATTTTCAAAATATATACAGATTCCTTTTCTTTTCTTTTCTTTTTTTTTTTAATTGGAAGGGCAGGCACTTAACAGCCTAAGATTACAAGAAGGATTGAACCTGTGCCTCCCATTTATAAGAAAGCTAACATGCCACAAGGCTAATGGCCATACAGATTTATTTTGGAACACTATACTTGAGTCTAATTTTAAATGTTTCACTAAAAAACCCGCACTTGGGTAATAAAAAGGATTTTTTTTTTTTTGGGGGGGGGGGTAAAAATCGGACTAAAGCATAGGGTATCATTTTGTTTTAGAGAGTTATGCGTACGCTTTAAAAATAGATGTGAAGTTTTTGAAGTTTCAGAAAAACTCATCCTACATAACTTGCTCAAAAATAATGCAAAATAAAAGGACTAAAGGAGGGGGCGCCTGGGGGGGCTATTGAACTCAAATGCGCCTCTTTCTTCTTGAATAAGATACACTTAAAGCAAGAAAAGCAGATATTGCAATAATTCAAAGTCAGCAATTGAAGAGAGAATTCATATGCAACACCCAAAAAAAGGAGAAGCTTCTACAACTAATTCTAGCTAATTATCAGCTTTAAAAACGATGCTGGGTTTAAAGGACTTCCAGGTATTTGACTACAACTAGGTTGTTTAGATTTTTTTTTTTTTCTATTTTCGAAATGCACCTTCAAGAGTTTTCCAGTGGCTTTGCTGAGCTGAACTAGGAAGTCATTCTCATCATCCCTGGAAAGAAGAACGACTTATAGTTAATACCCACAGTGTTCAAGTCCACTACCTGTATTAAAAATAAATTGGATATGTAATCATGAACAGATCAAAGTGAATTGCTATACAGAGAAAGCATCGGTGTGGCATAAACGCTGACAATACCATCAAGACTCCATAATGCATAATCAACTACCAGAGCTTAAATGCGTCCCTAACCTAAAACAGGTTTCAAATCAACTGAACCAAAATGCTGTTGCATGACACTGTTTCAGCTTTAATTCACTTCAGCTATTTTCAAAAACCTCAAAAAGTAATAAAATGATTTAATGGCAAGACAATCTAATTCTCAATCAATTCATTGTATAGTCATTTATAATAACGATATAGATACCAAGGAGCCAAAACAAATACTAACAATATAAAGGACCGTTACCACTTCTTTATCTTATATGCTCTTTCCAAATGCTCCTTCTTCACACGTTTTAAAACTTCACCAATATGTTCTGAAGCATCTTGCAGGTTTGTCACACGCACCTAAATACACATCTCAGCATGTTTAGCCTGAATATAATTTACACATTTGCCAACTAGTAAAGCATAAAAAGCCACATGACCTTATCATTCCCCAAGGCAAGCAAAATAATGAACAAAACATTGGACAAGCCGCAAGCCAAGCAAACAGACATTTGAAAAAGTGCAAAGACAGCCAGTTTTCGTACAATATCTTACTTCATATGCGAAGTGTAAATGGAAAAGACTTGTCACATAATCTTGGGCATCATTAACCGAGATGGTATACCAACACCAATTACCAAACGCAAGCACTTTTTATATTGGCATCAATAATGGATGGTCTCCATTCTAACAAATCAACATATGGGAGAAGTAACATTCATCAGTCACTAATGCCACTTGCATTTTATTGCCTGGGCTAAGAAGTCATGGTTCCAACCATGTATTATTCTTTCAGTTTCACAATGACAGGCAATGGTTCTTTTTGGAGTCTCAATTTCAAACATGCATTATTCCTTTAGTTTCACAATGACCAACAACGGCTCTTTCTGGAATCTTGAATTTGGGTGATGGGGTAAGCTTTCACCTTCCAAAATTGCTATGGTAAGGACTATGGAAACATGGTGCCAAGTAGTCTCGAATCTAAAGGCACGAGATGGCAAAGTAAACAAGTATTCATCAAAAAGAAGGCAGCAGTAATAAAGTTATGTTCAAGAAGCAGTTCAAACAAAGTATTCCTTATTAAATGGTAGGCCAAGCACAGAATACAGCAGGAATATAGAACGTACCACACCCTTCAGCACAATATCTGTTTCAGAGTCATTGTTGTGATAAACAACACCTGGGCAGTCAATCAAAAAGATTCTCTTCGTAAGAGTTATATACTGCCAGACTTTTGTTTCCCCTGGAATTGGAGCAACCTTGCAGACCTTTGGCACAAATAGTGGACATAAAAATCAATTAACGTAGATGCCAATTTTGAATAATAAAAATTTTACAATTTTAATCCCATAGAACTATAGTTGATTTCATCAACAGTGTGAAAACAGTCTGCTGCAGGCACACAAACTTCCATTGATTTTGCAAGCGGATTCCCCAGACAATAAGAGTACAAGCAAAAAATTCAGAAGGAAAAGAGAAAGATATATTACATTCTTTGTACGTAATGTGTTGATCACTGAAGACTTCCCAACATTTGGATAACCAATGAATCCCACAGAAATTGCTTGCTTGTCACTTTTTAATCGGGCAAATTGTCTCAAAACCGACAGAAGTGAGCCCTAAGCACAAAGACCAATAAAAAAAGAGTCAAGGGAGAGAAAGTAAAGATGTGTTAGCACAACAACCTAAAATCATTGACCAATGACAAATATAAGCAACACATCATGCCCATTGGCACGCAAAAACACACACACAAATAACAAACAAGTAATGACATAAAATCAATCACAAATATGATCTCAATTTGTTTTAAAAAATTAGAAAAAGAAAAAAGCGTTTCCAGTTTGAAATTTCTTGATCCAACATAAGAAAACAGTGCCATAAAATAATGTTACAGTGCTAGAAATAATCTAATCTACTGTAGTGGTAAAAGAAGAAAGAGGGCAAGGTCATTTTTTAGGAAACGTATGCAAAACAATTTATTCACTGACAGCCAATTGGAGCAAAACGGATTCTAAATTAAGGAGTGTCCATAGACAAATATTTCATTTTCATGCCTGTAAGCTGTTAAATCACCAATGATCAAACCTCATCTTACTTTACCTCATTTTTCATAAAATAACATATGTTATACCACACCTAACAGGAAGATAAACTAATAACCAAATGCGATAAAGAAACTCAAGTATATCAGAAATACCTTCCCAAAGGACTTGTTAACACTTGCATGGAAGGCTAGAGTTGGATATTCTCTTGACAAAATCCTAAGCCACCCCTTTGTTGCCCAAGCAGGAACTAGATCACACTAAGAAATTAAAGGAATTGATTTTTCAGGGAAAAAAACTGAATATGGCAATGTCCAAAAAACATAAATCGAGCGCACAAATATTCCACAATAGGATGCACCTAACCTTGTTTAGCAAGAAAACCATGTGCTTGTGCTTGCAATTTTCCTTTAAATGCTTCTCTAAGTGGTAACACCTTGTGCCTTGCGGGTCCCTTGCATCTAAAACCTGCATGGGATACACGAAGGTATTCAATGAGAGAAGATGACAATATCAAGGAAAAAAGGGACTTTGAAAGTCAAAATAAATGTGATTTATCATGGATATTTCCAACATTAACAACCATGTATTAAGGCAAATGATGTCTTCCTTGCATTGCTAAAATAAATTGGCAAGAACAAAGCAACAACCATACATACGATGCCTTCCTCACATTGCTACTATGACAAACTTCTTGACATTAAAAAAAAAATACATTGATAGAGCAAATGAAGTCTCTAGAAATTGCAATTTGCTCACAAAAAAGCAGATTCACATTGGAAATACCCATTACAGGTGCCTTTTCTTAACCCTCATACAAAATCACACAATCTAATGGGGAAAAAACAAACACATTATGCGCGTTAGAACCGACAGATACATAATGTTAAAATCCCTCAAAAATCCAAGCATTAAAATAGATGTTACCTGGACAACAACATCAGAAGAATCTATGACTTTGTAGAGTTCACCCCATATACGTTTACTTTGACCTTTTTCAAACATTGTATGCCGCACTAGATCCCTAAATCCACCATCATGGTTACGTTCTGCTGATACAATAGCACCATACTTCTGTTCAAAAGCCTCTGCAGTGTAAGAAAATTATGAGATAGGATTAAGTACAGTTTTGTTTGTCTGTTAGTTGAGGGAATCACCAATCACATAAATTCATACATTGTCAAGAAACAGACAAGAAGCATCATCCTTAAATTTGAGTCAACTGAATAAATGAAGTAAATCAACTAAACAAGAAAACTGATAAATATTAATGCTAACTGCACTGGCAGCAATCTTTTGGGGGGGGGGGACTAATTTAAAGAAGAATCTTTATTTACCTTGAGAACCATCAGCTTTCTTAACTAGGGATTCATAATCTGCTGCCAAGAGGTTAGGACGCTTCCTTTTTGTCTTAGGTCCAAATGCATCCATAAAAGGCTCTCTATCAAGAAGGTGAACTCTTGCTTGCTACATACCAAAAAAAGTTATGGTCAGAATTAAGCAACTTTTTCATAGAGACTTGTAATCACCGCTGCACTTGCTAAATAACTTTAATATATTGATGTCACACCACCTTTATTAAATATATCGTTTTGGATGGAAGAAAGTAAGTTCTAATACTTAAGAGTACAGTCTTGTAAACCTTATAACTAGGTGTGCCGTAAAACATCAACATTTTTTTGTTGATATACGCACAAATGTAGGGAAATGGAAAAATTGAAAACTACAGCATCCACCTCACCAACTGGAGCAATTCAATATATTTCAATCTAAACTCCCTCAGAAGTAAATTTAGCAATCAACTTCAAAAACACGTCCTTTATATAATGCCCAATACTATATCCTGACATAGTTATCATTAGGTAACAAAAATGCAGGTAAGGAATATCAATGACAAGTAATAAGGACCCTGGAAGAATATTAATGTAAACAAGGATAAGTTATCACTGAAATTTCAGAATTTACCACTCAAATTTTGATATTTACAACTTTAATGTTCTAATTTTACATTAATGTTTTCCCAGGATCCTCGATTATCATTTTCCCTAAAGTATAACATTTCAATAAATTTCCTTCTTTCGGATGTCGGAGGGGATAAAAAGGACTTGAGAGTGTAAACAAACCTTTTGGTGATCGTTGAGGAGAGACATGGGCAGGTTCTTTCCTTTCAATATAACATTGTAATTACTTGACATGCGATTTTGAAGCTCCTCCCGGAAAAATTCAAGCTCCTTTTGATTTACGACCCGCGTGTTTCCTGCAAATAATGCCAAAAGAAAATGTTCACAATAAAAATACAAGAAATAAGTAAATTAACATCATAAGTTGTTAACAATGACTGCGTTCAGCATTTCCCACTCACCCAAAAGAAAAGCAAGGGTGTTAATATGGACATAAAGGGATGAAACCTAAACTTTAGGGTAATTCCGTAAAATAGAACTCACCAAACCATCGGCGGTCAGGTTGAATTCGCGTACTTGGCAAGTCCTTTGACTGAAACTCGTTCTTCAAGATTTTCCCTTTACGATCACGCACGGGTCTGGTATTGTACATATTAAGCCGCCGCACTGTGGCGGCGCTACGCGAATTTGAAGAGCTCTTTTTGTCATTGCTCCTATTCGCATCCAGCGAGTGTTTTGGCTTTCCGGATACATTCACTTTCTTCTCCTTCTTCTTTGTCATCTTCGCACCCTATGTAGTGGGAACTAAGACTGAGTGGGGCAAATCAGAATCTGAACATCAGAATGTAAATAGAGGGCTAAATAAAAAAGACGAAAATCTTACATGAACAACAAATCTTTGGCAGCTAGATAGAGTGAGCGGTGCCGCCACCCGCCAACAGGCACTTAGGGTTCTTGTAGGTTTTTGTTGAGAAATGAGAAACTGGGCAGCCTTTTTTTTTTTTTTTAATAAAAACAGAGTTCTTTTATTTCAGCTTATTTTATTAAAAAAAACAATCATACAATTGTTTAAGGCCTTCTTCGTTGAGAAAATGACAACAAAAACTTTATAAAATATATAAATAATAATTTGATTCTTGAAAATACAATAATTTTACTAAAGTTTTTAAAGACTATTCTGTCATTAATAAATTTATATAAATAACAAAATTATTTTTATTAAAAATAAAATGATTCATAAATTTTGTTTAAATAATCACAAATTTCCTTCCTATATTTGTAACAATGCAACAGCAAATTACAATTTCGCATGTTAAATTCCTGATTTGCAGTTGCATTATTGCGAATATATAAAGGAAAGTTGTGATTATTTAAACAAAACTTGTGAATCGCTTTATTTTCAACTAGGGCGAGTTGATCATTTATATTAATTCATTAATGATAGAAAAATTTATAAAAATTTTAGTGAAATTATGACATTTTGAGAGATCGAATGTCATTTATATATTTTAAAAAAATTTTAGTATCATTTTCCCTTATTTGTTTCAATTTATTTTATAAAAAATTATTTTTAAAAAAATTGTTATTTTTAATGATATTTGCTTAAAATTTTGAAGATAATTGGAGTTTGAAAAAAAAATTATTATTCTAAGAAAATAGTTTATACAATGTCTAAAAAAAATCTAATTAATAAACGACAGAGAGTATTTTAAAATGCAAGATATGCAAAAATATCATAAAATATTAAAATAATGAATTATTTTTATGAGATAAAAAATAAAAAAGATATAACTAAATTTAAAAATAACTAATTAATAATTACTTTTTATTATTGTAACCAGGCATAAAATAGTATATATTTTTTATAAAATATCTATAAAATAAATATTTTTAAAAAATCTCTAACTGATATAAAAATTAATTATTTTTTAATCTTAAATAAATGGGTCTAAGATATAAGAAAAACTACCATGTGTGCCTTTAGTTTTATTTATAAATAAAATTCTAAATTTCAAAAAATATTGATTACATTTTTTTTGAATTAGCTCTTGTAACATTCTAAAATTAATTTAAAGACTTAGATTAACTAATTAGAGGTTTTGTTTAATTAATTGGGTTAATTATGAGTTAATTATTGGGCTTAGATGGCCAAAACCCTTTAAAGGGTTAAAAATAAGGCGAACTGCTCATTTTGAATTATTTGCCATAGCAAGCATGTCAGAATTTAAAAAAATTACACAACGCGATCAAATTTTATTTTAGAGGAAAAATTGAGAGTGAAATCAAGAGAAGACATGTGGGTTCTACTAGAATTTCATCTTGGTGAATCCCATGAGCGTTTGTTAAGCATATAAGGCATTGGATAAGCTTCCTAATCCTATAATCTCTTTCTTATTGCCATTTCTACATAGTCTAGGGGTTGTGGTGACAATAATTGAATATAGGTTTGAATTACAGCAACTCCATGAGTTTAATGAGATTTGTAGATGCTAATGAATGCTTCTACCGTTAAGTTTGAGTAGTTGGCAACATTAAATGTTGTTAATGAGAGATTTTTAATTAACCTCAACACTAAGTAATTAAGTTTAAGTTAACAAGAGTTAATGGCATTGATTATTCAGTTTAATGAGAGTTAAATAAACCAATGAAAATTAATTTTGGGCCTTGATACCAAGCTTAGGGAATGATGAGGCCTTAATTGCATTTAAGAGTTAATTAATGGTGATTGGTAATTAATGTTGTTTCATGTATATGGTTATAAATTGATTGTGCTCAAAGCATACGATCGAAGTAGCTTCCTTGAGAAATTTAAATTTGACTTTTGGGGTGATTGCTCGAAAGTGAGGGTAATTAAGAACCTTATAATTGCATGTCCTTGTGTTTATAACTGCTTTTAAATTGTTATGTGGTTTTGTGCCATTAAATGAATTGTATGAAATTGCTTTGGGCTCATGAATAAACAACCATTGCTAATTGGTGATATGTCCATAGAAATACTTGTTGGATGAACAATTTGATTAAAACGTTACGTGAGGTGAAGTATGAGTTGTAGCATAGAAAAGCTATAAATCAATAATGTGATTTGTGTGCTAAAATGCTTGGTTTGTGTGGTTATATGAATTTGGATGGGAGCATGAAATATTGTATAAGTATGATTGTATAGTCTAAATGGCATGCAAGTAGGCCCTTGTTGTCAATAAAAATTAACTTTGACAATTAAGTGATAAAAAATGATAGGAAAGAATCTCAAAAAGTATGGAAAAAGCCAATTTTTTTTTATCATTTGCTGTAATTTTTGGTCCTCATCTCATTTTCTATATAATTTTTAAAATTATTTTCTATCATTTTTTATCAATTAATTGTTAAAATTAACTTTTGTTAATAATAGGGGTCAAATTACAATTTGCACAATAAAAGAGATTAGAGTTTACGATATCATTTAATCAAACTTAGTTTGGCATTGTAGTAAAATTTAAAAATTACTTTTAATTTATTTGTTTTGTCAATGATAAATTGATTTTACTAAAAATAAAAGGTTTAAAATTGATTAAACTTAAGTTACATTTGGATTGGTGGATTTAAGTTGAAAATTTAGATTTAAAATCTCACATGTGAAATTCATAGATTCTAAATTCTTTATTTGAATGATATAAAAAATTTTAAATTATAATATTAAAATTCTTTGTTCAGATCTAAAAAAATTTTAAATTTTAAATTATATATCTGAATTTAAAGAAACTTGGACGACTAGTCAAAGTCGACAATCTAAATGTCTAACTTCCACCGAGATCAAACAGTCAAAGTCGAGTAGGATTGTAGTACTAGTGATGACTAGGACGAGATGATTGACTTCCACTAGGATCTACAAATGGTAATGATAGGGATTGAATGGCCAACTTTAACCAAGATTGGACCGACAGTGATAATGAGGATCGAACAGTCGATTTCCATAGGAATTGGACCAATAGAGACCACTGGGATAGGACAGCAGGCCTCCACCCAAACTGAAGGGCTAATTTTCATCAAAACCAGACTAAGTGGAAGTGGCCATTCAATCCTAGTAATAGCTGTCTGTTTAGTTTTGGAAGAAGTTGGCCATTCGGTCCTTATCATTGCCATTTGTTTGGTCCTGGCGAAAGTCGGCCATCTCATCTCAGTCGTCGCCATCCATTAAGTCCTAATGAAAGCCAACTGTTCGATCCCTGTCACTTCTATCGTCGTTTATCAGGTTCGGTGGAAGTTGACCTTTTGATCCCCATCATTACCACCATTGTCATTCCGGTTTAGGCGAAAGTAGGCCGTTCGATCTCAGTCATTACTGTCATTATCGATCAAGTCTCGATGGAAGTCTACCTTTTAATCCCTGTTGTTATCATTGTTGTTGATCCAGTCCAGGTAAAAGTCAGTCATCCGGTCCCAGTTGCCGTTGATTCGTTGGAAGTTGACCTTCCGATCTTGGTCAATAGTGATAGCTTATTTTCATCAACTTCAACGGTCTAATCTAATTATTGTTGGTGGATTGATTAAGTCGTTGTGGCTTTAGTCAAATTACAAAAGAAATTAAGTTAGGATTCGAAATAATAGAGGTTTAGAAAGGATTTTAAATAAAAAAAGGATTAAAGTGAAACTTCAATTTGGATTTGGATTAAATTCAAATATATATATTTTTAATTATTTAAATAATTAATTTAGCTCAAATCTAAATCTATATGAATACTACCATAGTGATTCATAATGTTAATTGAAAACTTTATAACTTAAAATCATGTATATGAATATATAAATGGGAATTTAAAAATATTATAAATATATGAATAATTTTTATTCAATAAGAATTTAGATTTTAGATATTAATATTAATTGTCTGAAAAATAAAAAATAAAAGTATAAGAATCTAAAATATTAAAAAAGGTGTAAGAATTTATAGTAAAATATAAGTAAAGTATAAAAATTTAAAGTTATATTTTTTTAATATATAAATTATTTTTTATTTTTTTCACAATGGTTTCGTGATTGTCATGCCAGTTTATCTAAGATCTAGGTTCTTTCTTTCTATCTGAGTCCAATCAGTCATGAGTGACGACGTAACAGATGGTAGGTAATCATTTTACTTAATCTGTGTTAAGAAAAATATTGGAACATTTTGGCCACAGAAAAGAAAAGAGAGAAAAATATTGGAACAAGTTAAATTTTGGTGCAAAATGTGGCATTTAATATTTCAACGTTTCCTTGAAAAATACATATATATGTACTCTTTCAATGCTATTTATAACTCACATTTTAAAAAAATTATTTAATTTTATTTATAAATTATGATGTGAATTTTTAAATAATAATTAAAAAATATTTTTAAAATTATTTTTTATAATAATTAAAAAATAACATGACGTCATTATTAAATTTATTATATTAAAATATAATATATTTTTATTATTTATATTTTGTATATTAGTATTGATAAAATTGATAAAAATAATTTATAAAAAAAATTAAAAAAGTATAAATATATATATAGAGTTGAAGTTTTGAAATTTAGATCCCACCCCAGCGATTAAATGAACGATGTTTTAGTGATAAAATGACTGCCAGAAGCAACATTTGACGATGTCACACAACCAAACTGCGAATCATCATCTTTTCTACCCGAGTGCATCACCTTCCTTCCGTCAACATTGCGGGATCTGGATGAGCTCACGGCGTTGCGTGTTCCAGCGTCTCTTCCATGGATCGATTGCTAAAAGCTGCAAGAACATCTGGCTCCCTCAACCTCTCAAATCGCTCGCTCAGGCAAGTCCTCTCTTGATTATCTGTCTTTGCTATCGATTCCTTATAGCGGTTACGCTGATCTCCAGAGTAAATTTTGGCGAGCTTCCAATTTTACGAATGTTATTCTTGACTTGGAATTGTTGAACGAAGTCACCTTTTTCTTTTCTTGCTGAACAACTCTGTTTCTAAATTAAGCTGGCGTCACAATGGGTTTTCTTCCTTCCGGTCATTCAAGCATTGATGTGTTTCAAATTCAGGGAAGTTCCAAAGGAGGTGTACCGGAATCTGGAGGGTGCTAGTGGGGATGATAAGTGGTGGGAGGTAATGTGTTTCGCTCATCTTTGTTTTTCTTTGAGTTCCCAAACTTTAAGATTAGCTGCTTTGATACACTCGAGAGATGAATGCTACGTAATACTTCGACATGTAAATTAAGTGGTCTGATATTTATATAATGCTTACAGGCCGTGGATCTCCAAAAGCTCATTTTGGCTCATAATGATATTGACTCATTAAAGGAAGATCTTAGAAACTTACCTTCACTAACTGTGTTGAACGTTAGCCACAACAGACTTTCTGAGCTTCCAGCTGCAATAGGAGAGTGAGTTTTCATCAGTCAATTATGCCGAATAACTGTCTTGAAATACACATATACACAAGATATATGCAGGTGTTGCAATATTATCAAACTCAACTCATCTTGGATTTTCAAAAATTTATCTAATTGACAGGCTATCTCAGCTAAAGTTGTTAGATGTTTCATTCAATTTGATAAATAAAATACCAGAGGAATTTGGATCAGCAGCATCACTTGTTAAGTACGCTGCTATTTCTGCTTACTCTTTTTTCCCATCTCCATCTTCATTGTAAATAACTATGCTAATGCTCTTTTCATCCCCTCTGTACTCCTCAATTTATGCATATGCTCCCCCTAATTAACGTGCTTTGCAATTATTGTTTAGGCTTGATTTCTCTAACAATCAACTGAAGGAGCTTCCAAACTCACTTGGCCAATGCATAGGATTGTCAGAATTGAAGGTGATACTTTATCTTGCTGAAAAAGCTGAGTTACATTACTTATGTCATTTTGCTCCAACTATGGTATCAAATAAGATTTTTGTGAGTTCATTTTTTAAGTGTATCTGGTTTATTCTTCTCAATAAATATATATATATAGAGAGAGAGAGAGAGAGAGAACTTTGTTTGGTATGAAACATGGAGATACTTATGAGGTGAGTCTCCTACAATTCAAAGATTAGAGAATTATATGGTGGTTGGGGCATACGCTCCTTAAGTTTCCCTTAGAATAAATTTGTTTATGTTATAAAATAAGTGATTAAATTCTAATGATTTAATTGGGGCTTTGGCTTCTCCGTGATGTATTGTAATACTCCCTCTGATCTTTATTATAAAACACTTTCAACCGTTTCGCGCATCCTAAGAAAAGTTAGTTTTTTTTTCTTGATATCATAAAAATACGAGATGTAATTTTATTTTTACCCTTAGCTTTAAATAATAATACAATTATATTAAATACTTTCATTCTAATTAAGAAGGGGTAAAATTGAAAAAAGTAGTTTAATCATTGCAAGGTATCTTATATTTTGGATGAAGAATTACTTCTAGAAGGTGTTTTATAAATAGAATCGGAGGGAGTACAGGCTTAGCCTATATTCACAAAAAAAAAAGGCAATTGAATTACTTTTCTTCTGCCAAATCAGCGACTCTTTGCTCATAGCGATCACAAATTTATATTTTATACCAAAATCCTACAACCTTAATGATAAGTAGATGTGGAGAATTTCAAGCAAATGGCATCTGTATTTTACCTTTTCTTATACAATATAAGGTAGCTCAATATAGGTAAATTCATCAGTGAACAGTGGGATTACTTTTAATGGCTTGCCATGGGATTTTCACGGTAGAATCCATCAGCCTTTGTAGTTGAACCAAAACCTCTCATAAAAGCTTGCTATTTGCCGATCTTATACATGTATTCTTGTAATGCTTGCTCTTTGATGAAGTGGCTCTCATGATACTCTTATTCCAGGGATCAAACAACCTCATTGCCAGTTTACCAGATGAATTAGCAAATTGTTCAAAATTGACAAAGCTAGACATGGAGGTACTACCAAAATTTGGCATATTGATTGATGACCGACTTACTCTACTTTGGGGAGGCATACGGTCTACTAATGAGCATTTTTGTCATATCATCTTCTGCCGTTTTCCAGGGAAACAAACTAACAGTGATACCTGAAAACCTCATTTCTTCATGGACCATGCTTACTGAATTGAATGCATGTAAGGGTCTCTGTTTTGCCATCTAATTACCTATGTGATACAAAAAATAATCTCAAAACTACTCAAATACTTTGCTTGGTTAAATACTTTCATTTTTTACGTTTTTGCAGCAAAAAACTTGCTGAACTGCATACCAGTCAGCATTGGAGGTCTTTCTCGTCTAATTCGCCTTGACCTCCATCAAAACAGTGGGTTATTAAACAAGAGGTTAAAGATGATTTTAGTTTTCCCTTTTCGTCTTGGTTCAGAAATTTGATGTATTCATTTGCACAGGAATCTCATCAATCCCTTCATCAATCATGGGTTGCCATTCACTTGCCGAGTTTTATTTGAGGTGATATTCTAATTTATTCTGAGGCTAACTTTCATATTATCAAAATATACGATTTTAAGCATTTAATTTTCTTTTTCCTGAAACTTCTGAATTTCTGAGTTCTGACACATATCATACTTATCAATTTAGGAATAACAACCTTTCTGCTGTACCAGCGGAGATTGGGACACTCTCACGACTAAGGACTTTAGATCTTCACTCTAACCAGGTAGGTAGAACTGATATTTTATTTATTATAACTTCTATTCCAGCAGATGATCTCTTGTTCATATTGCTTGGTTGCCCACATAAAAATAGCATTATTGTGACCGCTTTGCATAAGTTTTCATGTCCTTAGTCTGGTGTTGTGCTCATGGTTTATAACTTTTATTTGGGGCTTGTCTTGAATTTGTGAAGATATTGAGCTGCTTTGTGGCATATTTTTGAAGTTCTTTTGATTTATTGTGCTGATTTGTTTGTGTGAGTTTCCATTCACAAGATGTCTTGATTCTTGAACCGCACTTTTAAACTCTTTTCTTAATTTCTTGCAAAAAAAAAAAAAAAAACTCTGTTCTTAATAAATTTCCATTCTACAAAAGAGATTACATATCACATTGGATAATTACAGTAAAAATGAAAGAAGATGAAAGTCAAAATTTGTTCCAAAAATTTAGGTTGATGTGAATTGATTTTAACATATATATATATATATATATATGCAGACGTCAATGTATGGGGTTTATGGGCTTTTGCAATTTTGTGAAACCGCATATAAACTATCTGGTTTAGTGAAGAATTTGATTGACTCTCCGGATTCATCTTATTGATTTAGATGAACAAAAATACATACACACCCACACGCGCTGACAGATTTAACCTTCATATTTTAACTTGTCATAGGCAAAATGGCCACCTTGAGAAAAATGCACACATTCCTGGATTTAACTAATGGGCATGTGTCAAGATGCATTGTCATTGGTGTAAAGAGACTTAAGTAAAATATTTGAGCAGATCTCTGTTCATAATAAATTTTCACACATGACTTATCATCAGTTGGCTTATAAGTGAAAGTGGTAGTACTGTTTTTAGTTCGGCTATCACAACCTTTTTTAACTTTTGTATACTAGGTTGTTAATCTGATTTCTTGTTATTGTCATCGAATTGCAGTTGAAGGAGTATCCAGTGGAGGCATGCAAGTTGGGTCTTTTAGTCTTAGATCTTTCGAACAATTCATTGAGTGGCTTACCCCCTGAATTGGGTAAGTTTACCAAATTTATGACAATTATGCTTTTAATCTGAAAAAAGTTCTATTTGACTAAAAAGAGCAGAAAATATAAGTCTCTAAAGAAGATATAATAAAAGTTTTTTGTGCCTACCACAATGAGTGGGGCTCCCTATTAATTCTGGTCCTGGTTGGTCAACGATCATGCAAGTTATGTAACTTATAAAATGATGACTATGGGCAACTAATAAGCATCAGGAAGATATTTGTAATGTTTCCTCTTATAAAAGAGTTCTTAATGAGCAGCAATTTTGTGTGCCAGCCTTTGTCTCTTGATGTGAATTGTTCTTCAGGATTGAAACGTCTCTTAACATGAATTATTCTTGAGAATTGAAATTATTCTCTTCAGTGGTATTGTTACATCTCCTCTGGTGAAACTTTTTGTTGCAGAAATCTTACTTTTACCAAAATAGAGAGATTTGCAACCTGGGATTCATGCAATTGCCAAGAGAGTTTCTCACTCTGCTTCCTTGCCAATTCTATGGCCTCTTATTATTGTCCTAGGCTTTAACGTTAAAGTCTGTAGCCAATGGAAACCTGTACTTAGAAAGAATTGACATGAAACAAGAGTCTGTAGCATCTCAGATAATCTATTATCCCAAAAACTTCAGTCGATAACAGTAAGCCAAAGTAAATCTTAATATTTTAACTTGAAGTAAATCTCATCCTCAATACAGAATACTGTTGTGTATGTGTTGAAGTACTTGAAGTATTACGGACACACATTACATAAATATATAAAAAAATAATTGCCTAGATATTTTAACTTTGCTGGGGGACAACCTTAATGTTTTAATTTGTCCTAGGCAAGATGACTACCCTGAGGAAGCTTTTGCTTATGGGCAATCCTTTGCGGACTCTTCGAAGGTACAAGGCTTAGTAACGTCTATCTTGTCAATGTTTGTAAATTTTGTAATTACTAGTGTTTTTTAGCATCTAATGCTTTTTATTCCCAGCTCATTAGTCTCTGGACCAACTCCAGCACTGCTGAAATTCCTTCGAAGTAGACTTTCTGAGGGTGAAGGTATGCTAGATGCATGTAACTTAGGCTCTTGCATGTGTTTATTCCTTTTGGGCAAAAATGTCTTATTCTTGAGTTCAAGCTGTAATTTTGTTTCTGCAGACTCTGAATCTACAATCAGAACAAAAGAGGATGTAATTGCAAAGGCTGCTAGATTGTCTATCACTTCAAAGGTATTGCCTATTTAGAAAAAGGAAAACTAATCCTTTTTTGCTTCATAGTCTGGCTTGAAAATTATTGCCACTTCAAATGCATTGCCTCTTATAATTGCATCTATTATAAAATGTGATAATATGTAAAGAGATCATGGCTTTTGTTGCTTGGTAGAAACAAGAGGAATTAAAATAGTGAGATCAAGCCCCCAAAAAATAGTGGTACAAAGCCCAATTTCATGTCTTTGCCAATTTAATTACATAGCAGACTGTTCAATTCAATAAGCTTATGGTTAATGTCAGCATTAATGATTCTTGGAATGATATCCAGGAACTTTCTTTGGAGGGGATAGGATTGAGTGCCGTTCCATCAGAAATATGGGAATCAGGGGAGATCGTAAAAGTTGATCTTTCAAGAAATTCCATTGAGGAGTTGCCAGTGGAGCTCTCTTCTTGTGTTTCCCTCCAGGTGAAGTTTTATTATTTGGTTACCCTTTCTACGTTAAATTGCCTCTTTGGAAAATTCCTTGTGAACTTGTATTGGAAATACAAATACTGCAGCAAGGTTAGGACAAGCTAAGTGCGTGTAAAGTCTAACGATGCTGTAGGTCTCAAAATAATCGTCAGCAGTTGAGGCAATGTGTGCTATTCTTTATTTTCTGCAATATATTTTTGACAACCCTGCATCCTACCCCCTATTGTCCATTAAGGAATGCGGAGAAGCTTGAGAAATTCGTCAAGTAAAATGCAATCATAACCAGTGACTTGATTTCTTATTAAATATCAATAGTGATCGATTTTACAATCCTTGTAGTTTCAGACCCCAAACTGCACGAGTACAGTTCTGTGAATTCTTATGAACTGATTCAGAAGTTTTGCAATCATTATTTAGTTTTTATGTCATATTTGTCACTCTCTTTTATAATTTCTTTTGCTGATACATTTTCTGTCACTTCTATCACGTTCATTCTTGACCTTACTTTGATAATTTTCAATGATAATGATTGACATGGGTCTAAATTTCCCTCTGAAAATGTAGATGGGAATTTTATTTGCTTCAACCACTTCTTAGTATAAGGTAAAATAGTACTGCGTAGGAAAAATCTTTTCTATGGGTCTCAGAGAAATTTGATAACGTCTCCAGAATTTACTGGTCAATTATTTTGATGGATTGATGCCAGGAGATAAACTGGTCATCAATCAAATGACCTAATGTAGAATTATAAACTGTTGCACTCATTCATTTCTGTATTTACACTTTTCAGGCACTGATTTTATCTAAGAATAGAATTAAAGATTGGCCTGGTTCAATTCTTGAATCACTTTCAAGTCTACATTGTTTGAAGCTGGACAACAATCCCCTGAGACAGGTAATGATTTAAGAGTAATTCCGTATCCTTTTTCTTGCAGACATGAACAATAAGATCAGCATGTTTATTCTTTCTTCATGGCAGTGAATCCCTTACGCACACATGACTACGAAACTTAGTTGACAAGGATGCATAATGTTAAAGCTTTGTGAAGTTTATTTTTTAATTAATGCTGTGGAGGTGCCATAGTTATTTTGTATAATGAAAGTAACTTTGAGGAATATCGTCTGATACTCTGATCTCTGTGCAATCCAGAATATTTGTGCTCAAGAAGAGGAGTGATATGATTTCTCTGTCCAATTGCAAGTTCTCTGATTCAAATTCCAATTAAAAGTTTGATATTGCTGACTATATCTGTTGCTTGAATTATAGATTCCTCCAGGTGGTTTCAAAACTGTGCCTATGCTTCAGATTCTTGATCTAAGTGGTAATGCAGCTTCACTGCCAAATGGCCCTGCATTCTCTAATATGCCGCATCTGCAGGAGCTTTACCTGAGGTGGTTCAATTGAAGCTTTAAATTAAGCTATGGTATTTGTGAGAGGACACAAGCGCGCCCACAAACAAAAGATTTATTTCTTATATATAACCTTTATCTTTTTGAGTACTTGTACTTAACTTCCGCATTGCAATATTTCAGAAGAATGCAACTAAGTGAAGTCCCCTCAGATGTTTTGATGCTGTCTCAACTTCGAATCCTTGACTTGAGTCAAAATTCCCTTCAATCTATCCCATCGGTAACATACCATCTTCTTTGTACAAGACAGAGATTGGGGTTATGCTGATTCTGACATCAAATTTCTAAATATTTTTATGACTGTGACTTTAGGTTATAGTCCAATACCTTTTATTCTGTCCTTTATTAATTGATTGACATTTCCATTGGCTTCTCCATATCAAGTTGTTTATCCGTACCATTTATTGAATATTGATTATTGACAGACAATGTGCTTGGTTGTTTTGCGTGCTCATAAAATCATATTTCTATCTATAATATGTTAATGGTTAAGGAAAGTTGTCATCTTTTGTCAAGTCTTGCCCTCAACTCTGCACCTGTGATTTCTCAAATTTACGAGTCATCTACAAGGGGTTAATAGGTTTTTTATGGATGGACTATTGTATTATCACAGGGGCCATGTGTCAAAGAATAGCCAATTAATTTAAGGCATTATACATGACGTCATGACCATGCTAGGAATCAAACAATTATGTTGCAACTGTCCTCTTGGGGCTAAGTTCTACAAATGCGGACACTTTCTTCACAAAACTCGTCTGCTTCTCTAATTGATACACTGCTATATCTTAGCTGTTAATGCCCTTTATAACCTGTGAATTGCTTTCAGGGGTTCAAAAATCTCACTTCTCTCACGGAGCTTGACCTATCTAATAATAACATCTCCGTCCTTCCCCCTGAACTGGTAAGAAAAGCAAACTCTCTCCCTCTCCTGTATGTCCATTTTGTTGATCTTATTTTCAGCTCTTTCGGGCTTTAACAAACTATGATCGACATTGCATTAATAGTTTTTCAAAGGAACTTTGAAAATGGTTGGTGCTATGCCTATGCAGTATTGGAAGTATTTGCAAAGTAAAAGTAGATATTTCCTCCTCTTTGTTTTATTTTTGAGTTACATAAAGTAGATATTTCTTTAGATGTGTTCAATCCCTTATTCTTTTTTCCCCTCTTTTCATGATTTGAACTGATTCAACAATTAGTTCTCTGTTGTTGGTCAAGTTCATTGGCTTAGCCCATGGCTTGTTTTGCCAGACTTGGTCCATCGCATTATTCTAAGAAATTGATCTGATCAGGGTTTGCTGGAATCAAGCCTTCTGGCACTGAGACTTGATGGAAATCCTCTCAGAAGGTATGAACAACCCCCCCCCCCCTTTTAAGTACAAATCTTTTTCAACAGAATGGTAGACAGTTTGACAGAATCTTTTAACAGAAACCTTATTAACTTATGGTTTAATAACAGTTAACATCTCTATAGACTATTAGTGTACTTTTTTGGGCCAACTTCATCTTTATTTTGAATTCTGTTTTTCTTACATTTCAGCATTCGAAGGACTATCTTGGATAAAGGAACTAAAGCCGTTCTGAAATATTTGAAGGACAAATTGCCAGAGCAATAATTCTTTTTCATTTTAGTATTTTACTATCATGCTAGTTTGATTGTGATTATGTGGGAATATTTGGAGGTTGAACATTTGAACGCAATTTGTTGTATAACGCCCGTTTCTATTCCTCATGACTTCAATGTCTTTTCCCTCAACTGTTTGCTGTATTAAGGGTTGCAAGCAATAAATTTTTATTTATAATTACCAAAAAATATTTTACCATTTCAAGCATCAACTTGCACCGGCTTTATCATTGCCTACTCGAGTTCTTTTCTTTCAATTTCTGGTCACATTTTTGGGGAGATGTTATAAAGAACGATAATGATTATGAGGAATGCTCGTGTGATTCTAAGATTTGTAATTATAATTATGCCTCATTTTATAGAAATATCTGATCAATTTTAGGAGACAACCGCATTACTCCAAGCTACTCAAGTGAAACAGGGGAATGATTATCGGAAATAATATCCTTTGGATTGAAATAACCATCTAATTATTGCCCAAAGAAAATCATAAAGACGAATCTCACGATTAAACTTTTTTTTTTTTACGTAAATTCCCTCTTATTTCTAGTTGGTTCTTTCCTGCAGATTCATGACTACAGGGAATACAGAGAAGAACCTAATGCTGGTGTGGCGCTGTGATGACTTACTTTACTTCGTTTCCAGTTAATTCTTCTTTTTTAAAGACTTAATTAATAATACCTCCTATCTCACTTAGTTTTTTTTTTTTTATTAATTTTACTCCTAACCTAAGATTCTCTATAGGACAAGGAGACACCTATACTCACCCACGCGCGTTAATACTGGGTTGATCCCAGGACCTTTTTCAAGAGAAAAAACTTGCCACTAGAACAACTGACTTTTCTCACTTTGTTAACATGGTTAAAGGTTGAATCTTTAAGCAACGACAGTATCTGCGATTGCTTCGATCAAGAAAAATAACACTTGGTATTAATTATGCTGATATTAATGATTAATTGAGGATAATAAAAGGGTTAAGTTAACCGTATGACAGCTAATTTGTACAGTTAATTAGACTATAGGGTACCATACTTATTACCTTGCCTCTCTCCAGAAACTACCATTGCAAGTCTTATCCTGTGGCGGTGGCGCCATGGCCGATCGTTTCTTTCCTAACGAAATGCCAAACTTCGTAGCCGAGACAGCTGTTGGGGAAACTTCCTCTCAAGGAGCAAGAGACTCACTAACGAATCTCCTATCTCTTCCGTACCCAACCTTATCTGCAAAGCTCCAAAAAGCAGCCTTGGACTTGAAAGAATCAGTATTCATATTCTTATCGCTATCCCTTTCACTCTAGGTTTCATAGAATTTTTTTCCTTCTCTTTTTTTTTTTAAAAAGTTATGCCATCATCAAACGTATCTGTTTTCTGTTTGATTTTGAATGGGCACAATATAGTCCTTTTCTGCTGTGCAACTGCGGGTTGAGGCGGCATGGTATTTCGAGTTCTGAGGTCACAGAAATGCTCACTAGTTTCTTGTGCTTTGTTGTGTTCAGGTCGTGAGAGAGACATGGGGTTCGAGTGGGAAACGCGTGAAGGATTATACACTGTACACGGGGGCTCTTGGGACAGCGTACCTGCTTTTTAAATCTTATCAAGTTACGAAGAATGGCAATGATCTTAATTTATGCTCACAGATCATTAAGGCATGTGATTCTGCTTCTATAAATTCTAGGTACCCCTCCTTCTCTCTGTGTGTATAAATGTGTTTCATGTATTATTTTTTCATCATATAATTATTATATTTTTTTTTATTCATTGGAAGTAATATTTTGCCAGCAGAATCTCTACATGACCTGTTTTCTTAAAGGCCACTGGAACGAGTTCAATAATTTCAATAAGTTTAATGACCTATTGATATCCAAAAGTCTATAGTTGTATTTGGAAAAGGCTTATTGTTAGCAATTTTAGTCCATTATTAGAGATAAATTTAGTTTAATTTGTTAATTTATGGGATGTAGCCAAATCACATTCTTATGTGGGCGTGCTGGTGTTTGTGCTCTTGGTGCTGTCATAGCTAAGCATAGTGGGGATGAACGACTCCTTAACAATTACTTAGGACAATTCAAAAAGGTATTATTTTGTAAATTGTTATCAGACCCTAGTGATATTTTTAATTTGCACATATCCAGTTGTGTTTACTCCTTTTAACTATTTTTTTCTTTTGACAACAGATCAGACTACGTCATGATTTGCCCTATGAGCTATTGTATGGCCGAGCAGGGTATTTATGGGCTTCTTCATTCTTAAACAAGCATATTGGTAAAGATACAATACCTACTACCGACATGGTAAGGCATATCTGCCTCATGACATTGTTCCTATGGAATTTATTTTGGCAATATCATTATCACCTTTATTTGCTGTTAAAATGAGTTCGTCTTTTGCAGAGATCAATTGTGGATGAAGTTATTGCTGCTGGAAGACAATTGGCCTGCAGTGGAAGATGTCCTCTGATGTACGAATGGCATGGGAAGAAATACTGGGGTGCTGCCCATGGGCTAGCAGGAATAATGTATGTTTTAATGGATTTGGAACTAAAGCCAGAAGAGGTAGAAGATGTCAAGGGTACACTACGATACATGACTAAAAATCGTTGCCCTAGTGGCAATTATCGCTCAAGTGAAGAAAACAACTCTGACCGCCTTGTGCATTGGTGTCATGGTGCTCCAGGAATCGCTCTTACTCTTGTAAAAGCCGCCGAGGTAATCTTTCCTAGTTTACCATATCCAATAAAAAGTTGCATACTTGCATCAAATGGTCTGTGAAGGAGAAAGAACTGATCATTTTCTCCAGTTGCCAAAGTTTGATGCCTTCTGATTTGATTGCAATATTGAATGACTAATAGTACTAAGTGCATATATGGCACTGAAATTGGGCAAAAAAAGTAAGATGCCTTGTCTTGTCTTCAGTTAGTAGTTGAAGTGAATTATTCAATTTTTTTTTTTAGCATACAATTCATTTCCCACAGAAGGTGCAGTTCTTGTAAGTTCCAAACGAGGTAGTTATGACCTTCTGGTTTTGTTTTTTGCCGCAACTTCTCGTTTCCATAAAACAAGTTTAATGCATGAATGCTCGAACATGTTAGTCAGAAATGTAACATCTCTCAAAATCTTTTCACTAAATTGTTTATGATAATCATCAGGTTTTTGGGGACAAGGAATTTGTGCAGGCAGCAACAGATGCAGCGGAAGTAGTATGGAATAGGGGTCTGCTTAAGCGAGTTGGGATCTGCCATGGCATCAGCGGGAACACCTACATCTTTCTTTCTCTGTACCGGTTAACTGGGAACCCAGAGTACTTGTACAGGGCTAAAGCTTTTGCTTGCTTTCTACTTGATAGAGCGCAAAGATTGATCTTGGAAGGAAAGATGCATGGAGGAGATCGCCCTTATTCGTTGTTTGAAGGTCTTGGAGGAATGGCTTGTATGTTTCTTGACATGATCGATCCTAAAGTGGCGAAATTCCCAGCCTATGAACTCTGAGTTTCTTCATGCTTGTGTACATTGCTTGTTGAAAAGCTCAACACGAGATAAAGCCTTTGAGGTTGATGAAGACGTGTACTCTGACGAACTCTATAAATATAAGAAGAATCTGTAACTTATGATCTGTGACTCTGAAGTGCAAGCTAAGATAAGGGATCAAATGCCGTTGCTTTAATTAAAAATAAAAACTTGTCCTTAGTTTTACGTAAAAGTGGGGGTTTATTTAAAACTTGTTACAACAGTTACTTAATTAAGGCTCAACAATCAATTCAGCTTCTCACCACACTGCTTCTGACGTTCTGCGAAGGAATCTAGTCCTGTTGTACCTACGATCTATTAGGAAAGGAAAGTAAATAACTTGTATAGGACTCGGGAATCCTTTTCTTATTTATTTATTTTATCGCTCCCATGGTGTTTATTGAAACATCAAACCATGGTTTATCTGATAGCCCAAGCGGATTGGGCAGGGCACCGACCTGCTTTGCCTGAAATATTTACATATTTTATTTTCTTTTTTAAAATTTAATTATTTTATAATATTATTTTACTTAATATTTTTATCTTTATCATGAATATCTTTTATAATTTTAATTTTTCTAATCATTTAAATATTTAAAATTAATTTTTTACTTTATATCATGTAAAAATAATAAATAGTTGTCAATTATATGCAATTTTAAAAATTATTACTTTAAATTCTAATTTTATTTTTATAAATAATCCATTTTAAATAATTTGTTATATTTTGCATTATTTAATAAATTTATTTTTATATTTAAATTTTTTTTGAAAAATAAAATTTGAGTATTGAGCCAAAACCTGGCCTGAGCGTTCAGGTAGCTCGATGTCCAAGCATGCACATAGGGTTGGACGTCGTACTATGGGTGGAGCCCGACCTGGCTCATGTACATCCTTTATCATTCCCTCTACCGCATAACGGCCTGTGCATTTACTCAATACAGGTAAATTATGCTTGCCTGCCCACACATTTAGTCTGAAGTTCACCTAAGTTTCCTGGTAAGTACCAAAAATGAACAAGATGACTTCAGATGCTGGCTTAAGATAGGCAAGGAGGAATATTTCTCACTTATAATTGTAGTCAACTATGCAAAGAGAAATTGTCCTAAAAAACCTACATGCATTTAACCAAACAATCGAACGTTTTATTAGCATTTTCAATTCACAAAAGTCATAGGCCTCTAGTCTTCTACAACAGGGCAAAGAGTTCTGGGCTGTCACAAGTGATTCTACCGCAATTCTTCACTCTTATGGGACTTGATTTTTCCTCCTTTGCAAGGTTTTTAAACAAAATGGACATTGGAGGCTCCCACTTAAGCCAAACCAACAAGTTTCTCACTAATCTCCCACACCCTGCGAGCCTTCTCCGGGTCACTAGCCTCTTGTGACAACTGGTTTTCAAATGAAGCAGAGGCCTTGTTCCAGCTCCAGTAGACACCGGATTTTGTCAGGCTAGGATCACTCACAACCTGTAGTAAAATAAAAATGTAAGCATATAAGGAAGAAATTTTCTTCAACTCATTCAACCTAGAATCCCTTGAGCCTCACTATTATTTACCTGAGCAAGTCTCTTTCCTGCTTCTTCTTCTGAAACAAAGCCCTTGGTTATGTACCTTTGGAATGGCGGGAACAAAAGTCTGAACAATGGAATGTGCTCTCTGAACAAGCCAGTTGTGGCAATGCAACCCGGGTAAAGGGAAGCAAATGTGATCCCAGTTTCCTCATGGAATCTTCGGTGGAACTCTTGCATGGTGAGCATATTGCAAACTTTGCTGTCCTTGTATGCCTTGGCGCCATCAAAGTCTCCACCATCAATCATAGCTGAGCTGTTTAGTCCATTCAATCCACCTGCAAGTCCCCTCAAGTCACCAAGGTTTGCCTTGGGAGGCACGTTTCCGGCCAGTGTATTTGTGTTTCCTGTAAAATTTACACAATCAGAACAAAGATGCAGCAAATGGGTATTGAGTTTGACCATGTATCAACATCTTAATAGATTAGACCTGTGATTGACCCCACAATGATCATGCGCTTTGAAGGATAATCAGATTTGTTCAAGTCCTCAAGCAGCAACCGTGAAAGGAGAAAATGCCCCAGATGGTTTGTCCCAACACTGAGCTCAAAACCTTCAGCAGTAAATGTAGGCTCCTTAGCAGTTGGCAAGTAAACTGCAGCATTGCAAACCAGAACATCCAGCGGCCGCTCCGATCGCCTGAAGTTATCAACAAATTGGCGGACACTGTCAAGAGAGGCAAGGTCTAGATGCATAATGGTATAGTTCTCCTTAGAAATGCCGGCTGATTTGGCAGCTCTTTCGGCTTTGAGGAAGTCCCTGCAGGCCATGATCACATGCCATTTTCCTGTTTCAGCTAAAGCCTTAGCAGTGGCCAGACCCAATCCAGAGGAGGCCCCAGTTATCACAACACTTCCCTTCCTCAGCGTCTTCTTGCCTTCAGGTGTAGCCTTGTTGACTGCTGGAGTTGTAGTACCCACTGTCTGGGCCCTCACAGCTCCTACTTTTTGCTGGAATCCCCTCTCACATGGAAATTATGTTAGAACATTGTCCCAATAACTGTGGGCCAAATCCTAAAAACTGATGGAGAATCATTCATAATTATCCCAGATTTGAATCCTCTTATGTTTTAGAGAAATTTACACGGTTATGTGGACCCAGATTCAAGATATTAGGTGGTCCACCATGTAAGAGGTGGACCCACATTATCTCTTTCTTCATAACTAACAGTGTATCTTTCTTCAAAACTACAGAGGATCCCAATCCCATTATATTCCTTTGTACTTTCAGTCCTGGTATTGCCAGGAGTACTGGAATATGCTTGTGTTTTGACTCTGTAAGCATGTTGAATTAGAAACCTCAGAAACATGTAGAGCTCAAAAATAAAACACTTCAGGTCGAATTCTGTATGGAATTGAACCTATAACAGTGGAAATAAAATAACACCACCCGAAAATAAGTTTAAAACACTTTGATGCAGTCGCAGTACCTTGCACCTCAATGCAGAAGAGCTGAAGTCAGCACTGAGATTATCTGATAATGAAAGCCCAAATAGGGTTGAGTCCTTGAGGGAAACACCAGATTTTCCCTGCCAACACAGCCCAATTCTCAAAACCTCGAATTCCATTAACCCTTTGAAAAGTACAGGAAAAGAAGACGAGATTTTGAAGTGGGAATTTGAACACAGACCTCTTTAGGAATGGAGAAAGAAGCGGGAACCAGGGAAGCAGCAGCCTGGAGAGCCATAAAGATTTTCCTATGTTCTACCGAACACCCAACGAAGTTATGATATTTACCCGATGTGGAAGTGAAGTTATATAGTGAAGTGTCTCTTCTGGATGATGAGTGGATAAGATTGCCTGCAGCATGGCCACCTGCCACATCAGTTCTAGCCAGCCAATAAGGATTCCAGTTTTAGATTTCTGATATTTTGCGTCACTACTTTATTACAGTTTGGTAGGAAGGGTTATTTTGGTCCATTGATCAATGAATATGCGCCAGTCTCCAGAGTTATGGGCTGGAAATATCGGAACGCTGAAAAAGATCAATGGTAGTGGAGCTACTTTCCGTTTGATGCTATGGACAAACCTTGTTCGTTGGTCACTTTTTAGTTTTTACTTTATCATAAAAAAAAAAATTCAGCGCATAAATTTTTTTTAAAATATCGTATTTTTAATCTTTAAAATAATTTTTTTAACTTAATTTCTTAACATACGTATAAGTATATATTGCTGATTAAGATTTCGTTTTCTTTTCTCTTTTTTTTTTTAACTTTATACATGTTAGTTTATATTGTTGATTAAGATTCCGTGTTCTTTTCTCTCTTTTTTTTTCGGTTAGAGGAACTAATTTAATTTGAGAAAATGAAGTTTTGCCTTTGGAAAATTATTGGTCTGTTTGGTTTACCTTTCACATTCATGAAAGTTCTTTTGAAATCTCATTAATCTCAATGTGGTTTGGATTTCATAAATTTTCAAAAGCCATTTTAAAAAATTCATCCCAAAACACTTCAAAAGGACTACCTTGCAATGTGAATGATACTCACTTTTATATCAGAAAGTGGGAGATAGGGCATTAATTTATTCAAAACAGAATAAATTTTGATAGCTGCATTTAATATATATATATATATATATTTATATTGAAAAATTTTAAAAATAATATTCTAGAAACGAAATTATTATTTATTAAACTCTTTTTAGAAGAACATACTAGAAATTTGGGATTGTATGTCATGAAATGTAAGTTGCAGCGGTGAATGCCTATCAAAGGGCTAACCCAGTTAGCTTTATGGCAAAAATGAAAAAGAAACTCATGAGCAGCCCATGCCCATGAGACAGCTTGTTACACTGTAGTCCAAGGCAGACCCAGAACTGATGTATAAATTATATCCCCAACCTGATTTTGATTTGTGAGTTGTTAAACTCCTGAACTAGGGGTAGGGATTAACATCAAGATATTTTAATATAAAATATAGAATTCTTAATTAGTTTTATTATTTAAATCCTACGGTTCATTTCCCATATTCTATACGATTACATTGAATTCTCAACAATTTTGTCTCCACGCCCCCATGTAACATCCTATCTAATAATCTAAATTAAGGATGAGCTTTAAGAATTGACTCGTCCTCGCTACATCACTTTGTTTTTCCCCTTATGGAGAATAAAGTTAAAACAACCAGCAATTGGGTTGAAGAGAGAATTTAATCTCTCTCGAGGGATGTCTTGCATTCAAATTTTGATGATAAAAAAACATAAGCTTTATCCCATTCTAATAGTGCTAAAATCAAAATTCGTTGGTATTATCAAAGATCTAATGACTCAGGAAAAATAATATCACATGCAAAATACTTTTAATACGCTTTAATCCAACCTTCCTTTCATGTTCACTACAGTAAGTTTCCCAGGCCCATGAAATATCCAAAGAATCGTCTTAAATGACCATAAAACTAGGCGGCATGAAAAAATACTCGTAACTATATCACCAGCAAATTCCAATTGTCTAGAGAATAGCTAATTTGTATTTCTTCAAGTGATGTAGGATCTAATTTTTGTTCTACTAAGATTGAAATGACGCATGGGCAAACAGCGCGCAGAGGAGAGCACTAGAAACAGCATGCAAACGATCTAATTCTATTCTGGTCAATCCAGTAATTGCTAGCCTAGATGTTAGGTTGAAATAGACTCCTTGAACATAGAGATTGAAGTTCGTAACAAGAATGAAAGCGGGTGTAAAAGAATCTTCACCTGTAATTCATTAAACTCTTCCCTTGCTCGTTGCTCTACATTTCCTGACTACGTAAATTCATCGGACTTAAAATTCTGACGTAAACCTCTTCTTTGTTTTCCTCTTTAGTTAACTTCTTTTCTTTTCATTTTCTACTCCATGCCTGATCAGATGGCGACCCAACTCATCCGACAAGCACAAGAACATTAAAAAATAAAAATAAAAAATAAATAGTGGAAGCCCCTGCCAATATTACAAATCCCCCTGTACAATTGTTCTTCTGAGCTGACATCACAAACTCACCTCCTATATCCGCAGTGGCAATCCAAAATTCTGAAAAGCTCGAATTTCCCCTCGAAGGTCAGCAGTTACCATCACCAGACCCCAGGCTGACATGTTTTGATTAACCCCGTCTGAGATGTCCACGCTAACTCGAGGGCTTCGTCTCCTGGCAGCAAGAACAAGTTTTTCTTCTGGCCATGTTGCGGAAATTCTGTCAAAAAAATAACTGTTTGTAGCACTGGCTATAGTTCCATGAAGTGCATCATTGTTGGAACCTGATGCCTCATTACCAAAGCTTTCATCTACCGGGGTTGGGGGATGATTCACCGATGAGACGCCGATGGGGATACTATCAGCTCTGGTTTGTTCTCCAGATAAAGTACCTTGCATTTCCCATGCATCGCCCATACCAGGCCAAGGAATAGCCACTGACACATCTGTACAATGAAAATGTTCATAGGACTGAGTGATAGTGACACCTTTGGTTCTGTTGGGCCTGCAATTAGCTTCATTTTTCCATATGTACACATGGGAATCCTCACTTGCTGAGACTATATATTTTCCATTCTCTGTGAACGAGGCTAAAATTTGGCTATTTGTGTTGCGAAATCCTGCACAAAACTTACATCAGTTAAAATGGAAATAAGTAAGCTTCATACCAGTAGACTCATTATACGTTCAGTTAAATGTGCCATTTTTTCACATCATGTCAAAACAATGTAAAATAAAGTCAGCATGGTATTGAGAGCCGAGAGGATGGGACTCGATTCTCTTTAAATAGAAAAAAAATTACAGAGAGAATTACCCTTGAGCCTTACACTCAAATTCGACGCAGTAGTACTGAATATCAAATAATTTTACAAATTAAAAAAGTAAGGTTAAGTCATGAGGGGAGGGACATGTTAACAAACTCAGCACTTCAAGAAAAAATTAAATCAATTAAATTATATAAGATTATTATGATTCCATAGAACCAACCCAACCCAAACACAGGAAGTAAAAAAACAAAGGAATATAGTCAGGTTTGACCACAGAGTAAACCGAAACATTTGACGCAGATGAAAGCAATTTGCAGAAATATTGTACATTATTTTTCTACCAAAAAAAAATAATTCTGGCGGACCAGTCTTCTCGAGTTATTAGTCTAACCTTTGAACTTATGAACCAGATCGACACCATCAACCAATCGAATTTGAGAATCAGCAGATGTAATGAGTATTCTGATGAACTTCCTGGAGCAAACTGATAGGAAAAACAAGTTAGAAACTGTACCAGTCAATGCAAGCAAACCATGAGTGGGGACAATCTACTTTCATTGTTCTCTTTTCCTTTTCTTTTCTTTTGTTTTTTTTTTGGACGGAACACCAACAAACAGAACAAATGTTACAGCAGCAGTTTACTAATTGAATTACCTGGAAGCCAGTAATTTTCTTGAGATTTGACTTCTTTTTCTTGTTCTGCAGAAAAATCTCACTTTTTTTTTGCAATTTATTTTCTGAATGAAGATAAAAATGATGATCAATGGACATAAAATCATTGGAAGTATGCATACTCGCATAGATGATCAAAGACAGTTAAAAATAAGGCCCTATTGACTGTACCAGATGTATTATACAAATGGCAGCTACCCTTGCATGAACCTACCAGTGCACCCTGAAAAAAGCCAATAAATATCACTAAGTGACAACGCACTGATTGAACTTCTTAGACTGCCAATATAGTGCAAATTAACCTTGGACCAACCTGCCCATCAGGTGTGTAGCAAGCAGCAGTGACCATCTCATGCAAATCAGTCCAATCAACAACTTGACGATCAGGAATACTCCATATGCGAACCTTGGAATCCAAAGATCCGCTAATGAAGTATCTATCATCAACGGGATTAAACTGGATGCAAGTCACTGCATCCAGCAGAAAACAGATTGTGGCAAAACATATGATTAGAAAGGGACAAGCTATAGGAAACAGAATAGCTTTCATTTCCAAAATTAACCACTCATTTCGTCAAGAAAGAACTGTAATAGAATGTCCTATGTTTTAAGAGTATAACCATTTTGCAGGGGCACATGAGATTCACTTAGAATACGAGAATAGAGAGATATTTTAAGATGTGATAACTGCATGTACTCACCATAGTCAGTGTGTGTAAAAACTTTCAGACAAGAGTTGCTAGATACATGCCACAGCCGTACCGTTTTGTCCATTGAAGAGGAAAGCAAATGCTGAGCAAAAGAGGAAAAATATATGATAGTTATTCAAGTTTTAAAGATAATTCAACAGCTACAACTCAGAATCTCTAAATAGACACATAGACAAATCTCATTTTAAGATTTTAAATGAGATCTCAGGAATTCTGACATTACATTACACATTTCCAATTCCACTATATCGCACACTTAAAGAGTCACCATGGACAGGAGCAGGGATGTAATTGTAAGGTGTTGAACATGTCAAAGTTGTTCAAAGTCCACATAAGAAAAGACTACTCTTCCATTAAGGATCGACATTGAACTTGAAACCAAATAAGAGTCTAGACAGGCAATTCCCCACATATATGCCACTCTAAGAAATTAAAATTTTCAAGTTGAGAATAAAATCATTTCTACCAACACCACACCTGATGAATGGAGATCAGCCGATCACAGTATTGCAACCACGTGTTCAGGTATGCTTACCACTCCTATAAAAATAATCTTACCTAGAAAGTAATGACAAGTTATCCTGCTACTAAACTTCAAACAACATCAACCCCATTATAGCATAGCGAACTCCTATTTGGTGACCATAAAGGAATAAACTAAGTGATCATAATGCTGAGTTACAAACAGAAGCCTACAAAAAAAAAAACATATATTGAACTGAAGGTTTTCCCCAGTAGAAACATTCAGTTCCATTTTTGTTATAACCATATCAAGTCAATCACTAACTTAGGCTTAGCTGCTTGTAATATGGAAATATCCATGTTGTTTCAATATCAACATTAATCAATAATATCATACAAAATACAAGCAACTAAAGTATAATAACAAGGCATGATGCCATTCATCCAATAAGATAAAATGCCTATCTGAATTGTGAATTGTTAAAACCTTTCCTAGAATATAACAATCCCTGGGGAAAATAAATCTTCCTACAGCTATCAATCAGGGTGTAAGCTTCTCAGTTATCTTGGGGAGATCCAAAAAAAAAAACAATCCAGAAATCTTCTCACGAGATAAAGGATCACATTTTTCCTGCAATTCATGCATTAACATTAAGACTTAAGACTGCAATTTTATCCAAAGATAGTAATACATAACAATATTCTAATGCAATAAAAAATCCATATGCTGTCCCATGCTGCTAGGTCATCCACATTAGAATTTCCAATTCCAACGAATCAGTTACAAAATTACCATAAATTCTCAATATTTGTGGTATATAGAACAGTGGAAAACTCACTCGAACTGCTTAGTGGAAGACTGTCAGTGGGTGCATGAGTTAAATCTATAATTAAAAAAAAAAAATCTTGTGAAATTTTCTGGGCATATACAATGTATGATTCATCAACTAATTTCAAACAAGACTGAATAGCTTTAAAATATATTCAGATATTGAACACAATGTTTGAATTTACACCTATCATATCATCTAACCTGAGATTTGGACCAAGATAGATCAAGCACATCATCAAGATGACCTTGGAATGTGCAAATAGGTTTTTCTGTCAGTGCAAACATAGTTTCTGGCACCCCTAACTGGTCCAAGCTCAGTGATTTTCTGTTGATGGATGACCTCCCCCGTCTCTTCATCTCTGGATGGCTTGGGGATAGCAAGGTTGGTTCAGTGGATCCATTCATAACAAATAACGTATTCATATTCCCATAGCCTGGTTTCTCCACCAGCAGCTCCGCCTTCCTTTCTGACTCCACAACTTGCCACACATGAATTACACAATCCTCACCTGCACTAGCAAGATACTGTCCGTCCAAACTAAACTTAATGCTCCATATAGATCCATTATGAGCATGTATCTCCTGGCTCTTATAGAGTGCAGTGACCTCTTTACATGACTTGCCATACTGCCTAACCCGTACTCTTCCAAGCCTATGTAAATAAGCATCTTGGCTTTCATCTGTAGCAGAACTTGACCTCCGCCCACCCTTTTCTGACGAAGTATCCCTTTCATCACTGCTCCGTCTGTCCTTATAACCCGTCATGGCGCAAGCAACACTCTTTATACTCTTAAACCAACTCCCTTTCTTCTTTACCTTGGTACCACCTCCACTGCCACCATTTGCAGTTACAGTTGCATTTAAATCTACATTGTCCTTGTTACCCTCCTCGAAATGTTGTCGTCTCATCAATTCTTGAACAATTGGCGAGTGGCCCACTGTCATCTCAAACTCCTCCATGGTCAACTGCCTTTCAGTTCCGACTTCCTTTAATTTATTCCACGTCCCATCCTCCCTAATCTCCTTGACTACAAACTCTTTCCCATTATCGAGATTTCTTATGGTGCACACTTGTTCATCAGCCCTGTCAAGTCCATTACAGTCCGCACCTTCCTCCCCCTCGCCACGACCTGCGTTCTCCAGAACTGGCTCCACCGAAAACTGACCAAAATCCACCCTCAAGTTCGAGGAGCCACTTCGGATTTCATCTACCCTTCTGCAATTTTTCCCTGAAGGCGGCTTATTGGGGAAGGCGGCACTAGCAATCGGGGATTCATTGCCATTGCCGCACGTCGACTTAACGATTTGATTCCGGCTATTTACAAATGAGCCGTTCTCTGAAGCGACCGAGTGAAAAGAAAGGATTGAAGAACAAAAGGAAGAAGTAGATTTATTGCGATGACGACGAAACTGACCAGTACACAATTGCAAGTCACCAAGATCCGTGCCACCGCCTGATTTCGATCGGGATATGCCGGCAGTGCAACCAGAAGTTTCATCCTGTTGTTGGCGACTCACGTGATCGGTAGAAGCCGATCGGCCAAACTCTCCATTGGCCATTCCTCTAAGATTATCGGCAGAGGCAGCCTTTCCCTGGGACAATGACGGGTCGCCGGCGAGACCCATCTCGCGAAGAAGACGGGTCCGGCGTTCGGAAACCGATGACGGTTCGGAGATCCAAACATCGTACTTGCACAAGGCCGCGGGGAATTTGGGTACGGGGAAGGGTAGGTCCGAACCATAATTGGGAGAGTTGGGACTGGAGCCATTGTCGTTGTCGTCATCTGAGTTGGAAGCGGAGCAGGAGCAAGAGGACGAAACTAGCCGGTCGTTAGACTCGTAAAAGCGCTCTTCTTCCTCTTCTTCGTCCCCAGCTTTGCTCATTGTTTACTGGGCATTCCCATTTCAATGAAAATGCCCAAAATCAATCGGGTCGGACCGGGATTTATCACCGTGATAGTATTCCTCGGAAACTATGGTGTTCAGGTTCAATTTGGAGCACGTAAATGGAAAACCGAGGGGATCAGACAAAGAAGGGCACGAATCTACACGGCGTTTTGGAGTAGAAGTCAGATCCAATGAGAGTGAGAGACGAGGGTCTGGAACGAAGCCCTATGCCGGGTTGTGTTGGTGTTGGGGAATTGGAGTTCACCAAACATTGTTGTGTTTTGTTTCGTTATGAGAGAGAATGTGAAGGACGTCGTCCTCTTCTTTCCAAATTCCAATAGAAAATGTCTGAGAGAAACTGGAAACGAAATTTCGTCCGGTTCTTTGGATGATGATGAAAAATAAAAATAAAAAGAATGACTAGCAGCAGTAAGTTGCTTGATAATTCCTTTGCACGAATCAAATTCGTCCTATTTTATTGCCATTGCCTAACGATCATTAGTTGATTGCAGTCGCAAATTTGTTGCTATGCTTAGCTCATGGTAAGTTGTAACTGTTTCAGATGGACTGGTCACTTAAACCGATACTCGTCTCTGCAATATAACTGGTGGTTATAGGCTTCAGGGTTAAAAAGCAACTAGTTTGTACGGTCAATCCAGCGAGGCTCAAGTTAAGTTTTAACTTTTAACTTTTAACTTTTCGTTGAATTATTATTTTTTAAAATATAATTATAAATTGACAAAAACCATCAAGATCATCTTTGCTAATCTTAGATTCCTATAAATAAATATGGGACTTACAATTTATTATATACAATTTATAAAACATATTTTATTTATAAGGTATGAATAATGTGACTCCTTTTAAATCCTATTCATGCTTGAAGCTGGTTAAATATTGTTTAAAAAAATGAAGGCCAAAATAATATTTAAAAATAAATAATACTGGTTTTCATGTATTCTATTTTTATATAATATATTAACCCTAAATATAAAACAAAATATTTTTTTCTATTTTTATGTTATATAATGACTAGTACTCATCTTTCAATTTGATATTAAAAATTGTTCTCAAGACAGGAGATATTGATGGGTCATTATGAAAATTTGTGAAGTTCTAAGAAACAACAAAAATTTATGAGAAACATGATTTTGAGAATTTTATATAACTAAATCTTTGAACTTTTTGATAAAGTGTATATGCAAAAAAAAATTATCATGTAAAACTTTAAATAGAACTAGGACCATGCAGTAATAGTATATGCAGTAATTCAAATTACGAGAAAAATTTTCAATCGAGATGAAATTTTAAATTATGATAATCTTATTCACATTTTATATAGTTTGCGATCCAAGTTTTAATATGAACTACATTATAGATACTCTGTGATGAGGACATATGTAAAGAACAATCAAGGCATGATTAGCGCATTCTACACTCGTTATAAGTCAATTGGAACATGTCGATTTGTGATAAGCATGAATTTATTTACCAACATGTTTATGTGCATCAGATTTTATTATTTTGAAAAATGTGGTGTGGGTGAATTTTAGCTCCAAACTTTTAAGTTTTGGATCTCCTTGGACTGGGGTTGAAGGAAAATATTAGTATTAAAATGATAACTCGAAAAGCAAGTGGAAACATGTTTGAGAAAAAGGGCAAGGGTTGGTTGTCCCAGGTTTTTAGTGGTAACTGAAAAGGAAGGCATAGAATATTATTATCCCAATCGCGACATTCCTTCCCGTATGTTATGCAATCATTGACTTCGTCTTTTTTGTTTTAGTTTGGTCAAACTTAACCTTGCATTCCTCACACGCCATCTACTACTTTTTCTTTTTAACTTTTATTCTTGGAAGCGGGAAAAAATAGAGTAAACAGAAAATTAGCAAATATATATATATATATATATTTGTAAAATTTTCTCCTCCTAATTTCTTTTTACTTTTTTTTTATTCACATCAAGCCTAGTACTCCTTTTCTTTAATATTATAAAATATTTTTAATAGAATTACAGAACTAATAAATTAGTTAATTATCTTTAAAATTATATATTTTTTAAATTTACTCTTATTTAATATAATGTCTTAATTAAAAAATATTATTAATTACAACTATAATTAAGATTATTTTTGTAAAAACCTCATTAATTACACATTGAAAAACTCAAAATATCTTATATTTTTTAATGAAAGTTAATATCAATTTATTAAGTCATGAATTTATATTTTTTTCAAATTAATAGTAAAACATTTAAATAAAAATGCAAAAATTGTATTTTGTGATAGAGATTGGGTGTTTTTTTGAGCTGCTAGTAGTTGATTTGTTGTCGTTGTTGATAGTTTTGGATCTCTCTATGTGGAATTTGATGCATGAAAATAGTAAATTTGTTACTCGAATAGCAATTACTTCTTTCGTCTTAAATTATAAAATATTTTTAACAAAACTCACATACTAATAAAGTTTATTAAATACAATTTATAACTTTATTTTTTAAAAACAAAAATATAAAATTTTAAAAATACCCTTCATTTAACATTCCATTGAAGAAATGATATTGAAGAAAGAGAATATATGAAAGGATAATATTAAAAAAGTATCATTAATAAAATTTATTTTTAATCAAAATATCTCATATTTTAGACGTTAAATCTTTCCTAAAAACATCTTATAATTTAAAACTGAGAAAGTATTATATTTATTTATATAGGGATTGGATAGTTAAAATCGTTCTATAAACACTCATCCTTATTTTTCAATGTGACTTCTAATTTTTAAAATTTTGACAACTGTCGCAGAATTTCTTACTTTCTAGCTATGTTTTAAGGCTAAGATGGTCTTGGTGTAGTGTCATTTGTTTTATTTCTTTGTGTTTTTTTATTGGGTTTAGGGTTTTTTATTGTGTTGTTTTTCTTATTTGTATTTTGTTTGTTGTACTTTTTTTTTTATCTTTGCAAACCCTAATGTTTCTGGCAAAAAAAAATTATATATATATATACAGTGATAATATAAATCTACGTGATTAATTTACTAATCTCGCAAATACTACTTCTCATTCTCAATGGAAGGGATATAGAGAATTTCTTTTTCATAAGATTTAAAAGATTTTAAGCTTTTGCTGTAATTAACAGAGTATTTTTGAAGAAGAAGTCTCAAAATAGTTCGTGTATTTACGTGGGATGAAGCTAGCTATCAGTATTAAATAAAATATGAATTTTATCATTATAATTTATATTATTCATAAATCAAAATGAACCATAATTAAACCAAATAAGTCAAACACACATGTCGGATGCCATACATATTTCCCAACCCACGTGCAGAAAAATAATTAACCGAGGCCAGTATTTTTAATATTTTAAATAATATCATATCTTTATCAAATGAACTCGAATAATTTTTTTTTAATCTAAACGACTAAACGGATAAAAATAGTTTTATTATGAAGGATGGGGACATAAGATAGACTTCACATGCAATTTAAATACTAAACTATAACTTATTTGAGTCTTAAATTTTTATTTAAAACATTTTGAATATTAAATAATTAAATTTATAATAATTTTACTCTTATTGTTAAATTTAAATAAACGGCTATTATTTTTTAAAAATTTGGGCCTAATGTGAAATTTTTATTAAATTTTACTCTCCCCCTCTCCCACCTTACTTTGAGAAAATTTACACATTATGTTCCATTTTTTTTAAAAAAATAATAGCTGTTTATTTAAATTTAATGCTGGCACAAAAATGCCAACATTAATTGTTTATGTTTTAAAATGTATCAAATAAAATTTTGAGGTTCAAATCGTCTCTAAATTTATAATTTATGGTTTAAATTATATATTAATTTTATAAAATAATGTGAAATAAAAAATTGAGGTAATTGTTGAGGAGGGAGCAGTATATCCGCAACTTAGGAAATCTAAATGGGAATTTATTTTACTATCCTTGGGTTGATTGTAAAAATAAAAATAAAAATAGAAGGGTGCCTGGTACTGCCAAAAAAGACATACATTAAAAAATTTTAATTTTGTGAGGGTGCAAGCATATGCATGCTTTGTACCCACATCCACATGAACGTGCACATCACAAATTGCGACAATTCATGAATGAAAAAGAAACAACCAAAAGTATAATGCTTGCTTTCAGTATTTTGAAAGAAATATTCTCTACTATTAACATATTTTATTCTTTATATTTATAAAAGGCAAAAAAAAAAAAAATCTCAACTTTCATGCCACAAAGGTAAGAAATGATCCCAATACCATATATCGCTGCACTTTGTACGGTTTTCCCAACTGGTCATATCATTAAACCATGCATGATTTGTGAGCGTTGATATAAGATTTGTATGATATACTTAATAATTAAACAATATTATTAATAAGTTTGGGTTTGTCAGAAAAAATTAGTCTCTCACTATATGATAAATCAATGTTTAAATCTTTATTAAAAAAATGCTCACATTTAGTATTTCATTATCCTTTGAATATATTTGTCTCCAACAGAAATATGCATATGTTCAACAACAAAAATGTCATGTGGTACACACACAAGTCATTTAAATTAAAACTATTTAAGAAAAAACAAATACAGATCAGGTGACTTCATTTATAAAAGCCAGCAGAAAATTGTTAGCAAAATGGTTAAATATTGGGAAAACCAAGGATTTTATTAATAGGCAAATACCCAATTATGACCGTGGACTACTTGGGATATATACTTTTTATTTTCTGTCGACTTGGTTTAATTAATTGACACAATATAATTAACCTGATTGGCTGAAAATCCAACCCACCAGATTGCTCGATTCGATTCTAAACAGCCTGTTCTTGAGTAAAGTAAGAAATATGCTATAGAAATGCAACATGCTTTAAAAGGTGGACTTATTATCAAGATCCAACACTACATAATTGGCACGAGCATATATACATGTGTATATATCATTGAGATTACAAGAACTCCCAATATATATTAATTAATTAATTAATGTTAATTGAGCAAGTTGCTCTTCATCTTATGCATTAATTCAGTTATCCTTCCATGTGTTTCTTGATAATTCTATTATGTTCTCATTATTTAATTCACTAATGGGATGCTTCTTATAAAGTTTATATATAACCTTTTGTTTTTTTTTTAAGTGAAAACAATCAAAAGTCTTTCTTGCTGCGAAAGTATAAATTAGGGCTAGACAAGGCTAAACTCCTACCTAATGCCTAGCTTGAAATATGAATGTGTTGTATTTTACAACTCACTGTCCAACCTTGCCCATGAAATGCTCAAGTAGTGGCTAATGCAGACCTTGAGCTAATGGGGGCATAATTAAATAAAATTTAAAAATAATAATAAAATAATTTAATATTTATAAAATAAATATTTAGTTTTGTAAATAATATTAGGAAAGGAAAAATTAAAATGATATTTTCATAAAAATAATC